TTATGTATTGTTCTCCTATTGCAATATAATAAGATTCGTCGTGTAAAATGTTACGAAGACATCGTATTTCACGGATTAGTGTACTCATAATCTCATAATCTCATTAATTAATCATATTAATAAATAAATAAGAATAAATGTATGGGTATCACGATGGAACAGCGAAAGATAAAACAATCATAGGTTCGGGTGACAACGCGCTTTATATAATTAATTATTTAATTTATTTTTTATTATTTAATCTATTGTATTATTTGTTACTTGTAAAAATAATTGCTCGATAATCTCCGTAATAATCTCAGTTTTAACATTATTATTTAATATATAATGCATGTAAAAATATATTCTAAATTTTTTCTAAAATACATGCATGTACAAGTAGAGATATATATCGCGTAAAAAATAAAATTTTAAATTTGTATATATATATTTTAATATATATTAAAAATATTTAATATTTATTAAAATATTATATATATAAATTTAAAATTTTATTTTTCACGCAATATAAGTATATCCCTATTTGTACATGCATGTATTTTGTTATATCCTTAGCATGGTCAGAATTTAGAAGAGCTTATATGGAATGGAAGAAATGTACACACACAGTATCCATTGAATAACAACGTATTTTTCCATCAAGAGAACGTAATCTCTGAGACTCCGTTGGCAAAATAAATTCAACCAGCTTCTCCCTTACACTGATATATATGTATTTGTATATATGTGTATGTGTATGTGAGAAAAATAAGAGTTAACGAAGTCGTACGCACATAAGATTTAGATTTTTGAATAGTAAACGCACGTGTTTTATTATATAGTTTATAAGGTAAATCTTCCATACAAATTTAATTTCACAAATATTAATCAAGCCTTAACTTTACATAAAAAATAGTAGAATTACTAACTTTTTGATTATATTTCGATATATTTCTCTCTTTTTCTCTTTCTTATTTATTCCTACGTTTTATCTTTAAAAATTAAAATAAGATAACATTAATTTTGAAAAGTATATATTTATACACGTTTATGTACGAATTCCGTGAAAGTTATAATAAATTTAAGAGAAAATATGAGTATTTGTAACGTAATATTTGTTTGAAGCAACATAAATTAAATTTTGGCGGCTTCAACGTGGTGCATTTTGATTACACTTTGATATCGTCTACTTGCGATCAATATAGATTGTAATTAACTAATTGTTCGTCAGCCATAATTTCCTAACTTTGTGCTAAAGCGCCTTTAAATTACTGCGACAAAGCACAAGTGTAGCCTTTGACGCGCAAAAACGTCAGTTCCAGTTTTACGCGTCACGAATATATTCCCATCTCTACCCGCGGTCTCTATCGTCGTTATAATTCAGAATCAAGAGAGAGAGAGAGAAAGAGCTATATGTAGACCCACAGAGAATCAATAGGATGTGTTCGTAAAGATTCATTCGGAAATGTTCGGGCGAGATAATCGTGGATAATCGATATGATTTCAATCTCGCGAAGTCGAAATCAATTCGCGCGATTTGATTTGTTTCATCCCGTCCAATTCTTTTTCAAAATCCGACGAGTGCACATATAGTATGTACACGTGCTTCATCCGCTTTGTCGATTATCGATTTCTTATTTCGAGGAAAGTATAGTATCGACAGTGATGGGTAAGATATATTTAAAATGTATCTCGATATAGATACAGATATGTGTGAAAAATTTATATCTAGATACAGACACACAAATTAAAATATAAATACAGATACTCAGATACTTTCAAAGTATATCAGATATTTTTAAATTATATTTTATCGTAATAATGCGGTAATATGCACAAAATGTACTGAATAATTCTTTTATTCATATTTTTGTTTATATTACGACTTTATTCGGTGAAAAATGCCTCAAAGATATTGTCACTCAAACTATTTCACCATGGTACTAAAATTTAACCAATGCTTAATAATCGGTGTTGATGACGATATGTTGATAACTAGTCTTGATCTTTTACAAATTTAAAGAATTGGGCTATTCAAAAAAATATGTGAAAATGTATCTGCAAATGTTTCTGAAAAAAGTAATTCAGATACCATGTTTTGTATCTAGATACAGATATAGATACTTCAATTCGAATATATCTCAGATACAGACTCACAAGGAAAGTTAGGCAACCTGGAAAATAAAAAAATTCTGAAATTTGGTGTGCAAGAGTAATTTATCTTTAACACAAAACTATTTTTTGTTCGTGCTGAATTACGTCCTGAGGAGGTAAAATCATCCTTTATAAGTAGAATGGTTTTTAGCTTTTCTCGTTTTATCTCGAAAATGATTCAAGATATTAAAAAATGTTTTAGACAAAAGTTTTATGGTAAAAAAACCTCTATTTAACCACGTTAATACAATTTTGAAAAATAATTTTTCAAAATTATCAATCCTCCAAAATTATTTTTTCAAAATATTATTAACGTGGTTAAATAGAGGTATTTTTACTATAAAACTTTTGTCTAAAACATTTTTCAATATCATGAATAATTTTCAAGATAAAAGGAGGAAACTTATAAATCACTCTATGAAGGGTGATTTCACCTTCTCAGGATGTAATTCAGCATGAACAAAAAATAATTTTATGAATAAACTACTTGTACACCAAGTTTCAGAATTTTTTGAATTTCCGGGTTGCCTAACTTCCCTTATCAGATACAAAAAATGTATCTATACCCAACACTGAATATCGAGTATATGTTAAAAAGAGTACTAACTTGCCTAAGGATGCCGAGAATGGAATAGTTCACTACTCGATCTTCATTAAATAAGTTTTAATTCGTTTGCCAAGCGTGTCTGTTCCTCCTCCCGGCGACTTTTCGCGTAATGTTAAGGCTGTCGGAAGTTGGCAGAAAATTGTCCCCCCAAGCTCTGCTCTTGTTGCATGCGCAGCCCCGATGTCAAAAGAGGCGCACGTTCGCCCGAAGAGGGAAAATTTATACGCCGATGCATCTACATCTTGTTTATTCATTAGATACTCCCGTCTGACAAATATCGAATTCCGCCTTCCACGGCAGGTATATACTTCGCCAACTTCATAATTCCATTCGCGTCCTCGAGAACGCAGCTCAAATATAATTCCCGAGACTTTGACACAAATAAAATTTCGCCTCTCTCGAGGCTCTTCGAGAATCATACACTCACGCGCAAAATCTTACGTTAATTTATCATTTTGCTGCTCATACAAATTTCTCGATTATATACCAGGTAAATAAATTCGCAAATTATATATACTATGCATTGACATTTAATATATGCCAACATATGCATAATTAAAAATAAGTTTATACCAATCCGATATGTTATGTAGATTGCGCAATTTTCATTTTGCATTTATAGCTCGAGCTCATTTTAATTAAACGACTTACGTATAGATAGGACACGTGTGTGTGTGTGTGTGTGTTTGTTTGTGTAACAGTGGATTTTCACACGTGGATAATAATAACGGAAATTGTATTTAAATAATGATAACGTCTAAACAGATTAAGAAAAGTGTGATTTCTCTCCCTCTCTCTGGATAAATATATAATCGTGCTTGATATCGAATATGCTGTGTAACGATAACAACTATTAATAGCATTCCAATAAATCATATTATGTAGCAGATCAGTGATAATTGAGAATACCAGAATAAAATCTCAATTTATACGTTAACGTGTGTCAAATCAAGTTTGCATATAGACACACATTTTTAATAATAATATATAAGATATAAAAATATACAGGAAAAATAATAAAAGTGTGAATTTCCAGTGAAATATTTTTGTCAGTAAATTTGCAGTAAAAATATTGAACAAAAATTTATTCACTAATAATAATCATAGAATTTAATTATCGTGGCTAATAAACTTGGACAATAAACATTTTTTTCAAGATCTAATTAATAAACCTTCAAAGTAAATGCAATTAAAACGTTCGAATTGAGAGATTTATTTAAATAAGAAATCGAGGCAGGAATACAATGGAAAGAATAAACTTTTGTATGTATTTAATTAAAGATTATTCATTTAATGAAATCTTGCATACTTTTTCCTTCATAGAAAATTATTATTTATCGACGATAATGCTCTAGAAAAAATATCGATATTTAAAATAAAAACGTAATAACAAAATTATATATTTAATGAAAAATAAAAAAGAATAAGAAACCACGAATTGGTGAAATTTTAGTGACAAGAGATATGAAACACTGACAAGATAACCTGGCAAACAAGCCGCACCATAAAGATCGATGCTTATGTCTCGACCTTGTAACATCACTAAACATTATTTCGACAAAGTTATGTAATTCGGCAAAGTCAAAGCCGTGTAGATAATTGTTTTAAACTTTAATTATATTAGAGTGTATTATTAAATTAAAAAAATATTATTAAATATATTGTTTAATTTCTGCAACACGCTGCTTAATTAACTCGGAAACCGTATCTAGAGCACTGGATTAAAAATAATACTTTATCCAAGATTAAAATTACATGTTAACACGTTCGGATGACGTTGCTAAGTAATTTTTGCAAAATTATTAAAAATAGACTTCCTTTATGTTTTCCAGTCTTTAAATATCGACTTGCATAATGTATATCATAATATATATGTTAATGTGTTTCAATCACCGGGAGCGATATTGGTCAGATGATTATAAAAACAAATCTTGGATGGTCCGTGCAAGAAGAACTTTGTGACGTGAGTTTTCTCATTATCGGGACGAAGGAGAAAGAGAGACGTTTTACCGCGCCTATTTCTCGCGAGTATATAGTATATAGTATATAGTATAAGAAACAACTTTCCCGATTCCATTCTGTTTTTTTTTCTAATAATACAATACGTGTCAACGTGAGGATCGTGTTCGCGGCTACGAAGGTATCCCGTAGACGATGGGCTATTATAGACAATTGCGCAGGCGTCGCCGCTGGTGGGCTTTTTGTACGACAGACTAACTCCGGAGAAGGGAATTTCGTGAGGGAGAAACCGACAGTCGGCGTCGAGCCGCCCTCGTGCGATCTCGCGTTCTCGCAATCATGTGATGGAAATTCGCTGGGGAATAAGACTCGTAGTACGATGACACTCCTTGTTGCTTACGACTTTCGTCGAACCGCGACGTGAGAAATATTTCCTAGTTCAATTTCGTCGAGAGTGCAAAAATCTGTGGCGCACGTTTCCTACAAATTTAATTTTCATATATATATAAATATATATATATATAATATATTAGTCAAAATTGACCAATTTAAAATTTCGAGAAAATCCATGTGCTCGCAGCATGGCTATTTTGCAATCCTGTTGCTGTTGGCAATCCGTACGCAAAGGCAGCTACGCCTGTGCCGTTTATACTACAGTAAGTAATGCAATGTTTGCGTGTTGTTATACACGTCAGAAAAAAATAATCATTTTCTCTATGTACATTATCTTCCATGCGTAATTTAGCTGGACAAAATATGAATTTTAAAACTTTGCCGTGTTAAAAAATCTCACACGTATAATAGCTATTTTGCATATTTTATATTTTCGCATAGAGATTTAATTTTTAATTTGTTTTTAAATATTTGATTCGATTTTGTATGTATATTATAGTGCTTATTTTTTATATTATCTTTACTTAACGTCCGATATTAAATTAATTTAAACTTTATTCTATATATTTATCTTTACTTTTTGATAAAATTAAATAGAAAGAATAAAATTTTAGATTTTGCATACATATATATATATATATATATATATATATATATACACACATTTATAGTAAAAAAAATTTGATTAATGCGATAATACCATTATCTTTCATTTAAGGACTTGTACGATAGCTCCGCGTACGCTTAATGATTGATTCTTCCACTTACTCGTTTGACGACTAGACGAAATAGTGGTACGAGTCAATAACAGATGAGGCAATACGTTCTAGAAGACATTATGATTAATGACATTGTATTAATGATATTAGAAATGACATTGTATTAAAATTTTTTGTTTAAATATATCTCTTTCTGCAATTATATAAAAAAGTAAATATAGTAAATCCACGCAGACTTTATAATATATTTATTCGCGATTTTTTGATAAAAATATGTCGACACGTTGCGCGCAAATATACCGTATCAAATGTGTGTTTCGTAGAATGTAATATTACGTAAAGAAAATTATATAATATAAATATTACGTAAAGAAAATTATATATTATAAATATTCAATTTATATTATATAGTAATGCAATATTTTATATCGCATATTGCGATATAATTTGCTTCATCGAATTTAACAAATTTAAAATTTATTATTTATTAACATAATAAAAAAGTATTAATAAAAAATATTAATGAAAAATAACAACACATATGTACATAATTAGATCTGATGATAGTTATATCTGATGTGACGACATGATTAAACAACTTTAAAGCTTCCATTCCTAAAGTTTAAATATCATAAAAAATGATAAAAATTTTATAGAAGTTTTATATAAAATTTTCCTATTGTTTGTGATCTAATTCTTTTTATTGTATTTTTAAAGTTAAAAAAAATTAAAGTTAGATTATCTGAGGTTAAATTATTGAAGTTAAATTATTTTACATTTGCAAAAATTGACTTAAAGATGAAAATATGTTTAATTATTTTGATTAAAATTTTGTTCTATACACGTCACACACTTTACGTATTTTAAAAAATTATTTAAAACTTCTTATAAAAATACATTTCTTAAAATAAAAAAAATTATTTGCAATAATAAATTCTTAGAATAAGATAATATATTTTTCTCAAGAAACTGCGTTGTACATTACCTATGATATTAACTGTGATATTTGTTCTTCATAAAATAAATAACTAAGAATTACATATAAATAGATAAAAATGTACTGTAATAAATACTGATAGCTAATATTGGTTGCGTTCAGATGTTCACTGCCAGTTTTGAAGATCTATATATAGTATACATGACAAACTATAGAATTTTAGTACTGGTAGTGAATATCGGAACTTTCATTGCAGTTATATAATTCATGAAGTTGGAAGAGAACTATGCGAATATAATAATAATACGTGACAGATGATCTAAAGTATATTGTTAATGCATCGGCAAAACGCAGTAACGTAATATCGACCTGTTGTCATTATCGCAACCAACAGCAATCGTTAATAAAGACACAATACATTTCAATTGTATTACCAAACCGGCTAACTATAGATCAGCATATTCTGGAAACGTATCTGTTCAATCAAAATATGCATATCTGTGGTATGCGTATGTTATTGCACGCATGCACAAACACACACATGCACGCATGTTCGTACTGTTTGACACAACTTTTCGATTGCATTCTCCTGTCGAAAAACTAGCGACACAATAAAAAAACCAAAATAAATAAAAGTAGCTTTATTTTGCAATAGATGTGCATATATGTGTATCGGTAAAAGTTTTCGTTTACCAACAGGATCACGTTTAATTCAAACACTTTTTAGCTTTCCGGTTACGAAACCATCGCACTGTGCGTTTTAAACTTCTTTTTTAAATCGTTTTATCTCGTAAAAAATGGAATCAACAATGCATACGTATATGCCTATTTTATTAACGCAATTAGTTAATTTTAAAATTTAGTTAAAGTGCTTTTATCTGAATAGGTATAATGAGCTTTATTTTTTAATTAAAATTTTACGACATGCCTGATAAAAGTAAAACATTGTTATATTTCTGCAAGACACAAAAAAATAAACTCTCCATATTTCCAATATTCTGCGCAAAAGTATTAATTTATATAACTATACGTTTTGTGGTAATATATAAACTATATACATATATTAAGTATGACATAAAACGTGTTTATTGTAAAAATTTTGATTGTTTCAGAATTATAAAAAGCGTGAAAGCAAATAGACCGCGAAGACACAAAATAAACTTTGTTAAACTGTTATCGAACATGGTTTGCGTAATTGTGTAAGGGGTTGGAAATTAGTGGTATCTACGAAACCTTATAGCACGCAAAAGTTACATGAAAGTCATTTGTGAGTTTCTATGGGGCTTTAAACCGCAGGAAATTAAACGTATCCTTTAATAACCTTTCTCTTATAATTGCCAAAGTTTCAGTATCTAATCTAATTATCTTTGTTAATTTTTTCATCTCCGATCTCTGATTATTCTTCGGACGAAGAAACGACTTCTGTTCTGTTTTGCTGCTTATTTAGCTTAGTTTTAGAACTATTCAATACCAGCTCAATTAACTTTTGCAGATTTTATTTCGCGGCTACGTAGTTATATCGCTGTTTTATCATTATTGCGAAATGTTCGGCAAAATCCCCTCCAAAAAAACACGCTTTAATTACCTGACTCCGTTAATTATCTCGTTAGTTCCGGAACATAATTGTAGCAACCTCATTACATACTCTATAATGCCGCATCATTGATTCTCTCCATGGCAGGTTTAGAGTGATATCTGATTATATTGTTTATCTATAATATTATAATTTGATTGATACGAAAAATTCAAAATGCCTTTATCACATGAACCCTCTAATTTTATTAATTTTTGATTAGATTTCAAATTTATTTTTAATGATTTTCTCCATTTCTTAGAAATGTGTCACAAATATATTTATAATCATATTTTTACAAAATACATAATAATTGTAAATTGCAATTCAATGCAATGAAATTACATTTTCAGCTAATTTTTGCAGAAGATTAAATTAATTTTTAACTTACAAGTTTGATAACAGTTTGGCACACGTGTGCTCTAACTCGGTAGATCTAATAAAACAAATTTCAAGTGTCTACCATAAATATAGGCCTGAAACGAGGGTTGCGAAACGCTCAGTCAGCGTTTCATGGATATCAGATGGCGACGAGGAGAGAAAAACGTAGCTTCGAGGCGCGTTTTCACTTTTTTCCTCTTTTACCGGTCTCTGGTGCACAGTTTTAGCGACCCGGCTTGCGAGCCCTTTTAATTGTGTACAGAAAGTGACAAAAAAAGAACGTTCAAAATTTAAGGACCTATGGACCAAGAAAATTCAATTTAAAACTTTATCATGTTGAGAAAATCAATAACGCTTATATACATATACGATGATTACGTTGTATGTTAGCTAAGAATAAAGTTCCAGGTAAATATTTGAATAAGACACATTTAATATAATGTGCTTACAATAACTATTTATATTATAGAAAATATAATTAAATTATAATTAAATTATATTAAATTGTTGATATAAAATATATTTATATATGCGAATTAATGATTTATTTATAACTGTCAGAGTATAATTTTAATAATTTTTTACAAAACACACATATATTTAATAATAATATGCTTTTAAATTAGAGCAATTAAGTAAATGAAAAAGTGGAATAGAATATCTCTTTCTCGTAATGTGCATTTTTAGTTTTTATTCTTTTATTATAAAAAAGTATAAATCAGCCTAAAAGCAATTATACAATATTTTGCTCAATTTTAATGCAAGATAGAGAATGCGGAAAATAGATAGATGCGGCAATTGCCGCGCACTTTTATTATTTTTACATAAATTACCATAAAATAATGATATTCCAGAGCAAGTGAATGGATCGAATTATAATAGAGTTTTCCTTGCTATTTACCAGTCTTCTTGATTCTATATTTTTTTTTTATTTTCTAAGTAAACGTCAATCTTTTTTCTTCTTCGTGAAACGAAAATTAACGCAAATGCTTCGTCTATGTGAACTTATAATTAGCCTTCAAGTTTTAATGAATTAAGTTCTCAATGTAGAAAATGACAACAATTTTTGTAATTTGTAATAATAATTTTATTTACGGTCAAAGCTATAAAAAATGGAATTTTGAAAAAAAAAAAAAATAAAACAGTTTGCAACACATTAAAGGATCGATTTCATATGTTTATCTAATTTTTTTCCTGCGATCGATATAAGAAATGAATTTCTATGATTACGAATAAAAAATTAAATTTTAATATTGTTGAAGATAGCATTATGCTAAATTAATGTTAGACCAATCCTAATAAAATTTGCTACTTATAAACAAAGAGAGAGAGAGGAGAGAGAGAGGGACAGAGAAAGATATATATAGTAACGCAAATATTAATGTAAATTAATGCAATATAATATGAAAGTGCAACGACAATGAATTATCCGACTTGCATTTAATTCACAGTACCGAATGCGCCGTGATATGCTTACGCAACTTGTTGCAGCATTAATTAATATAGTTTCATGTTTTTACTGTGTGCGTGCTTCTATGAACAAACACTTCGAGCGAACTCAGACCATAAACCCTTGGGAAATTTGTTTACCTAATAAAACATATCGCTCTCCTCCCTCATTTGATCCTTTTTTTTCAGCTATTTTTAATTTTGATAAAAATATTCGAAGTTTGCATTTTTCTTTATATAAATATTTTCCTTCATAGAATTTTAAATTAAAAATTATATAAATCTTGCCTTCTCGATGTTTCAATCTTACATAAAGATGACGTGAACATATTATTTAATAAGTAAAATTCTGTTTCTTTAAAAATAAAAATTACAAGTCTCTCAATAAATTAATATTTTTAATAAATTTAATAAATTTAAAGTTAACATACATTCTAAATTTCATAATATATTATTCACATATTTATATTATACGCATATTTGTTATTACTTTGTATATTAAAAAAGACAAGCACAATATATTTTAAATAAATTTTCGCGAATAAATCGACACACACATTCGCGTCTATTTCATAAAATAAATATTACTTTTCACATCGGTCCTGTGCAATTCTATCGCAATTTCCTATTTCTTGTTGCCTCGGGATAATTTACTTCTCTGACTATGTTCATAAATGCATGTCTGATTAGCATCATATATACACACACATATGTAAAATTACAATAATTGCTCATTATTTTGTAATCAGTACTCCCAGCTATTTTTTCGTTGCTGTCTTTTATATTACGATGCGCTGTATATATTCATAAAAATCAGCGATGGACCAATTAAATCACTTTACTGTTTTTTACAAAAAACGATGATCGCCCGATTGTGTACTGTGTACATACATACAATATGGAAAACGGAATGAAATCGCCGATAAATTCATTCGGCTCACCTGTTACACTGGCGATTGGATGGTAAAAAGTTACAAAAAATTACGGGAATGCAGCAAATACGGACGCGACTATTATGACCTTTATCATTGTCTGACGTCAAGGGAAAATCTCTCGTCTTCAGTAATTCGTCTCTCAATAATCCTCCCGATTCTCTCTCGATGTTTGATTACGTTTGCGATTATCATGAAAGGCATATTGATCATCGGAAAACGTCGCTTACGTCAACATTAAAGCAATCTAATGTGCTAATTGGACTCAATTAAGACAATTGCATTTTCCTGTCTCGCGCGTTTATATATATATATATATATATGAAATATTGTTTTTCGGAGAACGAGATTCGGGAGAAATGCGAAAAAATAACGATGCTTCGATTCGACGAAGAAGTTCAGGATGGACATTTGTTACGAATATTATCGAAAGACACAATGATTGTATTCGCCTACACTAATTAACGCGCTAAAACGATTGACCATCGCAAAACTCAACACTCAGACACTCGTTTTAGTATGCAAAAGATTCGCTCTGGACGAGCAAACGAGATACAGAGCGAACTCGAGGTTTAAAAGTCCTTTATGATGAAAATCGTGTGGTTTGTAGAAATTTTTCTGGGGAACGTTACGCGCAACTGTGATTTATGAAAATAATTTTAAAACTCAAACGGAGTTAAAGTGAAAAAAATTCAGAGAAGATTTAGAGTAAAATCGCGGAATATTCATCAGAAATCGATTTCCACAAATTTCAGAAGTAAGGTTTCTCGCGCGCACGGAATTTTAATTTAAATGCATAATAACAGTTTAATGTTTCTCGATATTTCGAATTCGCGATTCGCTCTCCAAAGCAAAATAATTTTTTTGTCTTCTTTCCAGAATATCACGTAATAAATGAAAAAAAATATAAATTTTAATTAAATTTTATTTTAATCATTTATCATAAAATTATTTATGATAGAGAAATAATACCGTAGATCTTAAAATTAAAAGTTCTGAAATCTTTGTTTTTCAAAAAGCAAAATTTGCAAGATTATTCCACATGCTTTTTTATATAAATAAAATATTAAAATTGAATTTACGGCGGTACGTAATTAGTTTCGCAAAAAGAAGAAGAAGAAAAAGAAGAAAAACAAGAAAATGGAATGAGAGGAAAAGGAGATATTTGTTTAATGTCGATGAATTACGATAGCGATAGCGACAATATCGTACAATTCTATACGGACGATATCTCCTGCTGACTCTCCCAGAATTAAATGCTTGCTAACGCGAAATCGAATTATTCTCCGGATATTGAACTCATGTCGCACATGCCTGTTGTTTTTCTATCGTGCTTTTATAAAATCCATATCTAGATATATCGAGAGAAGTAAAAGCTGAAAAATCTAAAGATTAAAACAGATCCTAAATATACAACTTAATGGAAGAAGAGATTGAATTACACGTTAAAATATTTTGTTAAAACAGGCAGCTTATCCGGTTTATCAAATTATTCAGAGGCATTACCCAGAATGACCCGTTTAAATAACGATAATATATGAATATTCCTAAAGCTAAAGTTAATTGGAATGCTAATGAATAAATTATCCTTAATTAATAATTTTATCGGAAAATAAATTACAATTCCCTCTCTCATCTCTCTCTATGTACGTTAAATATGTTTAACAGTATAATTTATAATACACTTAATAAGATGCGTGGTTGTTTGTCTAATAAGGAAAAACAAAATTCACAAAAAAATTGAATCTGAGTCTTGAGAATGTCATTAATCGATCTCGATTGAAATGATGTATTTTGTAAAAAAAAAAAAAAATTAATGGCATTCTTTCTGTCTATACTCGCGGTTCTAGATATACTTTGCTCTACTAGTATTAACTACCGGCACGGTTCTTCGAGAGGAAAGTCAATATCTCAAGGGGAACGTTTCTCTACCGGAGTCATCCAGTTTTCTAGAATCGGGGACCATATCGCCAAGTAAGTGAACAATAAACAACGAATAGTGCTCTAGTGAATTTAATGGTATTTGACTTTTCTCCATTGTAACAAAATTTTCGGTCTTACGCATCATCCTCGAAATTCGTCTCTATCTGAGTAGTCTTCGCTTCTCGCTTAAGAGGATCCTAAACGTTCTTGAGAAGTCCGTTGTTTTTTCCTGTTTTATCGACAAAGTGTGAGATTAGATAAATTATCTTAAATTCTCGAATTCATACAGATTGATAAATCTTTTTCCTGTACAAATTGAAGTATTAATATTAACAAAGGCAAAGCGCTCTAATTTCAGATAAAAAACAATCCATGTAGCCAATAAATAGATTTATAGTTTTATCCGTTGTTTTTTCCTGTTTTATCGACAAAGTGTGAGGTTAGATAAATTATCTTGAATTCATAATTCTATAAGCTTGATAGATGAGGCTATACAGATTGATAAATCTTTTTCCTGTACAAATTGAAGTATTAATATTAACAAAGAGCAAAGCGCTCTAATTTCAGATAAAAAACAATCCATGTAGCCAATAAATAGATTTATAATTTATCTAACCTCACATTTTGTCGATAAAACAGGGGAAAAAACAACAGACGTCTCGAGAACATTTAAGGCTATTGCACATAAAAAAGTTTCAGTTGTAACCATAGGATTCGGCCAATCACGTTGCTACGGTTAAGGATGGCAAATCGAGCAACGTGATTTGTCGAATCTTACGGTTACGACTAAAACTTTTTACGTGCAACGGCTTTTAGGATCCCCTTAAAACAATATTGTATTGCTTGTATTGCTTCAGCCACGGTTTATTTCAACGGAATGCTGCTTGTCTGCTCCTGCTGCGGCGTGTTGTGCAGCCTCCTTCTTTTGTACGGCTTGTACAAGGTAGGGCAAAATTCCAGAGTAAACATTAAAGCGCCGTATTATAATTTCCACTCCTTCATTTCTAACAATTAGATACTGCAGGAGAATTACTTTCAAAATATAGAGATGTACAGAGATAGCGTAAAAGTCTAGATTTTAAAATAGTATAATAATTCCATTCCTTCATTATTTGTGAAAATTAAAAATTGCAAGGATTGATTTGAAAATATAGCTGTAGAATCTCTATTATTATTACCATTATCTCTATTAGATTATTATATTAGATACTATTATTATATTAGATAGGGAAAAGTGTCATCCTACTCTTTTAGATGTCATCATTGTTTTTTATTCTTTCTTTGAAAAGACAACATAATTTGTACGAGTACCTCTTGTAATACTTCTTAGCGTATATTTGAGCAAACAGTTAAATTTGCATTGTACTATCTCTCTCTTTTCGCCTTTCTCAAGACGTAGATTTTCATGTTCTATTACATTTACCACTCAATCCCGTGAGAATGCAGTAGAAGATACTTTTGCTGTCACTTGGAATGTGATAAAATAGTATTATCGCTACTCCCGAATGGATGATATGAAAAGCTACTGGTGTAATATATACACGTTATTCCCGAGAGATACGTGTCATTAAACATAACACAGAATGGACAATTGAATGAACAATTCAAATACGCTGTCGTTAATAAATATGTATGTATCTACTTTTTAATTTAACTCCTAATGGAAAGTATAATCTTGCTAATTAGTTTCAAAATTTTTTATTTATAATTTTAATGTATCCTTAAATAGAGAAGAAAATCAAAGATCTAAGTTTGAAGATCTGTTCATACAGCTATTATTTATTGCCAGACTCAGACATATAGCAAAACATGCGTATTGATTTTTTATTTTTGTTTCTTTCACTCTATGATATATAGATATAGTGGTTTCTTATATTGACTGACAATGAGTGAAGTTTTCATGCAGTAACATATATGTATATATAAGTCGTCAATAAACGTATATAATTTACTTTGCGTGCGCGATATTATTATGAATGATAAAAATCATAAATGCATGAGCGGTTGGCAAAAGAAAAAGAGAAAAAAGAAACATGGAGCGGAAACGCATTAAAGACCTTCATTATTCTGAGTACCTACTTGACTGTAACTAATATCATTAATAAAACAAATTGTGGCATTCACGCAATATAACGTAACGTAAAGTAATATATTCATGAATATTAATAACTGAACACTGATAACACAGCGAGAGAAAGCTTTTTGCAAGCATTACAAAAAAATTTGATGAAAAATACTTGCTGCGTTTCATATATTCTATCGCTTTACATTTACAGATTTTCCACTACGCTTCGTGTTTTATTATTTTAATATCAATGAATCATTAAACTAAACCGTATAATTAAAATCGTCGGAATTCAGAAACGTGATATGAAGCAGAAGTTCCTGAAAATTTTTTCGTAGAAAATTCTACGTATAATTTCTATATGAACTATTTTATGAATGTTACTCATTTTCCGCGTAAATTTTCAGGATCACAAAATATTGCTGCTTCCATGGATTAGCGTAATTATCACATGTAGCATCGTTGACATAGCACATTCGCTATACTTATTTATTGTTACAGTGAGTATTATAATGTATTCTTTTTTATATATATATTTGTATAATAAAAAAATTTTTTCTAAATTTTTCTTACAATTATATAGAACTTAAAATTGTTTTTTTATTATTTTAAATACCTTGATATATTTAATTTAATAATTCATAATTAAAAATTTATTATTAAATCGGGTATAGGAAACTAGTGTATTTTTTGTGTTTCATAATGTATTAATTGATAAGATAATATTTCTTACGTAGAGAATTTTCTCTTAGAATTTACCTTAAAAATCATGGTAATTGTGAAACAACATGGTATTGGAAGAATAACAATTTTGCTGATTAATATTTACCACAGTAAAAAATATTATTTACCACAATAAGATATAAAATATGTTCAATTAATTTTACTATGTACATATACTAAAATTTATTATGTACATATTGATATTTTTTATTGTAATAAATATAAATCAGAGAAACTTTTATAAAAATTTTTGCAATACCTTATATTGTTCCGCGATTATCATGATTTTCAGGGTATATTCTAAGAAATTCTCTCCGTGCAGTTTGACGAAAATTTTATAAAAGCAAAAATTGATGTGAAAATTTGATAGAAAAGGGGCGTAAATATTTGAAAACAAGAGCAATCTTGTAAATATTCTTTAATTACCTTTCTTCGAGCATATAAAATTTTCTAATTGTCAATATCTGTTTCATATTTTATTTGATTTATACAACATTTCTTACTGAATTTATAATCAAATCGATGGTCCAAGAATCCTGTAAATTTGATAATAAATTTTTTTATTTTGTTTGATGTAAAATATTCCTGTATTTTTCCTTTATTCTCATTCTGCCATATTTGAAATTTACGAGTATCGGCTGCTTGAAAGCTTCGTAACTATTTTAGGCAGCTCCGTCCTTTGCGAGAGAAATATCAAAACTAAACTTGGCAGTCTTTTAAAATAAATCATAGAAAATCCAAATATGCATCCAAGACACGAGGACAGACATAAGTATATATTTTACGTCCCTTTTCAAATGTTTATGACATTTTTCAAACGCATTTACATATATGAGATAAGATATTTTGTATATATAAAATGTTGAACAATTTTGATCTATTACAGTCCGAGTTTAATCCAGCAAGAGTTATGCTCTACACATTAAATTTCTTTCTACTCTGTTTAAACGTGAGTACATTCGACTAAGTTTAATTGCCAAACAATTTATTGTAATAATTGTAATTGTTTTATAGTCATTAGAACCTATTAAACTCGTTTAAAGAGATTCATACGTACAAGGTCTTATTACACCAACGTCATTTTGACTTTAAACGAGACTTAAATATGTGTTTGCTTTATTTATTTAGAGAAAAAATAAAGATACATTTTTAAGTCTTGCTTAAAACTAAAATAATGTTGATGCAATCGGACCTGAGATACATATTATAAAAATTATAGTTGTATAAATCATATAAAATAATAATCATATTATATGTATATGGTTTATCGCGCGCTCATGAATAATAATAGGTAATTGAAAAAAAATACTTATTTTATATAAAATAATAATAAGCAGAAAAAATAAAGAATTAAATAATTAATTAAAAATACAAAAATTATTAATTAAAAATAAAAAATTATTAAATTCTCTAAATTGTGTTGAAAACTTATATGCATTTATACGTTGCAAATATTAAAATAACAACGCAAAACAAATCTTGTTACAGATATATTCGCTTTTATGTGTCATCTCGCAGTATCAAGAGTACTCAGCTGGTCGCGGCACAGCTGCGCATGACTACGAATATAGGGTCAGTATTCCGAAAATTTCGCAGAGGAAAGAACAGTGGGATGAGGGACAAAAAGTTAAGTGAATTATTCAGTCGTACTGCTTTATTCACGAAGCTTATTCTCAGCTTATTTGACAAGATGCTGTAAATATAATATATTAAACGCGTGTACATATAATCTGCGAACAATTTAAGATATATATATATATATATATATATATATATATATTCTGTAATACTAGTAAATGGTCTCTGATATCATTAGACAACAAAACAACAAGGGAGACTAACGAGAAGTCTCTGAAAAAAAATACGACAAATGTTTCCTAAAAGCTAAGAAAGTAACGAAGTAAAAAGACATCCGTAACAACTTTGTTACGTCAATTAGCTCATAATCAATGTCACAAGGGACATCGATCGTGCGTCGGGAATTCTGTTACATTTGCAGTCTTCTTTACGTCGGAGATATCTCGAATTCTTCCCTCGTATAAATTTATATCCCTCTATGTATATACAATGTCCCCCTATATAACTTTTTAGCAATATTCTTATAAAAGCTGACAGTATCGATCAATGTACAAATTTTAGCAAAAAGTTTCTCATTTTTTTGTAAGATGTGATTTCTATCGTCGATTCGCTAAATCCCGCAACCCACGTTCCGAAAAGTTTTCCATTTGCGCAATATATTATTTATGTCTCATAGAATATCTCTCTTGAAGGTTCCAGTAGTCAGATACGTAACGCAACCGCCGACTACGACCGCTACCACGTCGTGTCTAAGTTCGCGAAAAGGTGTCACTAACAATGAAACAAAAGCTACGCCGACTCAGAGTCCCACGACATGTCACAACCCTCTGTTATCGGAGAAAAGTCCCACGGGGGGCCGGTTATCAAGGAAGCACGTTCAATTTCCAGATACAACGACAAGTCAGAGACCAGGTGAGCTCATATATACGCATTTTGGAAGTGCGAAATGACTAAAAATAAATTTATAAAATCTGGGACAACGCGCGAGAAGAAGAGAAATGTCACGTCCTCGATATCAGTTTACCTCGATATCACGTCGCGCTCTCACACATTTCATCACATGTGCCATTTTCATTAATCTGCGCTGAAGCTCGGTACCAATTTTCAGTTGTCACTGCCTGCATCGTTTGTCATTGAAAATTACGTGTGAAACTACATATATTCATATATTTTGACATTTAAATAATCATCAAAAATGCAGCGCACAAATTATTTTGTGTAAAACATTACATCTTCGAAATGAAGTTGTCACACGTCAAAATATTTAGTTATTGAGAAAATCAAATTATTTTAATGTTTTTTTTCCTGAAAACTCGTGTTCTAAATAATTCGTAACAGAAGACTCTGTGAGCAAAATATAATAAATAATATCACGCAAATATGTAAAATAATTATACTATTAACTTTTTTGAATAAAATTTATCGAAAAAAATAAATATGTATCAAGCCAACTCGTGTATTCATGTCTATTGAATTTTGAATGAACGAATGAGGAATGTTTCGAATCTGTTATACAATGTTTCAGAGATACCAATAGCAATGGACCAAACGAAATGTTCGCCGAAAATTGATCGAAATAAGGATCGTTCGAGAACTTGGCTGAAACCTAACGATATAACGATCCTAGTTAGTCAGTCCTCACCGTCAAGCGACGAAGAGCATGTCGATTACTCGTAAACAATATGATTACTCGATACACACACACACACATACAATGCAATTGTTAACAATCAATAAATATGTACATATATGTGACTCCTATGCGCGCATCCAGGGAGGACGTGTATTATCAATGTGTAAATACAAAGATCAATTTTTTTATATAAAAGAAAAGACAATCTTTTATAAATGTCATTAACTTATTTATCCTTCTCTTATTTAATAATAGCGCTTGCTCGACAATAATCTCTCATTTTCAGTTTTTGATCGAATCTGAATCGAGATCATATATATCCATATATATCTATAATAAAAGAAGTCATGAAACGCGTGAGGTTTGTATTTTGAGTCGCATGTATCGTTGCCACTTTTCCGCGTGTCTGATTGATAGTCGAGTTGCGCAAGATGTCTCGCAATATATGTGTGATAAAAAAATTAAAATAATATTAATAGCGCGCGCGAAGTAAATGCAATGACAGAACCTATCGGTGTCGCGGAAAAGAGGCAACAATCACTTCGAAACTTTCGATTATCGATATAACATATTTTTTAGAAAGGGACTAGCAACACTACTTCGTTTGAACGTTAGCATATCATTAAATGTTTTCCAAATTTGAACAATGAAATTTTATAGATCTCGACGAGTTCTACAGTTCTGTAGCATAGTTCCGACCGTAGGCTGTCACTAAATATATATTTAACGCAAAAAACTCGTAATTTTAAATATGTGATATGCTAGACGTATTTCGAGCATTTTGTTTATTATAAAATAATTCTCGTACAGTCCTGTGGGCACGTACATTAATTATTTTCGGAGTAATACTAATTTTAATTTACAAATTCATGTTTTACACATAAAAATACCCGGGAAAAAATGAATTACATCTAAGTAGATTTATTACTTTAGATTTATTTAGATCTAAATTTTAGAATAGATCTAAACATTTTAGATCTACCTAGATTCATTTAGATATATTTAAATAAATAAAAATTTAATTAATTTATTTAAATATATTTTTTTATTATTTAAATATATTTTATTTATTAAAAACGGAATGTATATGTGAGAATTTACGAAAGTACAGTAAGTAATTTTAAAAATAACATAATTTTTATCACAAAAATATTGAAACGTTATTTCACATTTATTAAGTCAAATTACAATGTTACATACATGTAGATCTACTTAAATATACTTATAAGTACATATATAAAGTATTTATAAATGTTTATTTAAATACTATTAATATAATAAATATATTTATAAATACTAATAAATAATATTAGTATTTATAAATATATTTCAAAACCAAAGTATTTCAATAGTATTTATAAATACAAGTCAAAACAAGATCTTGTATCTTAAATATTTTGTTTCGAACTATCTGCCCAACCCTGTATGTATATAATTATATATACATTTATCTGCTGCAACGATTTTTTATTTTCTCAATCACTGCAGTCGTTTCCGCATTAATAAACTGAATAATCATGCTCGTAATAAATAACTATGTTTGCTGGATTCGGCGTAATTTAGATAATGTCATGTCAGCTTTATATGAAACATGCCGACTTTTTGATACGAATTATACATTATTATCGCGAATGTTTGACATGAATAATTGCAAAGTCGCTTAAACATTACAACATATACGGTTTATCGTAGAAAAAAACGCTGCTGATTAAATTTTTTTTTATTGCATCATCAAGGACATTTCTTAGCTTTTACATTATATTTATATTATAACATACATCTAACAAGATAAATAATAACACACACAGTAATTACAATTAGTAAATATATTACATAATATTCTTTATCATAAATGTCAAAATGTCACGATATAAAAATATTCGCTAATTTTTGTACATTAACAGCATTGCTGCATTTTGTACTTTACAATTCTTTACTTAACAAAAGTAATAGAAGATATAGTTTGCTATAACTTATTATTACAGATCAATTAGAGCAAAACAATTGCAGGAATAATTATAAGATTAACTTACAATTACAAATAAAATTTTAATTATACATAAACTAACTATTTATTGTCATCAAAAAAATTTAACGTAAAAATAATTCTTTTTAGATTTTTGCATCTGTACTCGACGAGCAGTGCAAAATATTCTGGATCTCCTGCAAAGTCTTGCCTTTGGTTTCAGGTACGTAGACAAATGTGAATAAAGCACCAACAAAACTACATGCTGTAAATATCCAGAATGGTACGTGTATGCCATAATTAGCAACTATAATTAGGTACAAATTTGTCACACCGAAAGCAACAACACCGGATGAAAGCATAGTTACCATGCTGCCAAGAGCCTTCACATTCGTGGGAAATAATTCACCAATCAAGACAACCGGTAACGCGGACAAACCTACAGAAAACATGATTACATACATGATTACACCAACGGCAGGCAACCATGTTAGATTGCTCATGTTCACATTATCATGCTGCAAATGAAATATATCGCGACCATGGCGGTCGAACAGGCTGAACCGATTAAAGAGATCATCAACAGCGATTTCCTGCCGCTACGATCGGTGATGAACATACAGACGACGGTGCTAACCACTTGTACCGCGCCCAGTATCATGGTTAAATATTTGCCCTCCAAATTACTATTTGCCTGGTCGAAAATTAATTCAGCGTATTGCTCCACGGCCTGAACGCCGCTCATATGGTGAAAAGATCCTAATATTATTAGTATCAAAAGGGCTCTGAAATCAAAATCATCTTTTAAATGCTTGTATAATCAGGATGATAGCTTCAAAATTGTCATAATGATTTTGAGGATAATAAAAAAATAATTATTATTGAAGATTAAGTTGATATGCGAATATCGCTTATATCAAAATAAAAATTAACATACTTGCGATTTCCGGATACACATAAGAGTTCACGGAAACCACTATTATTTGCCAAATCAACTTTTACAGACTGTTCGATCTCATCTGCCTCTTTATAAACATCGTTTTTATCTCTTAATTGAACGAGAGAATCTATGGCCTTTTCTCTGGCGTTGCGTCGCATTAAATGATACGGAGATTCTGGTACCCAAATAAAAGCTACGAAAAACATGCAAGGCCCTGCCAAGGACACTAAAGCGAGATTTTTCACTGATAGGAATGAACCTATCACGTATTCGAGTGTGGTACCAATTTTCGAAACGACTGTGAGCATGGATGCCAAATTACCACGAATATCTGCTGGTGAAATTTCACAAATGTACATTGGTGTAGCCATATAAGTGATGCCTGTACTAAATCCGGCCAAAAATCTCGATATATAAAGTTCCTACATAAGAAACAGAGAAAAAAGTAAAAAAACATTAATAAACAGAATGTGTCAAATTGATTCTCATTCTAATAATTTCCAAAAAAAAAAAAATTTATATTTAAATCGCAATGTTTTCAAAAAATCTCTAAAACAAGCAAGTTTTATATGTAAAGTGTGTAAGTTATATATATAACATTGTATTAATTAAATTCTTAAAATAAACCCGGAGAAAAATATATGTGAAGTGAAACGAACAAACGTCTGATTCTTAATTAATTCCTACTCTCTTCATTCCTGTTAATTTCAGAATATATTTAAAAAAGACGTTTAATAAATCATTGTGTTCTTGAAGAAAATGAACAAATATAGAAGTTGAATTACCCACGCTGATGTTGCGAAGACAATCATCATCCAACTAATAATTGAAGGTGCAGCAGCGAATAACATGGCGTTTTTTCTACCAATAATATTCACTATAAATGCACAACTAATAACACCAATCAATGTACCAAACATAAGTAAAGATGCCACCCAAGATGCTTCTTCTGAACGCAAAAGCACAGGATATGTTTCATCTTTTCCTTGCATCAGTTTAGGCAAAGATGGCGAAGTCCAACCAAAATATTGGCCGACTGTCAGCATACCTAGATTTCCTGATAAAATAAGTTCACATAGAATGGAAATATGCCTTATTTTAGACATATACAATAATTTTTAATATTACATTATAATTGAAATAATAATATGTAAACAATTGTTGTAATTATAATCTATGAAATTACGATATGTACATCTAAAAATGCATTATATCTATAATTAAATTTAAATGAGAGCAATAAGACTTGTTTTAAATATCATAAGGAATTAGAATTATTATATACAAATTATTATATAAAAAAGAATTAGTAGATACAAAAATTAGACTATATAATATATATTCTCTTAAATACCTTCTATAAAATATTTATGAAAATTATTTATTATACAAACTCAATATAAAGAGAATTTAAATTATTTTAAATACTTACACAAAATAATTTTTAATTTAATATCAATTTAATTATATATATATATATATATATATAAAAGAGAGAATTCGTAGCAATATTATATCATAAAATTTATTTATGTGTTTATAGTTAATCCAAGACACGTTACCAACCTGCTACAGCAGCAAGATATATTTTCTTCATCTTTCACAATACAACCGCCTTCACTTCCAAACGTTAAATGACTGAGAGAATTCATAATTATACTAATTTAATTCCGTTTACTTATTACTCATTGTCATATCAACTTTATCTTCAGCACAACTTGCAATTTGATCCATACATACACAATTTGATGTAAACAAAGTATATAACCGCAGAAAACAAGGTTAAGAACAAATTTAATCTTAATTTGAAAAAATTTTGATATCTTATCTTAAATTATATACTATTTAATCTACATATTTTACAGAAAACTTTTTCATGATTCTATATATTACCGAGAGATTTTCATATAAAAGGCATGCTCTATTATTAAGGAATTTAATAATATAACAATATAAATATTTAAGAACAAGATTATAAACTATAAAATAATATGTAAACACATTGTAATTGTATTACCATACTTGTAATAGCAAATACAGTTATATGAATCGTTCAATTTTGAATTCTGATTTATTGTAAAATAGTACTCTCATTATAGTATATTCTTGTATTTTATAAAGAATTTGTAGCATTTATATAATTATTAGCGTTTATATATTATTTGATTTAATCGAGAAAGTCATATCACATATATATGTATGTTAGAAACTAATCGATTATCGTGAATTCTATTTTATTCTAAAATAATTCTTTTATATAATATATTCTTTTTTATATGATTCCTTTATATAATAATAATGAGCATATTCTAGAAATTTCTAAAAGTTTTAATGCTTAGCAATGGTAATTAATTTTTTAATTAATGCCAGTTTACATGCCCGCTTCGCGCGCTCCTTTGATGTCAATTCTATTGTTTATTTTACAACTGTCAAATTGTTAATCTTTACAATGATAGTTGCTTGATGCTATGACCATAATTTTAATTTGCCCAATTTCTATTATATACATAATTTTCATTCGCTGAATTTCTATTACATAATTCTATTACTTAATTTTAATTCCCGAATTTTTATTCTTCTTTACAATGAACAATGAATCGGGCCCGACAAAAGCAATTTTCTCTTCCTACAGCCTTTCCATCAGACTAATACATCCCATACATCTGTAACGCTGCGCGGCTCACGCGAGACTGATTCTCGTGCGAGTATCACGAACGCGGGACCGATGATCACATGACCAACGGTCACATGACCAGCGGTCACATGACCACTGGTCCTCGGACCTCGGTTTCGCGCTCGCGGTATCTCGCACGAGAATCAGTTTCGCGCGAACCGCGCAGCGTGATGGATGTATGGGGTGTAGAGTCTCGCGCGAGTCTAATGAAAGCGCGGATATTTGATTACAGAAGTTTCTTATAGAACATTTTATTTCTTCATTTGTATTTTTTGTTAAAGATTTAAATATTGAATTTTTGTGCGTTGCATAATTAATTAATATATTTATATGCATTAATTGCAATAATAATTTTTGCATGCATGCGTCCTAATTTTTTAGATTTTATCAAAGAATAATATAACTTCACTGTTCGTGCATAATTATATTTGATTAGATTAAACGAATACATCTGATATACATATACATATATGCTACATAAATTTAGTATTTATAAACAGATTTATTAATACAGTAGGAAGTTACAAGTAATTATGTCGATTCATAAATCAAACTCAGTGTTTTGCTATCAAGCTTAATTATAATAGCAAATTATTGTTAGTACAGTAAACTGATAGAATACTAATACAAATTTGAGAAATACAACTCAATATTTCATTAAAAAATAATACAGATATAAATAAAGGTTATATATTAAACAGTTATATTTTAATTTTATATTTTATTATATATTATATATTTTAATATTAATTCTCGAATGTCTATTACGTACATAATTTTATTTTGCCAAATTTTAATTATGTATATAATTTTTATTTCTGAATTTTCTTATATGTATACCAGATAACACAAGCGCGCGCGTTATTGATATTGTAATAATTTTTTATTTTACAACTGTCAAACAATTAATCATTGCAATGGCAGTTGTTTGATACTATTATATATATAAATTAATACAACATACAACGTTAATCGAGACAACCAATGACTTATTTGCATGCCTCTTTTAGAAAGGGACATAGCATATAACTTCTCTTAAAAATTTGTCATTCTAATTCCTTAGCACTATATATATATATATATATATATATATATATATATATATATATATATATTATTATAATATATTTATTTCAATATTTTTAACAATAAAGTAAGAATAAACATTAACAAAAGAATATCACTAATTTCATGCAATATATAGAGTAAGAGTATATTTATGCATAAAAAATTGTTTACAGTTTATTTCCAAATTTTCACAGAAGCAGTACAAGATTAGCCTACTACAGCCTCAACAATACAGATCATTTAAAAATATTGTGTTTGTAAAATAATTCGAGACAGTTGTAAAGGAGACTTCAACAGTGATTGTTGTTCAATTGTAAATATTTGACTAACTGATCGAAAGAAAGTCAACATAAAAATATGCTATCGACACTCATCACTGCTTCGACGAACTATGCAGCATCTCTTGTATCTGTTTTAAAGTCTTGCCTTTGGTTTCAGGTACGTACAGAAGTATGAATAGAGCACCAGTAAGACTGCACGCTGTGAATATCCAGAATGGCACATGTATGCCATTATTCGCAGCTATGACTAGATATAATTTTGTCACAGCAAAGGAAAAGACACCGGCTGAGTTCATAGTCCACCATGCTGCCGAGAGCCTTTACGTTTGTGGGAAATAATTCACCAATCAAGGCAACCGGTAACGCGGCTAAGCCTAAAGCAAACATGACTACATACGTGATTACACCAGCAACAGGCAACCATGTTAGATTGCTGGTATTCACATTATCATGTTGCAAATGAAAATATATCGCGACCATAGCGGTCGAACAGGCTGAACCGATTGTAGAGATCATAAGCAACAATTTCCTGCCGATACGATCATTGATGAACATACAGACGATTGTGCAGAACACTTGTACAGCGCCCAGTATCATGGTTAAATATTTGCCCTCCAAATTACTATTTGCTTGGTCAAAAATTAATTCAGCGTATTGTTCCACGGCCTGAACGCCGCTCATTTGATGAATAGCCAGTAGCATTATCAGTATTATTAGGGCTCTGAAATCAAAATCATCTTTTAAATGTTTGTATGATTAGAATGATAGCTTCAAAATTATCAAAAATTGTTATAATGATTTTGAGAATAATAAACAAGTAATTATTATTGAAGATTAAGTTTATATGCGAATATCGTTTATACATTATAAATAAAAGATTGACATACTTGCGATTTCCGGATACACATAAGAGTTCGCGAAAACCAGTATCGTTTGCCAAATCAACTTTTACAGACTGTTCGATATCAGCTGCCTCTTTATAAACATCGTTTTTGCCTCTTAATTGAACGAGAGAATCTATGGCCTTCTCTCTGGCGTTGCGACGCATCAAGTGATACGGAGATTCCGGTACCCAAATAAAAGTCACGAAAAACAAGCAAGGTCCTGCCAAGGACACTAAAGCAAGATTTCTCACTGATAGGAATGGACCTATCACGTATTCGAGTGTGGTACCAATTTTTGAAATAACTGTAAGCATGGATGCCAAATTACCACGAATGTGTGCAGGTGAAATTTCGCCAATGTACAATGGCGTGACCGTATAAGTGAAGCCTGTACTAAATCCGGCCAAAAATCTGGATATATAAAGTTCCTTGATTACAGAGAAAAAAATACAAAAACATTAATAGTTAGAATATGTCAAATTGATCTCATTCTAATAATTTTTAAAAGAAAAAAATTTGAATTTAAATCGTAATGTTTTCAAAAAATCTCTAAAAAAATAAGTTATATATGTAAAGTGTGTATTACAAACATTGTATTAATTAAATTCTCAAAATAAACCCGGAGAAAAATATATGTTAATTAAAACGAACAGACGTCCGATTCTTAATTAATTCCTAAAGCTCTTAATTCCCAATAATCTCAGAACGTGTTTTAAAAAAACGTTTAAAGAATCATTGTATTCTTGAAGAAAATTAGTAAATGTGGAAGTTGACTTACCCACGCTGATGTTGCGAAGACAATCATCATCCAACTAATAATTGAAGGCGCAGCAGCGAATAACATGGTGTTTTTTCTACCAATAATATTCACTATATATGCACAACCAATAGAACCAAACAGTATACCAATCATAAGTAAAGATGCCACCCAAGAAGCTTCCTCTGAATCCAAATGCACAGGATATGTTTCATCTTTTCCTTGCATCAATTTAGGCAAAGATGGCGAAGTCCAACCAAAATATTGGCCGACTGTCAGCATACCCAGATTTCCTGCCAAGATATTTTCATATAAGACCGATGTGTATGTGTGTGTCATTTTATACGTATGCAATATTTTTTAATATTATATTATAATTGAAATTTTATTATATAAACAATTGTTGTAATTATAATCGATGAAATTATAATGTGTGCATCTAAAAATGCATTACATCTTAAATTAAGTTGCAATTAAAACAATAAGAATTGCGTTAAATGTTATCAGAAATTATAATTAATGCATACGGAATATTTAAACTATGTAGACAAGACTATATAATATAATTCTATAGAAAAATATGCTTCATAAAATATATGAAAAAAATATTTATTTACAACATTAATGTGTGAAGAGAATTTTAATTACTTTAAATACTTAAAAAAATAATTTTTAAATTAATACAAATTCAATTATATATTAATAAATAAGAGAGACTTGAGTCAAAATTATATCATAAAAATAATTTATGTGTTTAGTTAATCCAAGAATAGTATTCCTACCTGCTACAGCAGCAAGATATATTTTCTTCATCTTTCACAATACAACCGCTTTCACTTACAAACGTTAAATGACTGAAAAAATTTATAATAACTAACTGATTTAATTCTGTTTATATAAAAATGATATAGATAATGTTGTCAACTTTATCTTCAACATATTACACAATTTGATGCAACTTATTATCGAACAATATTATCGAAGATTAAAAGAATAGATTTAATACGATCTTAATTTTTAAAAATCGGTATCTTATCTTAAATTGTACTTTATCTAATCTCATATTTCACAGAAAACCTAAATTAAACATTTCTTGATTCTATTATTGAAAAAATTGCATATAAATAAGCATGGTATTTATAAAGTATAATAAAAAAGAACGGAACCAGCATGCAGTAATTAGAGAGAAAATATTTTTTTAAATATATTTTTCTTCGATTTCCGATGGTTTAAAAATAGCATAATTTTTAAGATGGAAAAAGTGTTCCATATTTCTTCTTAAATTTGAGTAGTATATATACCTTATTAGATAACTTGTATTGTCAAGGAACATTTGTATCGGAATTTATTCAGCTTATATATAACTCTAACAATAATATAGATCATTTTAATTATTTTTTACATATAATAAATATTTGCAAAATAATTACAGAAGCAGTTGCAAATGCAATTTCGACAAGTAATTGTTCTTCAATTGTAAACAGTTCATTAACTCATCGAAAGAAAGTCAACATAAAAATATGTTATCGACACTCATCACTGCTTCGATGAACTATGCAGCATCTCTTGTATCTGTTCTAAAGTCTTGCCTTTGGTTTCAGGTACGTACAGAAGCGTGAATAGAGTACCAGCGAGACTACACGCCGTGAATATCCAGAATGGCACATGTATGCCATTATTCTCAGCTATGACTAGATATAATTTTGTCACAGCAAAAGAAAAGACACCGGTTGAGATCATAGCCACCATGCCGCCGAGAGCCTTTACGTTTGTGGGAAATAGTTCACCACCCAAGGCAATCGGTAACGCGGCTAAGCCTAAAGCGAACATGATTACATACGTGATTACACCAACAACAGGCAACCATGTTAGATTGCTAGTGTTCACATTATTATGTTGCAAATGAAAATATATCGCAACCATAGCGGTCGAACAGGCTGAACCGATTGTAGAGATCATAAGCAGCAATTTCCTGCCGATACGATCATTGATGAACATACAGACGATTGTGCAGAGCACTTGTACAGCGCCCAGTATCATGGTTAAATATTTGCCCTCCAAATTACTATTTGCTTGGTCAAAAATTAATTCAGCGTATTGCTCCACGGCCTGAACGCCACTCATTTGATGAATAGCTCCTAACATTATCAGTATTATTAGAGATCTGAAATCAAAATCATCTTTTAAAAGCTTGTATGATTAGGATGATAGCTTTAAAATTATCAAAAATTGTTATAATAATTTTGAGTATAATAAAAAAGCAATTATTATTGAAGATTAAGTTTATATGCGAATATCGTTTATACATCATAAATAAAAGATTGACATACTTGCAATTTCCGGATACACATAAGAGTTCGCGAAAACCAGTATCGTTTGCCAAATCAACTTTTACAGACTGTTCGATCTCATCTGCCTCTTTATGAACATCGTTTTTGTCTCTTAATTGAACGAGAGAATCTATGGCTTTCTCTCTGGCGTTGCGACGCATCAAGTGATACGGAGATTCCGGTATCCAAATAAAAGTCACGAAAAACAAGCAAGGTCCTGTTAAGGACACTAAAGCAAGATTTCTCACTGATAGAAATGGACCTATCATGTATTCGAGTGTGGTACCAATTTTTGAAACGACTGTAAGCATAGATGCCAAATTACCACGAATGTCTGCAGGTGAAATTTCACCAATGTAAATGGGTGTAGCCATAAAAGTGAGGCCTGTACTAAATCCGGCCAAAAATCTTGATATATAAAGTTCCTACATAAGAAACAGAGAAAAAAGTAAAAAAACATTAATAATCAAAATGTGTCAAATTGATTCTCATTCTAATAATTTCCAAAAAAAAAAAATTTATATTTAAATCGCAATATTTTCAAAAAATCTCTAAAAAAAATAAGTTATATATGTAAAGTGTGTATTACAAACATTGTATTAATTAAATTCTCAAAATAAACCCGGAGAAAAATATATGTGAAGTGAAACAAACATACGTCTGATTCTTAATTAATTCCTACATCTCTTCATTCCTGCTAATTTTGGAATGTGTTTAAAAAAACCTTTAATAAATCATTTTGTTCTTGAAGAAAATGAACAAATGTAGAAGTTGAATTACCCACGCTGATGTTGCAAGGACAATCATCATCCAACTAATAATTGAAGGCGCAGCAGCGAATAACATGATGTTTTTTCTACCAATAATATTCACTATAAATGCACAACTAATAACACCAGCCAATGTACCAAACATAAGTAAAGATGCCACCCAAGAAGCTTCCTCTGAATCCAAATGCACAGGATATGTTTCATCTTTTCCTTGCATCAATTTAGGCAAAGATGGCGAAGTCCAACCAAAATATTGGCCGACTGTCAGCATACCCAGATTTCCTGCCAAGATATTTTCATATAAGACCGATGTGTATGTGTGTGTCATTTTATACGTATGTAATATTTTTTAATATTATATTATAATTGAAATTTTAATATATAAACAATTGTTGTAATTATAATCGATGAAATTATAATGTGTGCATCTAAAAATGTATTACATCTTAAATTAAGTTGCAATTAAAGCAATAAGAATTGCGTTAAATGTTATCAGAAATTAGAATTAATGCATACTGATAATTTAAACTATGTAGACAAGACTATATAATATAATTCTATAGAAAAATATGCTTCATAAAATATATGAAAAAAATATTTATTTACAAACTTAATGTGAAGAGAATTTTAATTACTTTAAATACTTAAAAAAATAATTTTTAAATTAATACAAATTCAATTATATATTAATAAATAAGAGAGACTTGAGTCAACATTATATCACAAAATTTATTTATGTGTTTACTTAATCCAAAAAACGTATTCCTACCTGCTACAGCAGCAACATATATTTTCTTCATCTTTCACAATACAACCTCTTTCCCTTGCAAACGTTAAATGACTGAGAGAAATCATAATAACTAACTGATTTATTTCTGTTTATATAAAAATGATTTAGATAATGTTGTTAACTTTATCTTCAACATATTACACATTTTGTTGCGCGTAATATTATCGAAGACTAAGAGAATAGATTTAATACAACATTAAATTTAAAAAAATCGGTATCTTATCTTAAATTTTATTTTTAATTGTATTTTATCTAATCTCATATTTTATAGGAAACCTATATTAAATATTTTTTGATTCTATTATTGAAAAAATGGCATATAAATAAGCATGGTATTTATAAAGTATATTAAAAAAGAACGGAACCAGCAGGCAGTAATTAGAGAAAAAATATTAAAATATATTTTTTGCCGAGTTTCGACGGTTTAAAAATAGCATAATTTTTAAGATGGAAAAAGTGTTCCATATTTCGTCTTAAATTGAGTAGTATATATACCTTATTAGATAACTTGTATTGTCAAGGAACATTTGTATCGGAATTTATTTAGCTTATATATAATTTTAACAATAATACAGATCATTTAATTATTATTTATATATAATAAATATTTATTAAATAATTGCAGAAGCAGTTGCGAGTGCGACTTCGACAGTAATTGTTCTTCAATTGTGAACGCTTCATTAACTCATCGAAAGAAAGTCAACATAAAAATATGCTATCGACACTCATCACTGCTTCGACGAACTATGCAGCATCTCTTGTATCTGTTCTAAAGTCTTGCCTTTGGTTTCAGGTACGTACAGAAACGTGAATAGAGTACCAGCGAGACTACACGCCGTGAATATCCAGAATGGCACGTGTGTGCCATTATTCTCAGCTATGACTAGATACAAATTTGTCACACCGAAAGCGAAGACACCGGATGAAAACATAGTTATCATGCTGCCAAGAGCCTTCACATTCGTGGGAAATAGTTCACCAATCATGGCAATCGGTAACGCGGACAAACCTAGAGAAAACATGATTACATACGTGATTACACCAACAGCAGGCAACCATGTTAGATTGCTCATGTTCACATTATCATGCTGCAAATGAAAATATATCGCGACTATTGCGGTTGAACAAGCTGAACCGATTGAAGAAATCATTAACAGCGATTTCTTGCCGCTATGATCAGTGACAAACATACAGACGACGGTGCTAACCACTTGTACCATGCCCAATATCATGGTTAAATATTTGCCCTCCAAATTACTATTTGCCTGGTCGAAAATTAATTCAGCGTATTGCTCCACGGCCTGAATGCCGCTCATATGGTGAATAGCTCCTAATGTTATCAGTATTATTAGGGCTCTGAAATCAAAAACAGCTTTAAAATGTTTGTATGATCAGGATGATAGCTTCAAAATTATCAAATATTGTTATAATAATTTTGAGTATAATAAAAAAGTAATTATTATTGAAGATTATGTTGATATGCGAATATCGTTTATATCAAAAATAAAATTGACTTACTTGCGATTTCCGGATACACATAAGAGTTCACGAAATCTACTATTATTTGCCAAATTAAATTTTATAGACTGTTCGATATCATCTACCTCTTTATGAACATCGTTTTTGCCTCTTAATTGAACGAGAGATTCGATGGCCTTCTCTCTGGCGTTGCGACGCATCAAATGATACGGAGATTCTGGTACCCAAATAAAAGTTACGAAGAACAAGCAAGGCCCTGCCAAGGACACTAAAGCGAGATTTCTCACTGATAGAAATGGACCTATCACGTATTCGAGTGTGGTACCAATTTGCCAAGCAACTGTGAACATAGATGCCAAATTACCACGAATGTCTGCTGGTGCAATTTCACCAATGTAGATGGGTGTAGCCGTATAAGTGATACCTGTACCAAATCCAGCCACAAATCTCGATATATAAAGTTCCTAAAAAGCAGAAGAAATAGAAAAACATTAATAGATAAAATGTGTCAAATTTATCTCATTCTAATGATTTTTAAAAGCTTTAAAGTAATGTTGATCTTTCATAGAGAGTATAAATTATAATAAATAAAATTAAAATGTTTAATTATTTAAATCGCAACGTTTTGAAAAAAATTTTTAATAAATTTTATAAAGTATATATATATATATATATATATATATACAAAAGAGGGATATATCTAAAGCTATTAATTATGACGATATAAAAACCTTGTTTATTTATTTTATGTTATAGAAACTTGTAATCCTTATCTGTTTCATGTTTAGTTCTGACTTATCTTAAAGAGGATAATAATAAAATTATCACTTTGCATTAAATAATGTAGACCTCAGATAATTTTAAGTTAACAAGTAATTAATATTTTCTTTCAAGAACATAATCACAATCTATCTAATGGTATACTTTTAAGTTCTTATAGATAATTTTAATCGACCACTCTTTGTAACTTCGCAGAGAACAATCGTAAAGAAAAATGTTTCAGGCAAAAGTTGTATGGCTCCAAGGGAACATAAGATGGTGATCTTGGCCTTGACCTTGCAATCAAAGATGCCTGAAACATTTTTCTCTACAATTGGTCCCTGCAAAGTTACAAGGCGATCGATTAAAATGGGACACCCTGCATAGCTAAAATATCGTATCAAAGTTTCGATATAAAATCTGACTGTGAGATAAATATATACCAAGTAAAACGAACAGACTGAGTCTTAATTAATTCCTAATCGCAGAATGTGTTAAAAAAAATTTAATGTATTATTTTGTTCTCAAAGAAATGCCAAATATAGAAGTTATTGAATTACCCATGATGATGTTGCGAAAGCGATCATCATCCAACTAATAATTGAAGGCGCAGTAGCGAATAACATGGTATTTTTTCTACCAATAATATTCACTATATATGCACAACTAATAGAACCAAACATTATACCAAACATAAGTAAAGATGACACCCAAGAAGCTTCCACTGAATTTAAACGCACAGGATATGTTTCATCTTTTCCTTGCATCAGTTTAGGCAGAGATGGTGATGTCCAACCAAAATATTGGCCGACTATTAGCACTCCCAGATTTCCTGATAAAATAATTTCATATAAGATGTTTATGTGTGTATTATAAAAAATAATTGTTAGTTTAATATAAGTTTTAATTATATCTAGCCAGAAATGATAGTTAAATCGACATCGAATCGACGTCGAATTAATGTCGAATCGGTGCCAAATTGATCGAATCGATATCGATTCGACGTCTTTCGACCGATCATTTCTGACTGGGTATATTAATAATAGGGAGAAAGTTCGACGCAATATTATATAAAAATTTATTTATATGTTTAATCCAAGAAACGTATACTTACCTGCTACAGCAATCAGATATATCTTCTTCATTCTTTACAATACGACCACTTTCATGTACACACGTTAAATGATTGAAAGAATTTGTAATCTATAGCTGATAAAATTCTGTGTAGATAAAAATGATTCAGATAATGTTGTCATATCAACTTTATCTTTAGTACATGACGCATAATTGATGCAAACATGATCGCAAAGAATAAATTTGATATAATCGTAATTTGCAATTAATTTGATATCTTAAATTGTATTACATCTAATGTTGTATATATTTTACAGAAATCTTATTAAATCTTTTCTCCATTCTATATTATTGAGAAATTTTCACATAAAAATGTATGGTATTTATCATTAAACAAATTATCAGAAACGTTTGTCATCGAAAAAGTGAAAAATTGTTCTTGTATAAAATATATAATAAAATAATATATAATAATTATATCATAACTTAATATATAATATAATATACAAATATCAGATTTTGATATAATATAATCCTCATGCGATTTTAATTTGAAAAAGATTAAATAAGCCGCAAATAATTGCAAATTTGTACATTGAATAATCATTGTATTTTCATTAAGAGACATTTGCATCAGGATGTTTATACGTACGTATATTTATTTGTCTCTAAGAAACTTAAGATAATGTTTTGTAATAATAATTTTAATAATTTAATAATTATAATTTATACACAAATAATTTTTCATTATACGAAATTTTAAATAATATTTCAAACATTGCATTAAATAAAATTAATATTAATTATAATAATTAATACATATAAAATATAATAAATACATAAAAATATTATTTTACGTACATTATAATTATTTAGTAATGTTTATAATAAACATTAACATAAGAATGTCCACTAATTTTATACATTAATTATAGTCGCTATATACATTATTTTTGTAAAATCAAATATTTATATTAATTTTATATTTTTAACGGAAGCAATAGAAGACGAATCTGCTACGACCTATTTACAATACAGATCATTTCAAGCAAAATAATTGCAAAGTTAGCTGCGAACCCGACTTCGAAGGAAACTTTTATTCAATCGTAAACAAAATTCGCGAACTCGTCGAAAGAAGATCAACATACAAATATCCTATTCTCGATTCTCACTGCTTCGACGAGGCATGCAACTCCTTTTGTATCTGTTCCAAAGTCTTACCTTTGGTTTCAGGTACGTAGAAGAGCACGATTAAAGTACCTACAAGACTGCACATAGTGAATATCCAGAATGGTACGTGTGTGCCATAACTTTCGGCTATGACCATGTACAATTTTAACACGGTAAAGGCCCACAAATGCATGAATGTTAAAATGGTAGTTATGCCGAGAGCCTTCACATTTGTCGGGAATAATTCGCTGGCCATGGTGAAAGGTAACGGGGCCAAGCCCAAACCATACATGATTACATACATAATCGTACCAATAGCAGGCAACCAAATTATATTGCTAGTATCTATATGACTGTATTCTAAATTGAAATATATCGCGACCATACAGGTTGACAATGCTGCACCAGCGGCGGAGATCATCAGCAGCAACCTCCGGCCGCTGCAATCGCTAAGAAACATACAGACGATTGTAAAAATCATTTGTATGGCACCTATTATCATAGTTAAATATTTGCCTTCCAAATTAGTATTCGCTCGGTCCAGGATTATTTGACTGTACTGTATAACGGCATTAACACCGCTGAATTGTTGAATCCAGACCAGGAACAGCAGTATTATTACAGCTCTGTAAAATCAAGTGTATTGATTAAACTCTTCTAATTTAATAGCTTCGATGTTATCAGTAATTTCGAGTCGTTTTTATTTAAATTTTATTATAAGCTGGATCATATATAAATAAATCTAATAATATAAAATAATATAATAGCAAAATTTTCCAATGCTTAACATTTTTATTTACTTAAAACCCCAAATATAATAGAAAAATTATTTTAAAAAATTGTATATTTATTTTTATTAAATTCTTATCGATGATAAATATTTATGTATGCATCGAAATTTGATGTCTCACCTGCGATTTCCCGGCACAAATAAAAGTTCTCGAAAACCAGATTTATTAGCCAAATCAGCTTTTACGTACTGCTCAATATTGTTTATTTCTTCGTGAATATTCTCTTTATTATCTCTCAATTGAATAAGCGAGTTTATGGCTTTCTGCCTGTTATTGTGGCGCAAAAAAAAGTGTGGAGATTCCGGTAGCCAAATGAATACAGCCACAAACAAGCATGGCCCTATTAAAGATACGAAAGCGAGATTTTGCACCGATAGAAACGGGCCTATCACGAATTCTATTAAAGTGCCGAGTTTCCCAGCCACTGTGAACATGGATGTCAAATTACCGCGAATGTCTGGTGGTGAAATTTCACCCAAGTACATCGGCATGGCTAAATAAGCAATTCCCGTACTCAATCCGGATATAAACCTTGATATGTATAGTTCCTGTATAGCAAAAAAGAGATGGAAAGATTAAATGTATGCCAAATTAATTACTCGGAACAATATTATATATTTTCCGAAAATTGAAGCAATAGCATAAAATTTTTATGATTATATTTGTATTTAGATATATTTTTAAAAACCATATGATTTTTTAATTTAAAGGAATAATTTTTTAATTTAATTTATCAATTATTTTTTATTTAAATTTCACACATGCAATAAATTTAAATAAGAAATGTAATATTCAATTAGAGCTGGTGTAATGTTGAAAATCTTTGACTATAAAACAAACAATATAATTTAAATTATTTTTGTACTTACAAGTTACTTTTTATATGTACTTTAATTCAACAAATCTGTAAAAGATAAGTTTTCTCAAAAAATATCATTTGTTAATATTTATTCAATTAGATAATAATTATTTGATAATATATGTTGATAAATATTTCTTTCTCTCTGTACAACAATATTTTTTTATTTCAATATAATCGCATCAAATGCAAATCATTTATCGTACTTTAACACTTTAACTTATCAGATAATATTTCACTTATTAAAAAGAGGGGAGAATTATATCTTTTATAGATAAAATAAATCTTATACAGACTGTCCAGTAATAACCGCACAATTTGTCAAGTGCAGGAAAAGCAGATTAAATGAAGTAGAAAAGTTTGCGACCTTCGCAATAATTAATGAGAAATTAATTTAAAACAACTAAGAAATTAGTAAAACTTTCAATTTAAAATACAAAAATTTTAACCAGTAAGAGCTAAATACGGATATAGTACTATGTTGGCTTAAGTAAAAATTAATGTTTCACTGGAACTGATTTATTGTGCACAAAGCATAAATTTTTCTTGGTGTAATATTAAATAATTAAAATAAATCTCAGTTTTAGTGAAAAATTAATTTTTATTTATGAAAAGTTAATTATCGTTGAAAGCTAAGCACTACCATTTTTGCTTTTACTAGCTCGTTAAAATTTAAAGTTATATTTCAAATTGAAAGCTTTACTAATTTCAATTGGTTTTTAATTAATTTCTCATTAATTATTGCGAAGATCGCGAAACGGTAGAGAACGTTCCTATTCGATTTAATCTGCTGTACCTGCACATGAGAGGTCGTGAAATTATTACTAGACATCCTATATACTGAAGACTGTCTAGATTGGAAACTTGATTATACAACAAAATAGAATGTTATAGCGAAATGAAATTTAAACTAGAAATGGTATTGAATTTAATCAATTTGTCAAGGAAGATTGTATTAGATTGATAACGCCAAAGTACAGTAATAAATCTAAGATTCTAGCCAAATTAAAAATAAAAAATATCGATATTGATAGCTAAAGATTTAAAAAAATACAAAATCTCCCTGATTTTAATTTTTAATTTTAAAATAATATTATATACATATGGTTTTCTAATAAATATTCTTTTGATATTCTATATCTACATATATCTAGCAAAAAATTATTAAATTACCCACGGTGACGTTGCAAAAGCTATCATCAACCAGCTGATTATCGAAGGCAAAGCTGTGAATAGCATCGTATTTTTTCTGCCAATGACATTGACCATAAATCCACAGATAATGGAACCTGCAGTCGCACCGAGCGTAAGAAAGGATGCCACCCAAGAAGCCTCGTCCGCAGTCAAACGAAAGGGATATTTGGCATCGCTACCTTTCGTCAATACAGATAAGGATGGCGATGTCCAACCCGAAAATTGACCGATTGTCAGCATGCCCAGGTTTCCTTCCAGACAAAATAATAGAGAAGAGAATTGTAATGCATACTAATCACCTAAATTATTTATCTGATCAATTTCTTTATTAGTATTAAATATAAACGACATTTAGCAGTAAAAAGTATAAAATAAATAACCAATAAAAACAAGTAAAAAATTTCCAGATTGAATCTTATGTTATGTATATTACGCGAAAAATTGAAAAAAATCAGATACAATTGATGTAACTTTTAATTAATTTATTTTAGCTGATAATAATCTAACAGTACAGTTTTATCTTGCATTTTTGTATAATTATCAGTTATACTTTCTAATATTAAAGTAGGAAATATAACATAAAATATCTTAAAATTGTATGATTTAAACAACTTTCCCCTAAATAAACAATGAATTTTATTTATTGTTTCTCTCATAAAAGTATCATAAAAACTTTTCTTTATTTTCTTAAATTTTACTATAATTTAATAAATAACATATAATAAAAGTTATATTTAGATATTATAAGCAATTAGAATTATAAAGAATTTAATATATAAGCTTCTAATAATTAAATTTCTGTTGCATAAAATTATAAAAAATAAATATTTATTTTTAAAAATTGAATAAAAATAGGAATTATATAAATTTAATTATAGAAAAAATAATTGCACATACGTTTTAAAATCATAATTATAGGCTAATTAAAAAGAAATTTCCGTATTTAATTATGTCGAGTCAATGTACGTATACGTACCTGCTATTGCAGCAAGATATACCTTCTTCATTTTCACAATACAATTGTTTCCGCGTGCAAATATCAAATGATTATTGTAAATAACAGTTGAAAGAATTCTATCTTAATGAAAGCGACTTCGATAATAACATCGTATCAATTTTATCGAAAGCAAAATTTTGATATATTTGTTATCAAACAGATTTTAATAACTTATATGATCTTAATATGGGAAAGATTAAATATTTCGTATGAATGATTGTGCAAAATATATATATCAGATATCTTATGATTTATGACATATATATATATATATTGCAGAAAAAAACAAACTATGTTTTATTAAACTTTTCTTATTATTAATTGAGACCAATTCAAAAATATTATAATATGTTATTATTTATCTGTCTATTAAGAACTTATTATATACTTTGTTTTGCATACTATAAACAGTATGCACATATATTATGCATATATATTTATATGCGTCTGCTACGCTGCATGGCTTGTGCGTAACTGATCACGTGATCATCAGTCTCGCAATCGCAATATCTCGAACGAGAGTCAGTCTCGCGCGAGACGCGCAGCATGACGGACGTATGGGATGTACTAATCTTCGATAAATAATTATATACATATATATTATATATATATATATATATATATATGCTACATAAATTTAGTATTTATAAGCAAATTGTTAATACAGTAAAAAGTTATATATATGAAAGTAATTGTGATGACACATAATCAAACTCAAGTTTAATTATGATAGCAAATTATTGTTGGGATAATAAACTAATAGTCGAATACTATAATACAAATTTGAGAAATATAATTTAATAATTTTCATTTAAAAATAATGCAGGTATAAATGATGCTACAGTATTATATTAAACAGTCATATTTTAAATATTTTATTATATATCTTATATTTTAATTTCAATTCCCGAATGTCTATTATGTATATTATTTTAATTTAATTGCCAAATTTTAATTATGCGTATGTAATTTTAATTTCTGAATTTGTGTTATGTACCAAACAACACAAACGCGCGCGTTAAAATGATATTATTTTTATTTTTTATTTTACAACTGTCAAACTGTAACATATCAACCGTAATAAATTGTTAAATGAGTATTTAAGCGTGTACGTGCGCGTATATGTAAATATCTACTTAAGCGAAACTCTTCCGGGCTTTGTTTATTAACGAATTAATTTTTTTCTGTCAGAAATAATCTAAGAGCATGTAACCCAGCTCGTACTTATTGGGACCAAAGACAAAAATGATCGTAATAAATTGTTAAATGAGTATTTAAGCATGTATGTGCGAGTATATGTAAATATCTACTTAAGCGAAACTTTTCCGGGCCTTGTTTATTAACGAATATATTTTTTTCTGTCAGAAATAATCTAAGAGTATGTAACCCTATCGTACTTTTTAAGACCAAGCACAGGGATGATCGTAATAAATTGTTAAATGAGTATTTAAGCATGTATGAGTGCGTATATGCAAATATTTGCTTAAGCGGAATTCTTCCGGGCTTTGTTTGTTAACGAAATAATTTTTTTCTGTTAGAAATAATCTAAAAGCATGTAACCCTACTCGTACTTTTTGAAACCAAGCACAGGGATGATCGTAATAAATTGTTAAATGAGTATTTAAGCGTGTATGGACGCGTATATGTAAATATCTACTTAAGCGAAACTTTTCCAGGCTTTGTTTATTAACAAATTAATATTTTTCTGTCAAAAATAATCTAAGTGTATGTAACCCTACTCATACTTTTTGGGACCAAACACAGGATCAACCGTAATAAATTGTTAAATGAGTATTTAAGCGTGTATGTGCGCGTATATGTAAATATCTACTTAAGCGAAACTCTTCCGGGCTTTGTTTATTAACAAATAAATTTTTTCTGTCAGAAATAATCTAAGAGCATGTAACCCTACTCGTACTTTTTGGGACCAAGCACAGAGATGATCGTAATAAATTGTTAAATGAGTATTTAAGCATGTATGTGCGAGTATATGTAAATATCTACTTAAGCGAAACTCTTCCGGGCTTTGTTTATTAACAAATTAATTTTTTTTGTCAGAAATAATCTAAGGACATGTAACTCTACTCGTACTTATTGGGACCAAACACAAAGATGATCGTAATAAATTGTTAAATGAGTTTTTAAACATGTATGAGCGCGTATATGTAAATATCTACTTATACGAAACTCTTCCGGGCTTTGTTTATTAACAAATAAATTTTCTTCTGTCAGAAATAATCTAATGGTAAGTGTATGCAACCCTATTTGTATTTTTGGCACCAAACACAGGATATATTTGTGTTATCATTTAATTAACATATCTGTATTATGTTAAATTAACACATTTGTAAAATATAACAAATTTTTCAACTGGTAAATAGAAAATATTTTTGAAAATTATTATATAAAAATACAATTATCCTATAAAAAAGAGAGAATGGAGATTGGTGCATAATTATTCCCCGCAAAGTTAACTCTATAAATGAATATAATATATAGAAAAGATATTTTTGAAAATATTTTTTATCGATTTATTAATGACAGTAAATGAAACTTTGATATCTTACTTTGATAAAAAAAATTAACGGCGCCAAATTAATTGCACACAAGAGCATTAGATGCTTAGATTCAATTTGCATTTGAATGATATTTAGATAATAATATATATAAGCACATATATATATATATAGGTACGTGAGATAACGCATATCAGATCAAGACGTAATGTTCTTACGTCTTTTTCCACACGTGTGCAATCTAAGAGTTTATCATTAATAATTAAAGTGATATCATAATTATGCGTGCTTTATCAATGCTTATTTTAATATGATGCATGAGGCGCTTAATAAGATTTTGTTAACTATACATATACAACGCATTAAACATGTTAAGTAATTTATATATGCACAACAAAAATTAGAAGGAAAATTATTTAAAATATGTTTAGCACTTCTGTATTTGCAATTATTGAAGTTTAATTTAGCAAATGAGATATAGAATAAATAAAGAGTTTTTTCTATTTTAAGCTCAGCAATAATAATTGTATAATACAATAAGATCAATATAAAATGCTATATACCTAGACTATTTGATAAATTAGAATAAAATGGAATTTAAAACAGATAAACAGCAGCATAATATAACACAATATACTCAATATAATTTTTTCGTAATGTTTTATGGTAGCAAATTTATTATAATAGATACAAAGATTATATTAATGTTTCAATGAGCGATATTTCACACACAAGTAGTATTAAATATTGTACAATGCTAGATATTGACAATGAATGTAGATCATTTAAAATATTTAACTACCCAAATTTTAATTTAACATTAACTGTATTATTAATATATTATACAATCTTAACATAAATGGTATATTTATATTACAAATAAAACTCAATATTTCGTGAGCTTCTACCACAGTGAATACTGAGATGAGAAAATTAATATTTTATCAATTTGATATAAGATTATCACAGTTTAAAATGTTTTTAAAGAATGTATATAATATATACACACGTGTATGTGGGGAGGTATTTTTTATTAAAATAATTAATATTTTATTTAAAAAATTATTTAATATAATTTACTATAATGAACAATAAATTCGTTTTCTTAATTGTAATTTTGAGTGCTCTTTTTAAACTCTATGTGTTAATATAAATTTTAAAAGATTGCCACAAGTTTTAAATAATAGGTTCTTTATTAAGGGTTCTTCGAAAAAAAAATTTTAGACGTAAATATCGCATTAATAAATAAATAAAATATACAATGTATGGCATACTTAGACAAACATTGCATATATTGTAAAAAGATGTATACGTTTATATACGTATATATACTTGATTTTATATTAATTTTACTTTATAAATTACATCTTTACAGCAAAGTGCGTTTAGTAAGCTTATAAGCAACGAAATATAACAACTATAACAGTGTTATATCAGATAGTCTTGTATTTATTAAATACTGTTTCTTCTCTTTTTTTCTCTCATTCTGTGTGTAATAAAACAACAAATGTACAAAAACCACAGCCGATTAAGTCGTATTTCTCTTTTTTTTTCTTAATATTTTTGTAACAAGTCTTGGTAACTTTACACAAGTACTCCTTAGATGCGATGTTCTTTAATAAATATTAATGTTCTAAGTAGTAAAATTCGTGACATAGTATTATAAAATTTGCAATAATTGTCGATTTTCTAGTTAACGACAATGTCACGATGAGTCTACTCATTAACATCAACAATATACTGTAGTAATTATTTAAATTACTTATAGCTACGACAGGAATTCACTTTTACAACTCATATGCAGAGTGTGTTACAAAACTCTATCAATATAGAGATACTATATATCTATTGATAAGACACATATCGAGAAAAAAATCTATTATTTTTGACGATAGAATTTTGTAACATTCTGTATATATAGAGTGAGGCACTTGCTTTTTATTTGCTCACCCTTAATAATGTATCTGATTAACGTTTCTAATATCTAAAAAATAATTCAGACAAAAAGTTGTCTTCGAAAAAAAAGATCAACGAGAAGCAGTTTTTATTCTTTTTTTTTCCATCACACTAGATATTCAAAATAAGACAACTGTTGTCTGAATAACCTTCTATAAAATGTAATAAATAAATAGCTGCTTTAACAAAACAAATACGAGTATATCTTTAAAATTTACTAAATAAAGTTGCTTAAAATTTTAGTTTTATCGAAAACGTCAAACATTTACTGAGGGTTTTTAAAGGAGTAATTTAATAATGTACACACATACACACATGTCCATACATATACACACTCACACATACGCACGCACACAATTAATGTAAAGTTTTATAAAAATAACATTGTGATAAGAAAAGAAAAGCTTAAAATGTTGAAGAGTATATCGATATTTTCTTTAGTGACATATAAAACTATTGGATAACACATAAATTTAAAAACCACTGGAGATAATGCATAAATTTAAAAACAATTGAACACAGTCTTTTATATACATTATTAGTGAATGGAAAATAGAAACATGAATTTGTTTAGCCTTAATACATACACTTATCTCTCATGTACATAAATGTATCTGCTTGCGTTTATATAAATATTACTCTCATATATTCATTTATATTTTATGTATATACAAATCCGTTTTGCACAGATTCAAGTTCTGGATGACGTTTACACTTCGTACTCTAATTCGTATAGCTGTAAGTTTTTTTTTCATAGCTATCGTCGAGTTACAGTAGTATGATGAAAATGTACAGTGATGTATATTCCGCATTGTAGATATAAAATGCAAACTAATACGAATTCTCGAATACAAGTTTCTTCCATAGCGATATGATATGGTGTAAAACCATAAAATGCGCCTTTCTAAAATTACTTCGTGATGATTGAATTCTTTTATCTATACATATAAAATACTTAAGGCTCCGGACACCTCATTGACCATGTTGGAATTATGATGGCAGAGGCGAGAAAACACATGCTAAAATTCTTAGGTGCCATTTCGAAATAAAAAGATATTTCGATAAAACAGCACTTCTTATTGCTTTAGCACACTCTTAAAATACCTCGAAAACTCCTTTTCCCTTTATATTTAATCAACAATTATAAAACGACTGTAATATAAGACCCAGTCCGTCTGATCTTTGCACATGTACAGTCATTTAGCATGACAAAGTCTGATCTCAAGATTATTTTACAATTGTTGATTAACTATCAAAGGAAAAGAATTTTAAAAATATGCTAAAGTGATCTGATATAATGTTTTGTCGAAATAGCTTTTCATTTAAAAATAGCGCGTAAGAATTTTCAACGTGCGCTTTCTCGCCTCTGACGTCATAATCTAGCATAGCTGTGACGAAGATCTAAGAGCCTTGAGAAACAAATACAGAGTTATTCGCATAATTTGCAAGATTTTCACCGTCTTTTCATGTAATATAATCTCTAGTTTAATAAAGAAAACGATTCGCCGGGATGTCGATCGTACCACGACAGCTACTAGGTGGTGGATTATCATCGTCGGAATTGTTATGCTGTCTCAGAGATCTTGTTGGAAGTTGGCTGCGTTGTGACGCTGTCGCTTGACGTCTCAGTTCCTCTATGTAATCCGTGGTATCGTTCGCTATCAGGTTTTGTATGCGTTTACTCAGGGTCGCCAATTCGGGTTTGTCGTCTTCGTAGATCCCGTCGTGGGCCCCCGACTTTTCGTAAAACAATATGTAAGGGGTGTCGGGAGGTTTCAGACTCTTGAAATCCTCGAACGTAGTCTGGGTCACGATACTGTCGTTAAATTTATACCAATTCTGCTTAGAATCACAAGCGTACGTGAAATAGTGTCCGTAATCCATACTATAGCCAGAGTGTACGACGGCGGCATACAAATGATACGTCTCGGCTGCGGTACAGGGTATCGCCGACACTGGCAATCTTATGGTATCGTTATACGTGACTTTGTGCCGAAGTTTCGTCCTCAGCCTGGTATCGAAATCATACCGGAAGTGTTTCAACGTCAGAACCAGGTGCCCAGGTGCCTGCAGAATAGTGATAATCCTCTGCGCGTCGCACAACTTTGTACATTTGTCGCATCGATACTTGTTCTCGCCCGTCAACTTCTCCGGCGTGAGATAATAATTGATGAGATCCTGTACGGAAACTTCCTGATTCTCCTGTATCTCTTCAGGGAAGCACAGTTGCAGATCGCGAAATTTGTCCGTGTTGCGAGAACTAGTGTCACATTGTGCACACTGATACGTGATCTGACACTCTCCGCCGAGTACTTTGTGTACGAGCGATGTATACCCGCCTGTTTCCTCACCACCTACAGATTGTATACCGCTGTCCGTCGAATCGGAATGAGAATCGCTAAGCCGCTGTCCTAGTTCTTCGCCTGTTGGAAGAATTTTTATATAATATATATATTCTAATTTATATATTTATTCTATTTCTAAAATTTATAATATTGTTATATTAATATTATTATATTTATTATATTTCTATAATTTATAATATTGTTATATTAATATTATAATATTTATTATATTTCTATAATATAATATATATATATATATATATATATATATATATATATATACATAAATATATATATAATAAAATAGCATAATAAATAGAAAATCGAGCTACCTGGAACATAATCTATTTTGATGTAAATATAGAAATAAAATATATAAATAAATAAGAATAATAAAATAAAAATATATAATAAAATTATTACCTCGTGTAAAATCCGCCAATGACTGCGTTTTTCGTTGCAACGCCAAACCTTCCGTTAGGTCTTCCTCAGTCGTCCAACGCTTAATGTGCCTTTGCATGCCTTCTTTCGTTTCTATCGGCAACATTACATTGTCTTCTTGCTTCTCAATCTTATTGACAGTTGCTGTGTTATCATTTCCTCCACAATTTGCATTAGCGGATTTTTCTTGTTCATGTAAAACATCCAACAGATGACTATAAAGGAAACAAATTTATTAATTATAATTCATGTAATAAAATTGCACTTAATAATAATTAATTGCTGTAGAATTGTATTTAGTAATAATTTCTAAATGTGTATCATTTTGTTACAGAGATGGTAAATACAAATTTTCCTTCAACTATATGTTGTATTAAAGAGTACAAAAAATATTCTTATAATAGAAAAAGTAGTACGCTAACCAGAGAAATTCTGAACTGTCCTGCTGCTGTCCATGTAGAAAATATGTAGGTCGCGAGGCTCGCAACACTTCAGTAGGCTCCAAATATATTCTCTTAGAGTATAATAATAATGCAAACAAGTTTTGCAACCTCTCGAGCAAGGGTGTCTTTCCTGCTTCATTTAATGGATAATTCAATACTTCCTGGCAAAATTGTCTGGTCATTAATAAGGCTTGCAGCACACTGTTCATATAGCAAGTGTTTCCAAGATTAAAGAGTCCAACTTTTCCAGACAGTGGTCTTTTCGGCTCCACAATCGGTTCAAACTCTTTTGTTTCGTCAATCCATACCGGCTCCCTGTAAAGTTCCTTAACAACCTGCATCCGTGGCAATACAGGATAAGGATAATTCTCCGTGCCTCCACAAGCCGGTATACACGTTGAAAATCTTTTACTATATACTTTCATAATGTCGACTAAATTCTGTATGCATTCCTTACTGGAATCCGACTCTTCCTTCATCAAATCTTTTATCAAACCTGGTATCCTTCTAACTATATTTTGAACAGTTGACAATGAGCTTTGCCTCTTCAAGATGTAAAATATAATATTGGAAGCATTCTGGCGGATTATCGGTACCAGTAATACTTTACACATCAACATTACTATGTCCACCGAGGATTCTGTGAGCTCAAGAAGGGTGGAATATTTGTGCTGTTTCTCCAAACCACGTATAAACTCCATTATCCAAACGCTAAGTCGATCTTCACACCATTGCGGAAGCCAATTGCACAGTACTTTCAACGCCTGTACCAACTGATGATCGGAATGGGATTGGGACAGGATCCAATCCACTGCCTGTGGAATAACACAGGAGTCTACCAGCTGCAATATAGCAGCGAGGCCTGGACCCGGCTCCGGCTTTCTGTTTGTATCCGAGATAATATTGTATAAGGTTTGGAGACAAGTAAACATTAGAATGTCACGCTCTCCGTTTTTTGTGTTCGAGCATAGTATTTTGAGAAAATGCTGAATCTTGGTGGTGTTGTCGTAGAAGTCTAGAATTTTTTTCGGCTCCAAGGGCATTTGGAAGGAAGACAGGCTCGTGACGATAGCTTCGCAGAGCTTCGTGTGATTCGCCGATCTGGGTAGGTACACTCTGTTCTCCGCCAGTGCGTTCAAAAGCTCGGTCAGACACGACATGTCGCCGATGTCGGTGTTTCGCAGTAAAATCGCAACGTCGTTGGAAATCGGACTGACGTTAAAGAAACGTTTCTCGATCACGTAAGGCGACATCCACGTCAGGATCCTCGGCACCTCGGACACGTTGCGTATGTGACACTTGAGGAGATCCCTGATCATATCCTCGCAGTCGATCAACTGACCGAATTCCCGACTGTCACGCAGATTCCGCAGCATCATCCAGCTGTCGTTGACGGCCGCGTCGTTTCCCGAAACGATTAATTTCAAACAACGTCCGATATCATTCTTCAGTATGTGTTCGGTATCCATTTCGTTTCCACGGCAATCCGGCAAAAGCTCGAATCTCTCCGTTCTTTATCCTTCGTTTTGAACTCTCGGGATATCTCGACAACGGAGAATTACCATTAACCTTCAATCGATGATGATTCGCGTGAAAATCAAAATGATTTCATGGTGGTGAAAAAGTATGAAGAAAAAAAATAGCAAGTACTGCAAGCCATAAATCATACATGTCAGTTGAGATGATCCTTAAATGAAAAAAAGACGCTCCCTAATGGAGGATGTTTATGCATCTGACAGCCAATAAAAGAAGTTGTTTCCTAGGGACAAACATGTCGGCTTAGATTCCTCGTTTTCTATTGGATAGCCGAAATCAGTGCTTCGGATCAACCTTACTGTCATTTTATTTTAACAATAAATTTTATTTAACAATACATTTCAATGAACAATATAAATCCACACAAAGAAAATATATATATATATATATATAATATTTATAATAGTATATTTTATATATTATTTATATATATTACATAATATTATATTATATTTATTATATGTATATATATTAATATATATATATATATATAATTAAGGTTGCTTTCCTTTTAGGAGACACAATATATTGACACAAGCATATATATCATTCTATCTTTGTTCTACATCAGAATATGATGCTTATGTCGATTAGTGTCTCCTACCCAGATAGCCACAGTAATTATTATGACATCATTTTGATGTCAAAATGCATCATTTGATGCATTTTGATGTCATAATAATTACTGTGGCTATCTGGGTAAAAGGAAAGCTGCCAAACTAATTTTATAAGCAACTATAACTTTAAGGAGATCCTTCAACAAATGACAATAAACTCCGACAAAATAGCAGCACACATTTCCAAAACATATTATGCACAACGCACCCGAATCGTACGTCTAATTACAAATTTTTATTAGACTTCTAATCTACGTTTAGAGGATAACAGACCGATTTCTTTCGTGTCCTCTAATCCCAGGAAATGTGCATTTTTATTCGTACAAAGTGCATATATATGTTTTATATCATAATAATTATTATGATGAGGTTGACAGTTCGTTGCAATTCGAGATGTCACATCGAGATGAAAATAATAGATAAGAAAAACTGTTATTTCTAATTTTTTATGTCAAATCAAGTTTTCCTGGGATTATTGATGCATGTATTGCAATCGTAGAGAAGCATTTTTAATTCTATCAAATTAAGAAAAAGATATACTAAAATACGAAAATCTACTGTGTTGATAAAACAAAAAATCATTAACTTACCCAACCCTGATTATTAAATACATATTTAATACATTTAAATAATATTAAATTAATTATAACACAAATAAAAAATATAAACAAATTTTGACATTTGCGACCACGTGACTTTCTTCCACCGAAATTGTCCACCAATCGCAATGGCGCGTCCCAAAGAGTCTCCTGGCGAGGCGGGAAAACTCCCTATATCATTCGGGAACACTTTCGCTGGACGAAGTTGGCAGACCTGCGATTCGAGTTTCGAGCTCGACATGGAGCGCGAGAGAGGAGCGGCCAGGAATAGCAGAGAGTACGCGAGTCTATTCGTTCCGTTAAATGAGTGTTTCGTTCTCGGCGGAGGAGGTGTTCGACCGATTGTAGTGCGTGCGCTCGCTCGCTCCGGTCAAACTTGAAGTCAAACTGAAGAACCCGGGGGTCCGAGGACTCGACTCGACGAATCAAGGATCCGGACGACGCGGGAATACGCGGTCGCGCTCTCTCTCTATCTCTCTCTCTCGCTCCTACATCTATATATATGGAGCAGACTCACTCAGGGAAACGCCTGTTTCACGTGCCGAATCGCGCGCAGTGAACGCGAAAGTGCGCGTATATGTGTGTATATTCCGTCTATGTGTGCGTATCGCATAGTGGAGTCGCCGCCGTCATCGACGACGTCCTCGTCGTCTACGCGAGAAAGGGCGGCGAGGAGATAAGATAGAGCTCCGAAGGAAGGACAGAGAGCGAAAGAGGGAGTGAGCTGTCAGTGTGTGCGTGTCAGTCGTCCGTTTGCATGTGTGCGCGGCCGCGTGTGTGTGCCAGGCAAGAAGACGAAGAAGAGGAGGAGGAGAAGAAGAAGAGAAGAAGAGGTGATTATAGGAGAGCTGCTCCGTTCGCCGCCTTCCTAGAGGCGGAGCGCGTCGTCGTGCTCTTTTCCCGTCGTCGTCGTCGTCCTCGGGGCAATGTCTATCGAGACACGCTCGACCTCGGCCCTGTTCAAGCGCGCCGAGCAGCTCAAGCGCTGGGAGCAGTCCGAGACGAATCGCGAGCCCGCGCAGCCGCGCCAGGTCGCGCGCAAGATCAAGTTCTCCGCCGACTGCGTGTTCCTGGCGGCGTGCGCGGCCAGCGACAAGGAAGAGGTCGTGCGCCTGCTGCAGAAAGGGGCGGACATCAACACCGGGAACGTTGACGGGCTCACCGCGCTGCACCAGGTGAGGAGGGGCTTTTGACAGTTTTCTCCTCTCGACGCGTTCTCTGTTTCTTTCTTTCTTTCCTGCGAGACTGGAACTTCGCAAGATGGCTACAACGAGCTCCAGCTGTCTAATTGGAGTATTGTTTCGTCGATATCTCGTGGATTTGACATGTGTCAAATGAGAAGGGTTTTTTTTTTTCCTTTGAAAAAGGATACTTGGGTAATGGAGGTTTTTTCATTGTCAGTTTGATTCGACGAATGGATCGCTCTTAGGATGTAATTAATATTAATTCACTGTCATATTTGATATTAATTACTATTTACGTGTATGAGTGTAAAGGCAGACTACAATAATAGATTGTGTAACGAAAACACGTTATTTTATAATGATACTTTGCGTGTGACACGGCTTTGAGTCAGCTAGTGTGATTCAAAAGCATCCGTACAGTATCTGAAAATATTTTGCTTATATTGATGTTTAATCTGTGTAATTAATATTTTGTTAATTCAATTTCTATTTAATTGCACAAGGAAAAATTATTATACATCAATTGTCATTCATTTTGTTTATCTCGACAATAGTTTAATGTTTTATAAACTATTTGCGCAAATATAATTTATTTTTATACATTTAAATTATTTATATACATTAAAACTAAATTTTGTTACACTAAATTCTTTAAAATTCATGTTGTTTTATGTTGAATGTAAATGCTGCAAAACAATTTAATTGAAGTCAGAATAAGATGATAAAATCTGAAACACGCTATACATTTCAGAAAAAATTCATTGAGCTTTATCTCAGAAATATTTATTTATTTTCTAAAAGTTATTTTTAATTATATTAAAAGCGATATGTCATGTCAATTCTTTAGAAAATATTTATTTCTCTGCATTTAACAAGATACTTACATTTGATAGATATTTGATAATACACCTACAATTCTTGAGTAAATTTTCAAATTAGAAAAAGTTTAATTTTTTTATGAAATAATAAGAAATCAATAAGAAATTAATAAGACATAATAATTAATTAAGAAGACATTTTATTATTATTGTGTGAATTTTGTTATTTTATTTTATTTTAATATTTTTATGCTTATTGAGATATTTGTTTCATAAATCACAATTTGTTTTTATCTTTCTGAAACATGCTAATGATTGAAAATTTTTATTGTGTAAGTGTCTTGTGCAATCAACATGTTCATATATTTTTCAACTTATGTTTTAAATGTCGGAGTAAAAAATAATTGCTAAGCCCAACATATTCTGTTATCACTTTGAAAATTGAATGCATATTATACAAATAGATGTATGTAACATTTGGTTATTAATAATTTTATTTATTATTATAATTTACTTAATCATTTAAAAGTTTGTTAATTATCTCAATATTTTTCTAATTTTGCAAAGGTTTCCTAAATGAGTCAATTATGAAAATTATTTTCTAATTTGGCTTTAAATATTAAAAATAAATTCCCTAATTATTTTATTACATATTTAACGTTGAAAATTATTAAAAAATTTTACCAAATTAAATTTTAAGGGTCTAAATTGCTAATAAAATCACGATTAATTTTATGCTTAATTTTTATATAAAAAAATTAATTTTTTATCTATTGATTTTCGAAGATTTCTAATGGAGCTCTCTGACAACTCACTGTATAGAGCTATTTCCTTGCCACACTGGCAACGATTTTTTTTGCGAGTAGTAAGCTTTTATGAGCAGCCTATTTCTGGATGTTTCTGAAAGCTGGCGCAACTGGGCAATCCGGGACAGCTTGTACATACATGCCATAACGGTTATTACAGTATCTAGGTAATTAATGAGGATACATTAACGAGAAGACCCAAGAAGAATTTCAAATGTAGAAAAAATAATCGTATCATACGTCGAGAAAAATGATTTAGTTCAATAAGAAAATTTTTTTGGGGAAAGAGATCATATTTATTTAAAAAAAATGATAATATGACTATTAAAGACGATTGTAAAATTACAAGACAATTATAAAAGATATATTTGAGATACAATATGTGTATAATTAAATCCATTTAATTTTTATCATTAAAGTTTTATATTTTTTTCTAAGTAATATATTTTTAAATCCTTATTTTTTTGTGTCAATTCAATTAAGTAACAATTATAAGTATTTAAGAAAATAAATTAAAGTTTAATGTAATATAATGTGATGATATGTATTGATTAACTTATATTTTTCAGCTTATTTTGAAATTATTATATATTGTTAATTAATTTAACTGGCAAATGGCATCAGAAATATATAATTTAATAAATAAATAAATAAATATATATATGTGATAATAATAGTCATAATAATAGATGAAGAATTATCCGGGTCTTATTCAATGGAATAACATTTTCCATAAGGTGAACCGATATTTATGGCCGTTATTTAAGTAAGGAGGAAGTTAAGGCATTTCATGGATTTGCGAAAATAGAATGTGAAAATACATCAGGCATCAAATGCTATTTATAGCTCTCTGTTAGAAGTCACAGGCTGCAGCATCTGTGTTCAGTTTAAATCCTCTATGTCTAGCAATGTGTTGTAATATGTATTTACTTTTTTTTCACTTTGGTAATATATGTCAAAACCGTAGGAATTTGTGCACATTGATGCGAAGAATGATTTACAAAAATATTTTTTACTATATATATATGTATATATATATGCAGGCTCAACAAAGAAAGATAATTTAATATTAAGTAAATTTATTTTTGTATAATAAATATATTTTATATTTCTATATTTTGTTCCTGAAAAATAATTCTATGTACTTTAAATATTATATTTAAAAAAACTTAATTTTCTACAAAATCTTTTTATGAATTTTATCATCTAAATTTGTCATATATCTTATCGCAAAATTTATTCAATATCATATATATTGCTATATATGGAAATGTGTGATATTCGTGATTAATAACATAATCGAAACTCTAGATTTGTAACATCGATTCAAACCTTGGATCTCGACCAGACCGAGCAAAATCGGCGGTTCTGATGTCGGGATCTCGAAATACATCTTGCCAATCGCGCACGCTTTTCATCCTTCTCGTTTGACTCCATGCATATCGATATATAATTAGCATACAATATCACATTCATAGTACATATTGTATCGTATGACTGTAATCGTAATTGTGTTAACAGGCCTGCATCGATGATGATCTGGATATGGTGGAATTTTTGGTGGAGCAAGGAGCGGATATCAATCGTGGAGATAACGAAGGATGGACACCCTTACATGCTACAGCATCATGTGGATTTATATCTATTGCCAAGTGGGTTAAAGTTTTTACACAATAATAAAAAAATATTTATATATATATTTTACGCTTATAAAAGCATTAAGATTCTCTAATCATAATTTTTCGTTCATATTTATTATAATAAAATATTGAGAAAAATGTATATTTTTTTTACAGATACTTAATAGAACAAGGATGTAATCTGGCAGCAGTTAATAACGATGGTGAACTGGCGCTTGATATTGCAGAAAGCGACGAGATGGAAGACATGCTCCAACAGCATATAAATAAAGCAGGTTTGCATTTATATATGTATATATTTGCAGGATGTATCTATGATGAGGCCTACTGCGTAAAACTTTTAATTATAGATCTCTTCGAGGAAAATCGGTGCTGGAAATCGTAGTAGTACCGAAATATCCGTGCTGCGATAATTTAAGCGAGCAATCTAATTGCGCAATTGGCAAAAAAATTAATTATTCGCGTTTTTTCTCTATCTATTGATACGATTTTTAAACATGTGTAAATGATAAACTACACATCTGAAACTCATTGTCAATAATTTTGCTTAAAATTCGCGCTCTCAGACACAGCATATTGGCAAAGATTCCTTCTTTCATTGACCTCTTTTCGTAATGTTGATATAATTTCACATACAATGCCGAATACCAAATAGATTCTTAAACGATGTCTGCTTATATATGATTTATTCTTATTTTGCATATTTAAATATTAACTCTTCAAATAGAAATATTGGATATCAAAAATCAAATAGAAATATTTGATATCTTTTAAGGTATTTTTTTTCTATAACATCGTACAGTTGAATTTGTCAGTAAAATTAATTTTACTGAAATATATTTTTAAATATAAAATAGAATTTAAAATTATTAGATTATAATACAAGATCGTTGAATATAAATTATATAATAAATTTAATTTTGCAGGTATCGATTGTGACCAGGCTAGAAGTGAAGAGGAACAATCAATGCTGACCGACGCGAAAGCTTGGCGTTCAGGCGCGCCAGGTAAAGATTCTGTACATCCTAGATCAGGAGCTACTGCACTTCATGTTGCTGCTGCCAAAGGCTACATCAAAGTTATGCAGTAAGATATTATTTAAATTTAAAAAATTATTTATATATAATGTGACATATTGCTTAAAGAATAACAAATTATTACATATACTTCTTACATCGAAAGTATTATGTATGCAATGCAACAATGAAACAAAAGTTTCTTTTTATATTATAATTGTATTACATTATAATTAATTATATATAATTATATAATATTAAAAACAGGTTTTGTACGTGGAATCGAGTTTTGTTATTGAGTTTTTTTTAATACTTCTGTGCAGCATATTACTACAAGCTCGATGCAATGTTGATGCACAGGACTTTGATGGGTGGACGCCTTTGCATGGTGCGGCACATTGGGGTCAATTGGAAGCTTGCAAACTTCTTGTTGAGAATGACTGTGATATGGATATGAAAAATTATGCCGTAAGAGAATAAATGTTTATAATAATTGTGTAGCACAGATTAAATCTAGATCAGTTCAAGTTGGTTCTAGATTGATTAACTTCGGGCTAATTCAATTTACATCTAAACTGGTTTAGGCTGTACAACACAATTATTATTATAAGATATCTTTCTTATTATTATATACTCTTATATCTTATCTTGTTTCTAGGGCCAAACTGCTTTTGATGTTGCTGATGCAGATATCCTCAAAGCTCTTGAAAATCTAAGAGAGCAACAAGCACTTATAATAAAAGAAAATCCACAAACAAATAATAAGAAGCAATCATCTATACCAAAGAAACGGTACGCGACACAATAATCGTAAATTTAAAAAATGTGAGATATAATCTTTTATTTTAATGTATTTATTTATCATTACAGTGTCTCAACGAGTGCTGATAGTGCAGTAACGGCGCAAGAATCTACGGAGATCTTTGAAGAAGAAACACCAAATAAAGTTAAAAAGGTTGAATTGGAAATTCAATCTGACAAAGAAGATTCCAGCACTAGTACAAACAGTGATGTTGGTAAGTTTCTGTTTGGATATTATATCTACATATTATCTAATCCGCACGTTTTTGTAAAGAGGTGATTACATTAATAACTATCTACAACTCTCTGTAACTTCCATATTTATTTTTTATGTGGAAAAGGGGAAAAGAGAATAATCATGTTTTGTGCAAACTATTTTCATGCCTCTATATTTCTCCTATTGTCTAATTCTACGAATCTAATCTTTATGTACTGTTAACTGTAATCTGTATTTCTTATAACATTTGCTGCATGGACAGAAGCAACGCGTGAAACACACATGGAAGAGAGTGATGGTGAAGGTGAATCTGAGACTAGCTCAGAATCACACTCTTCCACTTTCTCCAATCAATCTGATAAGTCTAACCACGCGACATGTCTTACAGATGACGGTAAGTTTGATCTGTAAGACCGTTTTCTTTTTTTTTATATAGAACACGAATTATATTGCTTACTATTATATATTGCATGTATTCAAATTTTTATATCGGAATATCTAAACAAAATACTGGATTTTGGTTATGGTGTCACAGAGAGTCAAAAACTTCAAATATTTCTTCTAAAATTTTTTTCTAAAATTAATAGTGTAATAATTTTTAATTAATTATTTTGCAGAGAAGAAAAATAGAGTAAACAAAGATGAAAATGCACTCCACAGTCCAATATCTCCGGTTGAAACTACTAAAGTTCCTAATCAGGTAAAGTAAACTGTTTCTACAATAAATTGTTTGCTATATGATAAATTGTTTTGTGTTCTCTTAAATAATTTTCTACTTGTTTTTCCAAGGCTCCAATATTGCCACCAAAACAACAGACTGATAATAATGAAGAAGGTGTTGTACCATCTTGGAGACGTTCAGGTTCCTTTCGAAATAAAATGCAAAACACTGAAACTACTAATTCTGTATCTACAAGTAAGTTTCTTTAATATTATATTTTCAATTACATTTCTTAAAATTGTGTTTTTTTAATAATCTTATATGTAATTACTTTTTAGAACTCGAAGATAAGGATAACAACATTAAGATACCAACAGTACCAAATAAAGTTAGTGGAGAGCCTGATGTGGTGTTAAGAAGAACACATAGTTTTGAAACAGACGAAAAGTGAGTATAATTAAATCTTTGCTTAGCGTGTCATTATTATTATTGTTATTATTATTTTTTATACACAAGTCTGCAGCTTTATATTTTTAGAAATATTGAGTGTTTTTTCTTCTTTTTTTTTGTTAATAATTAGCTGATACTTAATGCTATTAACAGCTGTGCTGCATTCCAACTAAGATATTGTATTATATATCCACACTTCATGTGTTTGCATTTTAATTGCGAATCTTAGTGTCTCTTTGTAACGTATGTCCCTATACTATCATGAAAATTAGTGTAGAGATATGCATGGCACGGTAATGCATGTGATGCAGGTTTTATGAACAATATTTGGCATTACGTGCTCGCATCAAGGCGTTCTCGTGCCCTAGCCTCCATCGCTGCAATGCAGCTGCTCCTACTTACACCAATTCTACGACTCGTTCTGCATCTCTACGCGAAACACCCAGGTATATGCCGCGTGCTTCTAATCAATGTGTTACAGTTTTTAATTTTTACAAAAATTGCAATTGTGTTAATTCTATATTTCAAGTTACCTAATATAATTATTCTCTCTATAATATAGGGATATACTCCTGGGAAAAATCTTGAAAATCTGATATTCTCGGAATTTGATTGGAATTCAAGGAATTTAAAAAAAAAATTTTTTTGTTAATTTTATTCATATTGAGCACTTAAAAAACATATCTTGACAATATTTAATTTTTAATAGATAATATTTAAATAAACTAATATTCCTTATTTATTTATTAAATAATTAAATAAATAATAATTTAATCAATAATTAATTTTAATCAAGTTTCCTTGAGGAGGGAGATATTTATAATAAATTATTTTTGTTTTATATTTTTATCTTTTTATTTTATTCTTTTATTTTTATCAGGTAATTTTCAAGAAATTTTTTTACAAAATTTGAGTAGATACCCTGTAATATGTAAAACATTGCAACACATATTGTATCATTTGTATTATTTGAAAATATGTGTAAACCTGTAAAAGATGTGATTTTAATATTTTTTTATACATTTTTGTATGGAATGGGCTTTTAATGTGGCTTGCTATTAATTGTCTTAGAGCTTGAAATATTAAAATGCTTTAATTGAAAACGTATATAATAGTGTTAATCAAATTAAAATCTTAACTCTTAACAATTTTTTAATTATTTATAAGAACTTAAATGTATATAAGTTTAGTAGAACTAATTTTCTTTAATATTACATTTATATTAATATTATATTAATATTACACTTATAACCCTATCATAATTAAAGTAAATATAATTAAATAACTCAAATACAAAGATAAAAACTTGAAATTTTGTATACTTCTTACATCTTTTTGAGGTATAAATCTTAATATATTGATCAAATAGAGAACTTTCAAAATTTTTACTGTAATATATTATTATTATTATTAATTATTATTATCATTATTATTATTATGTATTATTATTACATGTTTAATAGTTTATTATTATATATTATTTCTTTTTAATTATTTATTTTGTTCTTACACTTCAGAAAAAAGACGTGAAATTAAATTTGGAATTATCAAGACTGCCACAAGGAAGCAATACACTTTCACCAACATCTGCATCTAAAACATTGGCCTCGAGTTTATTGTCATCCATCACAACAACTACCACTGCCACTACAACAACAAGTCCTATTCCAGTCAATCAAATTCGCAGGTAAATACATTTTTATATTAAATATATATAAATATATTTAAATATAAATATATATAAATAAATATATATAAATATAAATATATAAATATAAATATATATATAATATATATATATATAAATATATATATATATATATATATATATATATATAAATATATATAAATATATTCTTTATATATACATCTCTAAATATATATTTTAATTTTACATATCTTAAATTTTTTTTTATACAAGAGGTTGAAAATGGATTGCAATATTTTTTACGAAACGTGTAAAATATTTGATTTAAAGTTTTTTTATTACAATACTGCGTTAACTGTTTGATTAAAATGGATTATTTTCGTGAGATTTTTTCATAATTTTGATAGTGTTATAGATTAATTTTTTATATACCAAGTAAAAATTATGCAATACTTTATGCTCCAGAGTTCTTAATATGCCTTAAGTTGTAAAGATTTCAAGTATATGTATATTTTTTGCCACATAATTGATATATAAAAATTCGGGTATTTCCAAAACGACACACTTATTTACAACATCAAACATTATTACATACACATAATTGACATCTATATTTTTCCATTTTGTATTGTGCGTTATATAATATGAATGTGGCTGGATAGTGTTCAACCAATGGAAGCTGCATCTACAGTTGTATCAAATACAAATAATGCAGTAGCAACTGCTCCTGGAACTCCCACTACACCAGGCGGGAGCAAGCTAAGTCCAGGAAATATCTTCAAGAATTTCTTCAAGTGGGTACTCACTCTGCTCGGAAGATCCTCCTGAAATATGACTTTTGCATACATATATATCTCTTCAGATGTTTACGTGTAATTTACGTTAATTTGCTGGCAGTAGCATGAAGTTTTGCTTTTGCAGTGTGATTATTCCTTTTATTTGCATATTAATTGTTCTATATATTTGAATTTTACGATAGTTGTCTCATTCACAAGCAATCACACGTCTGAATTCACCAAAAGCTGAAACGTTACACACGATTATAGTCGATAAATGGATTCACTACTACATATAAATGCACATTATTTGATTTTTGTATCGTTAAATATGTAAATTTGTGAACGCACTGTGATACTCGCAACAATCCACTAATTACACAAAGGTCCATTAATATTCTACAGAAATAATTAAATTATAATGGAAATAAAACTCTATCATTTGTAACGTTATTACATAACATCTTTATTCTGTTAATTTTCTAATCAATCGAAAAATTAATACTCTACTGCAGGGAAAAAACTGAATTCTCATATAATAATTATACATGACACCAAAGCTACATCTGGAACATACAAAGAAGATATATTACAGGCATATTTTATAGGGATATATATACATATATTTTTGCTGTTTTCTGTGAAATTTTTGATATTGCTTGATATTGATATAAATTGCAATTGAATATAATGCTTACTAAAAGTTTGTTCCTACATTGCACAGATAAAACGACCTGACGATATTGTATTTTTTTCTGTTGCAACTTGTAAGCTCGCGAGTATATTTTTCCATTTAATGTATTATTGCGTATATATGTACAGATCCTTCGTTCCGCCGGTACGCGATGAGGAGAGCGAAACGCAAAGGAAAGCTCATGCGAAGAGAGTGAGAGAGACCAGAAGATCAACTCAAGGTGTGACGTTGGACGAGATCAAGAGCGCGGAACAATTAGTCAAGAAAAAGCAACAGAACAACGAATCGCCAGCAGTAATACCATCCACGCAGGTAAACATCGTATCGATGATTTTTATCATACATGGGGGAATCGTCTTATCAACTGATTAGAGAGGTGACTAATCGCGCGAAGCGAATCGTCTGGAAAAAATTTTCTCAAACAGTGTATAATAACGTTAAGAGAGAGAGACGTCTTTTCGTACTTCTAGTATAACTGAGAACATTGACAGTGAATATTAAAACGCAGTGCGGCATATTAATTACACAGTCAAGAAAAAATATTTTTTTTCAACGCAAGAAAGAGGATTATTATTTCTCACAGTGTTTGTTGATGATGACTATGTTTCCGGTTTTTAAATTTGTAATTTGGATACCGGAATCATATTCAGGGTAAAAAACTATTAAGAAAATGATTATTCTTTTTCTTATGTTTGAAACAAAAGTTATTCTTGAACTGTGCGTAATAAATTAAATGACGATCTGACGTAATATTAGATGGCTTCCAAGTACCTGTGTTGTTTAAAATTCAAAGTCCATGTAATATTTTATTTTTTATTATATTCTTATATACAAATATAATGTAATACGACAATTATGTAAAGTCGAGACGAGTAGTACGAGAAGTCGATATATTTCTTCATTTTTTTTTTAAATAATATAGCCTACAACTACCGTCAGCAATACAGCTTCGATCACAGCTACGATAACAACCGCAACTTCGACTACCGCTACCGTGACTACTGCGAATAAAGTAGAAGAATCTAATTTGCCTGAAAGACGACCATCTTGGAGATTAAGGGTAGACAATGGAAGCAAGGTCTGTGCGGTATTTCTTACGAAATTTATTATTTATCTATGTTTATTCGCGCGATTATTTATCCGATTACTATAGTCGGTGCTACAGGATACAAGGTGTAATGAAATTCAATCGCGAATTTAATGGAAGCGAAGCATTACAAATGAGGTCATTGATGGAAAAAGGGCACATACGCTAAAACTATTTCGACTTCAAAGTTTTTATTAAAGTATTACTTAATGAAAAATAATGCATTTAAATCAATTTTTTAAAGATGTAATAACCATGTTCTTCAAACGTTCTAAAAACAGAGATTGTGATTTGAAGATATTTGTTTTTTCATGAGTTTTAAAAAATTGGTGCCCTTTTTCCATAAATAGAGTGGTCTTTTTTAAATTAAATATAATTAAATTTATTAAATATAATTTTATTTAATTAATTAATTACTTAGTTTACAACTTTTTTATATATTATTTAAATAAATATTAAAATAATTATATAATATAATATATTATTATTATTATTTATTATATAGAATTGTTACATTAGAGGAATAAATACATATGTCCTTTCTATATTATATAAAACATGTCTGAGTCGATTTCAACGATTTATGGGAAAAGGGCATAAGCCTATATCAATGGCCATAAATGTTATCATAAATCAAAATTGATAATAACATTACATTTTGTCATATAGTTTCAGTTAGAAGATGCTAATAATAAACCTACCGATAATACTACGGCCTACATGAGAAGACCGTCTACTGGAACTGGTATACCTAGACCATCATCAGCGCCAGTAGAGACTATTGCTACCAGTAGTACAGAAACCACAATTACTTTACCCCTTAGGAGATCGTCAAAGCAACCTGACGACAAAGGTAAAGATCTATAAAATAATTAATTAAACAGCATAACTCGTTATGTGTTTTTTTAATGAAAAATTTAATAGTAATTGATTTGTGCAGTATTGACAATTATTTATTTTAAAAAATCGCAATTGTGTTATGTTATAGAACAAGATAAGGAAAATGATAGTAGAAACGCACAAGCTACACAGGCGGTTATACAAAGGAGGCGTAGGCCTAAGAGAAGATCGACAGGCGTGGTTCACGTAGATATGGATGTTAGTAACAATTTTGATAATAATAAAGAAGTTATCAAAGAAGTTACATTTCTCAATGAAAAAGAACTATATTTTGAGAAAAAAACGCATAGATTTCAAAATGATAGCATTAAAACCAATCAAAATGTAATGAAATTTCTTCTATAAAAAATAAATAAATATATTTGAGAATACATTTAAAACGACATTTTATCTTTTCTAGGAAATCGATCCAGAAAAACAAGATGTAACTGCTGGTGGGGACTGCGACGATTCCAAAATTAATCATAATGAAGTAAGTAATTCATCTTTTTCTATAGATTTTTGTTTAGATTTTTTCTTGCACTGTCTGTTAACTCTAACTTTAATAGATTATTGTCGGAAATATATCAAACATTTCTTTAAATCGAAATAATTCAGTTCAAAGTATAAAATAATATTACATATGCGCGAATAATAAACGCTGGCTGCTGCATGATGAATGGATATCGTGATCTAAAATATATCGTTTCTTCGTTTTATCGATTATCTTCGAATTTTTTATTTATCAAATCCTTCTGACGCCAAAGTGTCTGTCCGAATTTCAATTTACGAGTCTCTTGTCGGATTTACTAGAGTAGCCAAGAAGCCAATATTGGATAACGCGCAGTTATGTGACGCAGAGGAAAACAAGAAGCTCGTAGAAAAGAGAAACAGAGAGGGTATATGATGAGGCATCATCTCATTTTGACCTAGATTTCTGGAGCTTCGATTGTTGAACAGATCGGATAATTGTATCTGTTCCTGTTGAAGCCTAAGCAAAAAGACGAGCAGATAACGAGAAATGAATAGGTGTTCTCCAGTATTTAATGTTAAATATATTTTTGTAATTCTGGAAGAGAGAGTTCGCTCTCTCACACAGTTCCAGCGTAACTTTTTTTTCATTCGCCGGGTATAAACGGTTTTAGTAGGCTACCGGTGCTTGGTGTTATTTTTAGTTTCTTGGAAGAATAACTTCTATATTTCGTACGTTTATCCTCGACAAAAATAGTTCAAGCTTTGTTTGTTCTGTCATCTACGCGTTTGATGTTCTATATGTGAAAAAGTACAACATATAACTTTGTTCAATCTTCATAAATATTTCTCTCTCTCTCTCTCTGCTCTTTTTTTTTTAATATAAAATTATCGAGTTGACTCTAATAAGGTAGCATGGCAAAGTTTTATTCAGGAAAGTCGATCGGTAATTGAAGTAAAAAGAGATGATCGTGAACATGATCCGACCGTGTCTAAAAGTATTCTATCAATCCGGAAGACAATTCTAAACGCTTTGACATTTAGAATCGTTTGTTTGCTGCTGATGAACATCGCTAAACGCCTTTCAATCTTTTATCGATGACAGATAGATCAGCCAACGCGTCTATATAAATCTTGCACACGAGGTTGCTAAATGTTATGAAATTTATACTCCCTTGCTTTTCGACTCTTAGATTTATTTTCCCAGTATAAAATTAGATGTATATCATATATACAATATACAGGGTGTCCCATAGGAAATTGCTGAAATTAATCAACTGTCATTTTTTAATGATTATATGATTATTAGTACTTTTTTCATTACTTTTTTTCAATAAAATAAACTAGTATATAAACATTTTATTTATATCCATTAAAAACTGTCTTTCCTTTTTTTAACACAATTTTTGTTTTCTTAATAACTGCATGCATTAAAAAATGACAGTTGATTAGTTTCAGCAATTCCCTATGGGATATCCTGGATTTGCGCTTATAAACTCAAATCCACTTAAATTATTTTTTTTATCACGAGCTATCACGTATTAAGATGCGCTTAAAGCGCGATACAAATTGCATTTCTTCTCTGAAACCTTGATATTTGTGTGCGTCTTCGCGTGCATTCCAAAAATAGCGCATAGTAGTGATGCTTTAAAGCAAACTGGCCGAGAGAGAGAGAGAGAGAAAGAGAGATCTTGGGTTCTTCTGCCCAGTCTCCGTCAGTCTATCATCTGTTCTCCGCAGTCCTGGATGTACAGCTCTTTGTTCTTAGAAACTATAAAGTTTTCGCTGTCGAAGTATCGCGTAAAGGCTGCGATAAAAGTTTTCACGACGTCAGCCGTATGAATAACGTGTGTAGAAGTTGAGTGACGAATTTCACGAAAAAACTCTCCCGATGCTGTAACGTCTCGTAATAGCTTCGCACGTGACGCAAACTATGTCTTCGTACAGAAAGGGAGCACAAGCTAAGCCAACAACAGCTGCGGGCCTGAGAGCTCAGGCATCAACAAATGGGAAATCAATTTTTGGAAACAGGTCACGAATCAGCGGATTGCTCTCGCTGAATCAGAATAATCTAACAACGTACAACTCGGGTTTATTGGGCGCGAAAAGTCCCAATCTGTATTCTGGATCGAGTTACTTGAATAAAGGCGCGAAGACTGCCGATCTATTTCGCACAAGTCCGTATGTGAAATCGACCAACAGTCCGACAAGTTACCAAAGTCTCTTCACGACGTACGGTGGAACGAAAACCGGATACGGTGGTGTGACCGTACCCTCTCATACAGTCGTCAATCCCTTGAATTTAAACACATCTCCCAGTTACAACTATCTGAATCTAAATGTTCACTCTCACGTGCCAAAAACGGAGAGTTTTAGCAGGTCCAAAGTAAAACCAAGTTTAAATATCAGGTCGAGGAGCTCCAGTCTAACTAGTCTAACTAGTTCCGAGGGATACGCTGTGAGCGATTTTTCCTAATATATATATATATATATATATATATATATATATAAAAAAAGATGCTCTTGTAATATTCTCGATGGTGCTAATATTGCGAAATCTATAACCAGAATTTTTCTTCAAGGAACTTAGGCGATGATGCATTGAACAAAAATTAATAATGTTATTTTGTCTGTTTTAGAGTGGAAATGATCGTTCTGTGAGGGCTAATAGATTAGGCTCAATATCTTCATTATCATCAGAAGCATCATCAGCGCCGATCAGATTAAAATCCAATAATTCCGAAAACGGCGAATTAGACTATAAGAAATTGTACGAGGAATCTCAGGGCGAGAACGAAAGATTAAAGGACAGATTGAAACGTTCCGATGAACAGTTGAAGGAAGTTAGAAGTTTATTGGAGAAATCGCAAACCAACCAAAACAAAGTAATTCTCTCTGAGGCGGAAAAGAGAGAAAGGCGAGCAATGGAGAGAAAACTTTCGGAAATGGAAGAGGAATTAAAGGTAAGCTCAGATTTCCACGTATCATTCTCTTCGATTTCAACAATTGTTATTTATATGTGAAAGCAAATGAAACGGAGACGCTTTCGTATCTTAAATAATGACGAGTCTGGACCACAATTTTTCTCTGTGATTTTTATCTCTGTGTACGATTATACATATATCAGTATATATCTGTATACTCACAATTTTAGATTTTTTAGTTTTATTTAGTTATTATACACCCGTCATCTCTTTTTGTTGCGTTGCTACGACCAGTAGCGGCAAAGAAAAACAGCGACGATCCTTTTTTTTAATTAAAAAGCAATTGCTTTTCGGTGCATCTATTTTGTATGCTTTTCCTTATCTATCATTTTTTTACGGCGCTTTATTCTCTTTCTTTATTCTCTACTCAGATTAGTCTGCTGATTGATTTTTCAATCGGGAAATAATTTCTGTTCACCCGTTTATATATCTCTTCCCTTGTGTTCCGCTTTTCAGAATTTCTAGTGTGTAGTCTAATCGGGGAATCGCACGCGGTTTTACTTAAACCAGTGTATGTTTTGGGACTATTTTTGGGGACTAGTAAAAAAAACAGTGGCAGGGTTTTAGGCTAATTGTTTAACTGTTTACAGCAATTGCAAAAGCTCAAAGCTGAAAATGAGAGATTGAAAGCCGAAAATCGGGCACTTACCCGTGTCGTATCCAAACTCACCAATACTAAATAGGTAAAGAACACAATGACAGCATCTGCGTTAACGATAGACATCGTATCTCACGTATAGCATTAATTGATTAATTAATTAATTAATTAATCGAATGATTGATTACAATTTCGTGTTCCTCGACCGCCCAGTATTAAAACAGAGACGATACTACTCATTTACTTATTGTATAATTCAGCTTTACAATGTGTTTATACATTCCAACGCGATCGTTAATTAACTTTTAACTAAACGACAGCTTAGCAACTTATTCTTTTATAATAAAAAAAAAAGGAGAGACTTTAGGTCTCTATTATAAAATACACACGAATATCATAATGAACATTATACGATCTTACTTAGTGTGATACTAATAGTACTTTAATTGTGGCAATATCAACGCGATTTTTAATGCGAGAAAGATCACATGTATAACATTATATATATATATATATATATATATATATATATATATATATGTATACGAATTATTTAAGAGATCGCTGTGTAAAGTTTCAATCGTGATAATTATATACGCGACTGTTTGTGTGATGCATGTTATAAACGCGAATTACTTAATAATACATTTACTAAAAAAATTAAAAGTAAAAAAAACATTGCATAAGTTTTAACAAAAATTAGGAGAACGCAGTCTGTCATATGTTAAGATGCATAGGAATGAATATAGATTTCGCAGTTTTATATAACTTTAGATGAAAACTTTTTTCCTTCATCAATAAAACCATCATTCAACATGCAATATAACATTTGTAAACTGAATGCGCCATCACCAAGCATCGATAATATCATCATTTTTGGCACGTGTTAAAAACATGAAAAAAACAAAATCATGACTTTGCAACTGATTATTCTTTTCTTTTCGTTCATTCATCTTAATTGTAATTGTGTGACAGTTCCCAGAAACATTTTCAATATGTTAAACTCAAACAAGCTACTACACTCTTATTAACTTAGATCTTTACACCTTTCTCTCTCTCTCTCTCTATCTCTCTTTCTGTCTTTCTCAGAAAGCATGTTAAATGTTAAATTGTTGCATTTTTATTGCACTTTATTTATTGACATATACAATAGATCTACTTTGCAAAATGGTCAATCCACATACGAGATTGACATTAATCCCACTATAATTTTTATGTATATAATATTATATATATTTATCTATATGATATGCATTAGAAAGCTTTCATAATCAATGATATTATTTTGTAGTGTTCTAAAAGTGCTCGATAAGAAAGTATGTGACAAATGATTATTAGTTGATAATACACGATTTATATAAACGCTCCTTTGATATTTTTATAAAAAATACTCCTGAAATTATTGATTAAATCTACGCATCTTTTAAAGGACTACTAAGTTTAATTATCTGGTAATTAAACTTGGATTGTATACGAGGAAGAGAGATTATTATTGTCTTCCAAGCACACAGATAATTTTATTGTGTAAGATATACGTATAAAAATTTATTACTTTTAAGTTTAAGTGTGTGTCAGATCTCTACAACTCTAGTCTACAGATAAATCATGAAGAGAATTTAGTAATTTAGCTAGTAATTTAATAGTAAAATAGTTCATAAATATATAATTATGAAGAGAATACTTGTGTACAAATGCATTGATAATAATCAAAAGAAATAAAATCTATGATTCTGCTGTTATATGTAATACGAACATCATAAATTGATAAAACACTACTTGCTCGATTCACTCGATCATTTTTTAATTCCTTTATAGCATCTGAACACATTTATTAATTTCTGCTAGTATACAATATATCCGAATATACATAGGGTATCTCAAAAGTCCTGCAATAGTTAAATATCTAAAAATAAAGATTTTTTAAGAAAAATGTTGCAAGTAAAAGTTGTAAGACTTTAGTGGTTATTAAGTAGTAATATTAGTGTGACTATAAATAGCATTAAGGTCATGTAAAATTCACTTTGAAATTTTTAAGTAGTCTAAAATAGGCGGGATTTTTATTAAAAAATTTCAATGTAAATTTTATATAGCTTTAACGAGGCTGTGTATAATCACATTAACATTGCTATTTAATACGCCACTTAAAACCCTACAACTTTGATTTGAAACATTTTTTCAAAAAGTCTTTGTTTTCGAGATGTTTGTTGCAGGATTTTTGTAACACCCTGTATATATTTTAATAACTTTTGGTTGCAGTAATACTTGTGAGTGCCTCTCTTTTTTCCGTTTATCTTCCTGTTTTTTTTGTGAGCACTTATTACTCCGTCTATAATGGCATCATTTCTCTTTGTACTCCTCTGTATAATGTATAACTCCTCCGTTGCGTTTTAGATTAGCACATAAGAATTAGTGTGACATTTTTTTTCTAGGTGATGGAGCAACTAAAATGCGAAAATCAGAGGCTAAAAGATGAAAATGGTGCCTTGATCAGAGTAATCAGCAAATTGTCCAAATAAAGTCTTGTAGTCTCAACACTGCACATTGTAATGAAATTTTAAGTTGTTGTATGTTATGATTGTATATCGAAATGAATTGCTTTAATTATCGCAGCATTATTATTATCGCTAGTATTCTTACAAACGCGCATCACGCTATCGATGAATTTATCCTCATGCTAGTAATTTAACTTATTCCGATGATGAGATCAAATTATTAATCGCATGGCTGTGCCAAAGGCGAAAAAAATATGTTACTTCTATTCTTAGACTGTGAATATTTGATTGTAAAAGACTTAGAGAAATTTTACTTTGCGGAATTATTTTTTAATGTCTTATATATATATATAGAAAGATAAATTTTATAATCCACTATATAAAATTAATTCAATGTTTTACAGTAAAAAAATTCTGATTTACTTTGTATTCGACTTATACTAGGGAGAAAATCTGTTGATTTTTTACATCTTTTTTTTTTTTAACAAATCACGTTATCTATGTTGATTCTCTTTATAAGGACATTTTTGTATAATTATAGACAACAATGATGTGGCATTTTAATAACTAGAAGAGAGAATTTTAAGAGAAATACTCTGACTGCAGACAAATAAAACTACAGTAAAACGAGTCCATTTGCATTATCGAAGAGCAATAAATTTGATATATATTTGTTTTGCTTGATTAAATTATGCAGCTGATAAAAAAGGATGGAGTCACAAAGAACATGATCTTGCTACTCAAGTGGCCTTTCTCTGAAGACTGCAATTTATAAATCCTTCCATCATTGCCATTTTTGCAGTATAAGCAGAATTTGATGCATGTACGGGAGAATAAATGTTTTTAATTTTATTCTGTAATATTAATAATTTTCTTATATAATATCACAGATATGTATGTAAAATATACTTAAGACACATCAGGATTTAATCTCCTTAAAGTGCTAAAATTACTATATGTTAGAGCTGTGGCTGTAAAAAAAACTTGAGTTCGAACTGTTGATGTGGTAGAATCTGTGTTATTATTTTTAACTATTTGTCTAATGTATGAAATGCTGTTATCTATTATTTTCTTATAGCATTAATAAAATTATTGTTCAATATACACTTTGGATAAAAACGAATTTATAAATATTGGATTATGGAATGTGCAAACTGACAGTTGGCATGTTTTTTAATGATATTATTGTAAACAATTGTAAAAAAAGGATGACTCAATGTAGTTATTTCGTAATGAAATTTATTAGAAAATAATACTTGTGTAAATATTTAATACATAACTTACACAACACAAGAATCTTAGTTTTATTTTATTAGCTTAAGTCACACATCACAATAAAATTCCTATACATATTTATATATATTGTAATAACATGTTTTATAAATATTTATATTTAAGAACCGCGTATGTGCAAAAAGCAACTGCATCGTACATATTTATTAAAAGGTAAGTAATCACTAGAATTCTTTTTACATATTTTATTTTTATTATGTTTTATTTGCTCTCGAATATACTATTTTATATTTACAATATATTTCTGTATAGAAAATAATTCCATAAATCAGCTATTTGTCTTATATAAACTTCATTTACTATAATTTTAATAATCTTTCCATAATTTTTGCAACAAGAGCCATATCTGCACAATCATCTGTAACCTTTGCCATTTCTCCCAATAGTACGTTAAATAATTTTTTCTTTCCATTCTTATATCCCGATACAATTTTCGGATTTTTCTCAATAATTTCTAAACACATCTTTTCCAATTGTTTCTCATCTGATATCAAGAACCAATTATGTTCTTCAACAATCTATAATAAATAAAAACAAAAGTTTAATAAGAAATACTCATTTATTAAATACTGCATTTTTTATATGAAAGAAACATAAACTTTACCTCTTTCGGAGATTTCTTTGGATCAGATATTAATTCATACAAAATCTTCTTAGCCTTCGTTAAATTAATTTCTTTGTTTTGTAATAAGTCAATTAATTCACCAATAAAATCTTCATGTAGTAAGCTAAAAAAATTGTTAAATAAGCCTTTTATGCAATTTAGAATTACGATTTAAAGAAAAAGAATCCCTTACCAAAATTCAACTGTTAGTTTATTTTTATGAAGAAAACCCAACAATTCCATAACGAGAAACTTGGCAACCAATTGTGGTTTACGATTGCCATCTTTTCTTATTATTCCATCAAATAATTGTAACAATACAAAGTCACTCTAACAAAATGTGAAATATTAAAAACACTTTTCTACAAATTTATTTGATTGTAGTGCACTCACTCAAACTTACCATTAGAGATATAATTATTTCAGGAGATATCTTAAAAATGTTCTTTAATCTCTCACGTATCTGTTCTGGCAATTCAGGCAACTGTCTTTTCAATACTACAGCATCGACTAAATTGTCTTCATTTGGTAAATCTTCTCTGACATGTATACGCAGAGGTGGCAAGTTTGTTTCAGGCATAAATCGATAGTCCTGAAAGTAAAAAGTTCTTTAGAGCAAATTCAAAGATAAATTGAGAGCAACATAGAAACGAAATGAAATATTACTTCTTTATCTTCCTTTTCACGCATAGGAATGGTTGCCTTGTTTATAGCATCCCATGCGCGCGTCTCGTTAAATATTTCGTTGCCAGCTTCGAGGATACAAATTTGTCTACTTATTTCGTACTTAATAGCGGCAGCGACCGCACGCACGCTTCCGATATTTTTTATTTCCGTCCGAACACCCAAATCATCGTCTCGGCTTGTCACAGAAACGTTAGCATCGACACGAAGAGCTCCCTCTATAATTTATAAGAATAATAAAATATGAGATATTGAATCTGCAAGTAACAATTTTTGAAAATCAAGTAATTTCTGTAAATAACCTTCCATTTTGCCATTACAAACACCCAGTAACTGTAACGTAAATGCAAGTTCCTTCACAAGTGCGGCAGCTTCTTCGCCATCGGTTAGATCTGGCTGAAACACGAATTCCATCAAAGGTATTCCAGCACGATTGAGATCAATAAAGCTTCTAAAAAAATATTAGTGACACATTTAGAATACTATATTACAATTTTTATTATAATTTTAGAATGCTATTATATTTTTTAAAATTAAAATTAAAAAATATATACAATTGGCTTAATTGATACCTTGCTAAATTTTGGTCATGCAAGCTTTTGCCACTGTCTTGTTCTAATTGAATCTGCTTGATTTTAGAAGACTTTAAATATGGCGATTTGTGTATTCCTGGAGTGAACACATGAAACTTAATTTCACCATTGACAGCAATAGGTTGTCCTTGTTGAGTAATTTGAAATCCTGCCTAAAAAAAATAATTAAAATGATTGAAAAGCATGCCAAATATAAATTGACAGAATTATATATTGAAGGAACTATTTTGTGACATTTACAGGTAAATCTGCATAAAAATAGTGTTTTCTCTCAAACAGAGAAGTCTCGTTCAATCGGCAGGATAATGCTAAACCCGTCAGCACTGCAGATTCCACGCATCTTTTATTTAGTACCTGCAACATATTTGTATCTGCAACAATAATTAATATTTATTGAAACAATTTAGGCAATTTTGCTAATTACCAATAACTTACAGGTAATGTTCCTGGTGTAGCACAATCGAAAAATGAGACACATGAATTGATAGGACTGGCAAAGTCAGTGGATGCGCTAGAAAATAACTTTGACTCCGTTGCAATCTGGGCATGAACTTCTAAGCCTACGATGGATTTCCATTTCTTTCTGAAATAATCGGAAAGACGTAACAAAATTAACGATTTAATTATATTAATTATAAATATATAAATAAATAAATTATATTTTGTTGTATATATTATGTTTATTATTATTTGTATATATACTATTTATATTTATCATATTATGTATTTATTATATTAGATATTATTTATATGTATTATGTTATACATTATTTATAATATTATTTATATATATATTTTTTAGAGAGCAACAATAAGAGAATTGTTCACATCTTCATATGCAAATATATTTTATAATCTAATTGCTCACCGCACTTTTGCTTCTTTTTGAATCTTAGATGAGAGAAACCGCAGTGAAAGATTGTCATTTCGCTTTTTAATCCATTTATTTATAAAAATGAAATGTATTTGTCTCGTTGATAACATGTTTTGTTAATTTTTCAGTATATTTTGAGAAAAGATTTAACGTTATAAAGACAGGTTATGAATTCCCAGAATTGCCAATCGCAGAATAAAAAATTTTGCATAAATACCAACCAATAAAATGCAGTATCTGTCACCTGAAAACTGCACTTTTTTTATTCTCAAAATATACATTCATGCAAATATTTATCGCCGTAGAGTTAGCAAAGAAATTGAATATTTTTTATATAATATATTTACTTTTAACTTTAATTATATAATCAACAATTAGTTTTTCGTTTTATCTCTAGAATAGAAATAAAGGGTTTTCATTGGTTGAATTCCTTATGCTTTATACATAACGCATTTTTTATAATGTATAAATTTATTTAAATTGGAAAAAGACTTTTCCTAAATAAAAATAACAATGAATATATGTTATTCCAAAATGATTCCTAATAAATTTCATTTATAATTAATGTTAAATGTTTATTACTATCTGCTATATATAACTTGACAGTTGATAGTTTTGTTATTAATAAAAACATTATTTTTTAAATGTTAAATATTTTTCTAAACTTTTCCAAACAATTCCCAAATTATATAAAATAATTAAAAAATATTAAATTCCTCTGCTAATTCTATACAGTGGTTGTCAAAATCATGTTTTCTATCAAATAAATTAATAAATGCATCTATTTGCAATTTACATAGTGCTTATACCTGTTTATTTTTTTTGTTTATTTAGGATATATATATAATATATAAAAAATATATATACACAATTCAAATTTATACAGGAATAATAAAATATAATAACGTACACAATACTTTAAACAACTTACATTTATTCGTGAATGTAGAAAATCTGCTTATATACTGCGTATAAAATTTCTTGTGCAAGTATACATAGCTGTAACAATTGGAATGGAAACAATCGTTCCTATGACAACTTATGTACTGAATAATTGCTTTACTGAATGTTTTATGATTCTATAAAATGCTGCATTATTCTTGTGATCACTGCTGATATGGCATGGATCTTCTATCGATAGATCAATCGATTGCTGTCAAACAGTTGAGTATCACAGCGGAGAGAGATTGAGATCGTACAGCTATTATTCACACTTTTATGAAAGCTGATTAATAAAGATGTAGGAGCCAAAATTCAAAAAAATCAAATTTTTGTAAAAATATTGACTGTAAATAATAGTGAGACCTATTTGAGTAAACACTAGTATTTAATCAGTAGCATCGTCTTTGGTTACGCTAAATGGCTCTGCTACAATCTCTGCACCACTATCGGCGATAGTAACATCCTCCTGTGGTCTATCTCGCGAATCCGTGTTCGTTTGCTCAATTTTACGAACTACGTCCTGAAATATAAGAATAATCGCGTTAACAATTAAACATTATATTCCCACAAATTGTTATAATAACTGCATTCAATAGAAAAAGCAGCTTTGTATCTGTTGTAAAATTGTAAATCTGACTGGTGTATACTCTTGATCTTAGCTGGATCTAAGAGCATATAACGATCAGATTCACGAATTTTGCTGTTTTACAGCAACAGTTGTAAAGCAGCTTTTTCTGCTGAATGCAGCCAATGTTACACAGATTTATCTCGTACCATTCCTTTGATAATTTTGCCAAAAACAACATGTCTACCATCAAGCCACGGTGTTTGCTTAACTGTGATGAAGAATTGAGACCCATTGGTATCCTTGCCAGCATTGGCCATGGACAACCATCCAGCACCGTAGTGCTTCAGTTTGAAGTTCTCATCAGCAAAACGATCTCCATAGATACTGCGACCTAATATAAATAAAATAAGTCGATAGAGTTTAGAAAGACAGACTAAATAATACGTATAAAAAAGAAGTAAATTGAGCTGAACCTCCAGTTCCATCTCCCTTTGTAAGTCTCCTCCCTGGATCATGAAATCTTTGATCACTCTATGAAACATGCTGCCTTTATATCCCTCACCCTCCGGTTTCTTGGCGAGCTCCACGAAATTCTTGACTGTCTTTGGAACGGTTTTGCCGAAGAGGCCGATTTCTACTCTCCCCGCATCGACACCGCCAATCTTGATGTCGAACCATACCTAACAAAAGAAAAATCCTTTTAAACGCTTATCAACATACTTGTCTAGTATGCGTCTCAAGGTCCAGCTGTACTGTTTCAAATGTGACATATGGATTTGTGCAGCAGAAATATTATCGGATACGCGATAAAATAACCCAAAGTGCCACGTATTCACGAGATGCCTATTATCGGTTCGCTCTTAATTAAGATTGCGCTCGCAGGATGTAGGATATTGTATACCTTGTCGGTGACTTTCGGACCGTTTCCGTTCGCGCAGGAGACCGCGGCCACCAGACCGAGGAACAGTAGCAGCTTCATGGTGCGAAAACAAAGACTCTTCACCGCCGATTTCTCGTAGAAGTCTGTCAACTCTGTCAGTCTCGGGACTTCGGGACCGCCACCGGATGCGAGTACACAAGTACACGCATATAAGTACGTACGTAGGCTTGAAATGTGGGAGCGTCCGATTGGCTGATTCCATCGACATAGTGAAAGGAGCGTGACGAGAAACTTTTAATTTGATATTCTTTTCTATCAAATTTAATTTGATATTTAATATTTAATTTGATATTCTTTTCTATCAAAAAATTATAATCTGGTTTCTCTCTTTATGCGTCTTATATATATATATATATATATATATATATATATGATCTGGATCTTTTTAAAATACTGATAATTTGAAATATTAATAAGGTGGAATTTGAGTATTTTTCTTGTTTTTTAATTTTACACACAATAATTTCTGATGTTTAAATTTAAATATATAGTCTTTCGGAAATTATTGATAAGTATATACATATCGATATATTAATAAAAAAATAAAAATAATATATATACATATATATATAATATAAAATTTAATAATAAAAAGGAAAGAAAATAAATATATAAAATAATATAAAAAGGATAATAATTATATTAACGATTGCGTTAAAATTTAATAATATTAATAATGTTATTAATATATATAATTTTTATAAGCGATATTTTTTGGCAGACTCCGAAGCTTAAATTGTTAATTTTGTTATAAAATACTATTAATTTTTTTAAATTTTGATTAACTTTATTCAGAATGAAATCTAATAAAGTTTTAATGTAACATTTAATATAATATATGTTATAAATGAATTAAAATATGTGTTTTTACTCTTATAAAAAATTCCTTCCCTGTAGAAAACAATTTTCACGATTTATTATATATTTATTTTATATTTATATTATAATGTAAAAAATAAAAATAATTTGAATATTTGAAATACTGAATAAATTCCGAATTTAAATGACTCGCATCTGCGCATGCGCGAGATCTATCTGTGTTTCTCGTTTCTCCAGTCACTTCCTGAAGTTCCTGAAACCTGAGATCTTATTATTGGTCTTGTTCGGTTTTGTTCTTTATCATTTTTTTTAATCTTGCGAGATAAGAAGTTGCATATTTCTAATGGCTGTAGATACATTCGAAGACGCTAAACAGGAAAAAGTATGATTTTTATCCTATTATCGATTATATTTTACAAATAAAGTAGGATTTAAGATCGGTCTATCACGCATTGATTAAACATCATTGCATTATTGCTTATTCATCAATGCATTTATTATCTTTGACCTTGGACTTAATTGAGCATAAACGAGAAATATATCGTTTTCCATAATAATTATTTTTAGTTTATATTGAACGTAGAAAATAAGTATATTCATAATTTTAAGTAACCTATAAAAAAGTTCGATTATATAAAAATTAATTTCGTTTGTCAAATAATGTCATAATTCTATAAAATATAAAGTCAAACATATTGTAAATATAATTCTTTAAGCTTGATTTTGATATGTTTCAAAGACATTTAGAAGTTTATACATAATATATAAATATAAATAATATAAAAATTGTGAGATAATATACATAAATTATAGAGATAATAATGAATTATAGATAATATAAAAATTATAAATAAAATACATAAATTATAAATAATTATATAGATTATCCATAATAATTACAAAAGATTTTAGTTGTATACATATTATCGAGACTTCTTTAATCTTTATTAAATTATAATATTACAAGCGAGAAATTGAGAATTTTCTATTAAACTCAATTGAATTTCATATTAAGGCTGCAACAAGTAGGAGTTTTAAACAATTAAAATATAAATTTATTTAAGATGGACGAGGATATATCAGATGGAAGAACACAAGCTGATTTTGTTCGCGAAGAATTAAATTTTGACATTGATCCTGAAGATCCTGTAACTAAGGCTTCTTTAAATGATCATCCTATAGATGAGTGGATAGACATACTTGGTAACGGTCAATTGAAGAAGAGAGTTATAAAAAAAGGTGAAAATGGAACACGACCAAATAGAGGTGATATATGTACATTAAACGTTACTGGCAAATTTGAGGATAAAGTAGTGGAAGAATATGAAAATCTTGTGATACAGTTGGGAGACATGGAAGTGATACAGGTATCATATACTATATTATTGTCAATATTTGATCAATATTTATTAATATTTGGTTTGTAATACAATACCGACATTCTACATTACAGGGATTAGACTTAGCAATTGCATTGATGGATGTAGGTGAAGTTGCTGAAATTGTAGTTGATCCTAGATTTGCTTATGGCAATCTTGGAAAAAGACCTATACCACCTGATGCTACCATTACGTACACAGTTGAATTAAAAGCATCAGAGTTTGAGCCTGACATAGAAACATTGAGCATTAGTCAAAGAAGAGAAATAAGGTAATGAATACTAATAATATTTTATAAATTATATAATAAAGATTATATATACAATATTTTTTATATACTTTCTTGGGCTCTAAATACATACAAAAAACAAGACTTAGTCTATTTAATTATATTGGCATAAAAAAAATCATTAAACTTATTTTTTTAAAGCAATAAGAAACGTGAACGTGGAAATTGGTGGTTTGTTCGAACGGAACTGTCTTTTGCAATACAATGTTATCGGAGAGCACTGGAATATCTGTCATCGACAAAAAGAAGTACAAATCATGAGGAAGCAGAATCAGTTAGTGATGCTGAATTGCAAATTTTATTAGAAGATCGCATAAAAGTTTATAACAATTTGGCAGCTGCATTAATTAAAACCGAAGCTTATGATGCAGCTCTGGAAAATGTGGAACATGTTTTAAGATGTCAACCACAAAATATGAAAGCACTATTTAGAAAAGGTAAGAAATCCTCATCTTCAATTTACTATATTTATTAATCATTTTTAAATAATTTGTACATAGTCTTGATTTATATTTCACATATAGAAAATTCAAATATGTATTGCAGGAACAATATTGAGACTTAAAGGAGAATATGCTAAAGCTTATGCAATTTTTACTGAAATGCAAAAATTAAATCCTGAAATGAAAATATGCGCCACAGAATTATTAACTTTAAAAGATAAAATTGCTAAAGATGCAAAAAAAGAAAAACATCTGTATCGTAAAATGTTAGGCGTTGAAGATATAAATTCAAAAGATGTGAAAATTTATGATGAAAATAAAAGAAAATTTGCTAAGAGAGTTTTCTGGACTCTAATTGGAGCAGCATCTGTTGCTACTATTAGCATATTTATACACAGATTTACGTGAAAAATAAAAAAATACAGATATAATAAAAAATAAATTAAACTTTTATGTTCAAAGAAACAAAATAGAGTCCATGAGCTTTAGCTGCATAGTAGCATGTATAATTAAAAAATTTTTTTTTTTTTTTTAAGAAATGGGTATGTGATGAAAAATAATAGACAAATTATGGTAATGAGAACTGTCGAACTTTTTGTTTATTTAAGAAAATAGAATAAAATTGTTCAATCTGTAATTACATTCTTCTATTTCTAAATATTTTAACTATATATACATATATATGTGTATATATACTTAATATAAGGTTAACTATTTATATACATAATATAAGGATATGTAATAAATCAATAATCACAAAAAATATTTGATCTTTTTTGGTCATTTATTAGAACAATTTACATTTAGAATGCAAAGATTTAATAATTAGGCGAGATAATTTGTGTAAGGTGCTTGTGATATACATAGTCCAAACATTTTAAACACATAACATGCATTTATATTTTATATATTACGGTTTTATAATTGATAATTAAAATTTGCAAAATGCAGTTTTTATATTTTAATATGCTTTAAGAGAAAGATCAATGATATAGTTTTATACAATTATTATTCATGTTGAAGTTGGATTAAACTCTTTTTGATTTTACACGTTCTCTATATGTGTGCAAAAACTAGTTATTTTTACTCTATATATTTTTTCAAGTAGCATATATGAAGTAGTAAAACACTAAAAAATATTCAATCTAGTTTGATTGAATAGAAGAACTATATATATAAAATTTACACCAAAATCTGACAAGAATTTAATGTTGAGGTTTTTTTATATGTTGAAAAATAAATATAAATAACTGTTCTCATATACATAAATAACCATTTAATGCACTATTATATCACTGTAAAATTAAGTAAAATATTTAATGTCACATACTTTATATATTTTTAGCTATACTTTATATATTTTTGTTCTTAGAAAATGAGAAAGGATAAATTTTACACATTTATACGCATTTTAAATTAAATTTATATATGTATATGTATAATGTAATAAGTTTTAATAATAGAAATTAAAAATTTTCTTATTTTATATAATATATATATATACATATGTAAGATACTACAACCCTTCTTATTTTATTTCAAAAATACAATTTTCACATCTTTAAAAACGGAATGTTTTTTTATCTACTTTTTATCTAATGTTAGATTAAACAAACTTATAACATAAAAAATATATTTTATAAAATTTAATAACATTCTTGACATTAACAAAAAAATATTTTTGTATTAGTATTCAATAAAATGCTATGTTGTATACTTAAAATTTGAGCAAACACAACTGTATATTTAAAGTATATGTGTATATATACATATATTATATTCACATGCAGTTTATTCCACAAATCCTTAAATATTAAGAAACGGTGGAAATTCATTTGTTAAATAACTTTCTATAGTTTCCATCTTATTATTACTGTTTATAAGCGAGAATGAACCTTCAATATTTTCTAATGATACTTCCGAATAATTTGTATTATCCTCTGATATATTTGTACAATACGTTTGATTGGCATTTAAGAGATTATTGTGAAATTCTATATCTTGATAATCTGGTAAATTCAATATTTCACTGCAATTTGTTTCAAATTGATCAGCGAGCTCATCAGTAGGTAAAAATTCCGGGTTGGCGACTTCTACAGTAAGCACTTGTCCCGTATTTACATCTACTAATGAAAGAATCTGCGGAATAGAATCGATAACAGATAAATTTGTATGTTCTAGCGACAGACTTGAGCATTCAGAATTTCCCTTGGAGTTTAACGGTGGCTGTATTTGCAGCTGCGAATCAACATTTATAACTTGTTTATCTGTATTTGTAATTGAGCTATCTGTCTCCTTGGTCTTCACAATTGCTTCGCACTCTTTTTCGATCTTCATTTTATTACAGTCTAATTTGTTTGGTTTTTCCGGCACCGGCACAAGATGACCATCTTTTGTCTTCATGAGCTTCACCACCTGTGATTTTAAAACAACAAAATTGTGTTGAATAAATATGTAGACTAACTAAAATTATTGCAGCATTATACAATTTTATTTATATTTACATTATATAATTATTATAATTGAATATTACCTTTTTCCTTTTTCCAGTGTAATCCTGTGACAGGTTTCCATATGACGAGTGAGATGATGAGAACGTTTAAATGCAGTGCTGCACTGCATGCAGATAAACGGCCGATGTTGCTCGTGTGATAATTTATGTCTCTTAAGTAAACTGTTTCTCTTAAACGCTTTACCGCACACTTCGCAGATGAATTGCCGCTCTTTACTGTGAATATAAAGTACGTGATCCTTAAGAATACTGACGCTAGTAAACGTCTTGCCGCAATGCTCGCACACGACGTTTCGCTCCTCTACGTGCAGCTGCTTATGCCTATCCAGATCTGTCTTTCTGGCACACTGAAAGGTACATCCATATATATTACACACGAATCGTTTTTCACCCTTGTGAATACGCCTGACGTGTTGATCCAGAGCTCTTTGCGTGATTAACTTTTTCAAGCAGATTGCACATGAAAATATAGCTCGTACAGGTGTGTCCCTGTTGATTTTATTTTGATGCAATGCAGATTCCAAGTGCCGGCAATAGTCATCCTTCTTGATAAATGTGTGTTTGCAATCGGCACAAAAATATGGACCTGTAATATAAAATTATTATATGATGATAAATGATGAGAGAAAACTGATCTTTTATTTTAATTAATATTAATTTTAAAAAATCAAAATTAATTTAAAAATTTTTAATCTATTTACCACTATTATTTATCGATTCCGATTTATTTAATTTTGATACATGAACTGCCTTGAAATGCTCATGCGCTTTCTTCTTCGATGCAAAACTGACATTACAATTTGAACATTTGTAATTATTGTGATTCTGAATATGGGACAAATATGTCTGCTCAATACTGAATGTTTGTAAACATTGTTGACATTTAAACTGCTTTTTTTTGCAATAATTTTCATCATGCTCTTTTTTATCTATATCTGCACTTATCATTTCTCCACATTCAGAACAGACTTTACCATTTTGATAGCTATGTTTAGCTCTATGGCGATTCAAGAGGGAACGTTTAGGAAAACTTTTGGGACACGCATCGCATAAATGAGGATGCCTGACCACTCTTTCTCTGTGAACACGAAATAAGTGAACCTCCAGATGCTTCCGTCTAGCAAATTTTTCATCGCAATGAGAGCAATTATTTTTCTGATGACCTTCTAAGTGACGATCTAAATGCCTTTTATATCTGAATGTCATTAGACACTGTTCACACTTTTGAACTTCATTTCCATTTGATGGCTCCAGAGAAAGATTATCAATTTTTATTTCTTGTTTCAATTTTGATGTGACATTTTGACTTGTACAACTGCTATCTTCATTTACATTAAGCTGTACATTTTGATTATTTTCTATGCAAAGCTTGATGGAATAATTATAATTCCCTATTATTGGCTTTCTTTCTAAGCATTGAGTTGTCAGATCTTTGTTAAATGTATAAGATTCATCCTTGTTAGTAGTTATTATTTCATCTGATTCCTTGTTTGAATTACATGAAAAGGTGTTGCAATCCAGATTCACCGTATCAAAATTTGGAATTGAGATAACATCTGATGACTTCTCCTGCTTTATCTTCTTATTCTTCAAACAACTTTCAGATTCTTCAGCATTTTGTAAGAGTAAATTTTCTATTTTCATGAAATGAAAATCAATGTTATTCAAATTAACGTCATCCAAGTTATCCTGTAAACCAATGTCCGTATTCGTAGTTGTATTAATAGATAAATTAATCCCAGATTCTTTATTCTCAAAATTACTGATGCATTTTTCCAAATAGTCATAGCTTCCTATTTCACAATTCTCCATGCATATGTTTGGTATAGCATCTAAAGTCGAATAATCCTAAAAAAAAAAAAACAGATAATATATAACATAAAAGTTGGTATAATGTATAAATTATATATATAATACATAAAACAATTGTAATATAAACTTCTACGTAAAAATAATTTTTGCAATCTTACCTGATTATCAAACAAACGAAGTGCCATTATTTCGGACTGTCAAGTTTCAACAGTTGACAAGTTTCCAAATATTCGCACAGGAATATAATTGTCGTGGTATTAAACATGACCAAAAAAAGTTACATTTTTTAATTCATTCATTTTTTCAGATAAAATTCACGAAAGCATTTGTGAAGTAATCATAATGACATCGCGTAACCTAAAAATCGCGTTGCGCAATGTTATCGAAAATACGATAATTTACTATTTTATCCACAGAAAAATGTTATGTAATAAAATTAATAACAGATGGCGCCACTTGTGTCTATCGTTCCGGGAGTGGAGATCAGTTTGAAAAATGTTTGGATCAAAAATTAAATTGTATAAATAACGAAAGATGAGATAGATCTAATTACACATTTTTATAGTTATTAAAGTTTGCTTAGAATTTAATTTTGGCACGCAGGTTCCGCGGTTTAGAGTAGAACGCGCAAAAAAAGCAGATCTTTGAACGAAAATAGGAAAGCGCGCGCTTGAATTATTTGCAGTCACCTTCAGGTCGCGGTTCGGTGAAGACGTACTATCGTAGTGCTCGCGGTTTCCTTATCATTTTTCGTTATAATTTGGAAGAGACAACGAGAATATTGCATACACAAGGTACATTACGTATTCGAGAATCTCTACAAATGTATAGGGATACGTATAACGCGATTGAAAAGAATTGCATTTGATAAAGTCCTGCATTCGGTTGCATTTCTTTCGATTTTCATCTTTTATCTTACTTTAATTTTTACAGACACACAAAAAATGAGAATAAGAAAGATATATAATTGTCATTTTCAAAATCGAAAAATGTTTTTATCCATATATATTTATGATTTTAAAGTATGTGTGTATATATATATATATATACACGGATAGCTATATATATATATTATATAGCTTTCATAAAAATTAATAATATATATATATATATATATATATATATATATTATTAATTTTTATGAAAGCTATCCGATTTTTAAAAAATATCCTGATTTATTAAAAAAAAAAAAAAATTTTCTTTGAAAAAAATTGTTTTTATTTATTTAATTTATATTTATTTTTTATTACAGTGTTGTTAGTGTTGCCTGCCTAAGTAATTGTCGTGATCTGCGCGCCATGAAGAACAACAGAAAATGGTAAGTACAAAAATACAAAAAAATATTGCAAATTTTGTATATTATTGGATTAATATTTTATGTCGATCATATAAAAATGAGCATATTCGAGGAGAAAACACTTGATAAACAGAAGGAGTGACAGAGAAATATATTCATTTTATTTCATATGCACCATCATGTATTTCACATTTAGCTATTAGAACTCTTTTTTTTTAATATTGTAATTTTGAACGATACATTTATATATACGTCATACACATAAAATTTTACGCTGGGATTAATTCTTACGACAGAGGTACTTTCGACTCAAGGCCAAGTGGCCGAATTTCCCTTAAAACCTGCGATAGCTCGTACATATGTATGTATCTATTCATTACCATATCATATTCCGTGTTTTGCGAACGTGCATCCGAACTTCCTTACAAGGCAAAGAGTCTTACAGGCTATGATATGTAATTTTTTGTGTGCAGTTCACAACATTTCAACCATTTTCCTTAGCCCGACTAATTGTAAGAGAAAAGAGATGTTCTCACAGCAGAAACAGAGATTTTCGATAAAATGTATATATAAAGTTATATAATATACCACACACAAACACACACACATACACACATAGATACACATACATACATACATACATATTTACGAAATAATATAAACCATAAGATATATAAAATATTTGCAGACGAATTGTAATATTGTTTTATGTCTAAAGAGAAGATGTATAAGCACATATATATTGCATAAATAATTATAGATTCAATATCTATTTAGAATTTTTTTTACATTTACACGGAATAATAAAAATTAAATTTGAGAAATGTTTTTATAATATTTGCCATTGATCTTATATGCATATTAAAAAGATAGATTCTCAGATGGTATTATACATAATTAGATAGAAATAAATTTGTGATTAAAAATTGTCGGAAATTTAAAATACTATATTATTAATATATTTTTTTAATTTATAGTTTGTGACGCTAAATAAAATATCATACATACATAAAAATACATATAAAATACATAAAAAATACATTAAAAAATACATAAAAATTTTAAATTAAAATAGATTATAGCAAATTTTTACAATCGATCATTGATCCACAGTTACAAATAATTTTATAATCCATAATTTAAGAGAACAATAATTTTAGAGGAAAAACGCGCGTAAAAGATAGATAAAAAATCATTATCAAGCGCTCAAATTCACATTAAAACATAATATGCGATATAATAGAACGAATATATGTGTATATGTGTGTGTGTATATGTATGTATGTATATATGCATGTATGTGTGCGTATGTTTGTATGTTGTGTATATATATATATATATATATATATATATATATATATATATATATGTATATATGTATATAGATATATATTCGAGAAAATATACGAATATTATGTAAATATATAGAGCTTATAGATATACATATGGATCAAAGATAAAAATATAATTTTAATAATTTGTATATATGTATATATATAAATATACATATATATCGTAGTTAACATTGATATTTAGAACTCTCTTAAATGCATTAGGCATTTCGCATGATATGTTTTGAGTTTCCTTACACAGGTAGGTTAACGTTTTGGGAAGTACTCGAGAACTCTAATAGAGTATTAATTGATAATATCAATCAGAGATTCTCTTCAAGGGACTCTCTTGACGATCACATAGCACCACCAGTCGCGTAAACAGCGAATATTTGTTGCGAGTTTCTTTTTCTTTTTAATAATAAAACAGAGAGATGGTACTCTAATGCATATTGGGATTAGAGCATTATTGTTGTTGTTATTTACTATTGTTGTTGTCGTATGCGAACGTGTGATTTCAAAAAACTTAACATTAACATTGTCTCTCACGATTATCCTTAAAACATCGTGCAATCGATCTTTCCAACGATTATTATTTAACATTGTACTTCTTCCGACGACGTTATAACGATTAATATTATAATGAATTTCCACAGAGTAATATTTCACATAGCCACAGACTATACATATTGTGTATTTCGTATTACGATTTCATTATTGTTAATACAGTTAATAGAGCGATTTCCACGATATTATTATGCAATAGAGCGATTTCCGCGATTAATGCTTAACAGAGCAATTTCCTCTTTTTAATAACTTTCTTTTTCTCTTAATATTCATTCGGGATTTTTTTTAAACGAACAATACACATACTTATATATTGTTTTTTTTACTAAGAGTTAACGTGTTTCTTTCTTTGTTTTATCATATATATTAATGTATATATTTATATAATCTAATACTATATATCTCTGAATATAAGCTAGCGAAGCAAAACTTCTCCCTCTTTGATATGTATCGTTTACAGTGTGTAATTAATTTTCCTATATATTTTAAAATATCTTGTTTTGCAACTCCACGACACGATTTACATTTTATGAATACATATACATACCGATAGAGAGTGTAAAGTTCTTTTTGAAGAGGAGAGTAGGAATCAAAAAAAATGTGTCCGACATAGTCGAGCAAACGTCTAAGAGTACGATTTTTAAGAATAAACTTGAAACATCAATCGAATTACAAGATACACACATTTTGCGCCTTTTTCAGCTCTTCCCCCTGTAGAAAATACTTTTCCATTGAGACTGTCCGAACGATACTTCGCGTTTCGTTCGCTAGACGATCGTTCGTGAAATAAAAAAAAACGAATACTTATATGTGCGTTTGAATAATTAACAGAACGTCCAATAGCGGATTTATAGGTAACGAGGTTTTCTTTTAAGATCTGTTAAAAAGCTTCAATTTAATTAATAGGTTTTTAAGTAACTCTGCTAATTTATGATTATTTGTGCTTTAGATATTTAAAATGATTTTTTCTCAGGAATATAATTGCAATGTGTTTTTGTAATGGAAAATATCATTTCACTAGAAATGTTGTTTCCAATTGTGCACATTTATTTTTATTTAGACCTTAAATCCGCCATTGCGGACGTGTTTCTCTCATTATATTCTGCAAAACTGCTGGCATCCGCGGATTTGTTGGGATCTTTTAATCTCCAACTAAAAATATAAATTACGATTTGCAACGCATTGATAATAGCTCTATTCTTTTTAGCCGCATTTTTACTCTTTTTGTTATTTTGTTAAATATTTATGATAATGTAATTTTATACATAAATTGATACACACAGATGTGTAAAAAATTTTGATAAAACAAATTTACAAGACGCTTCAAAATTTGAAATTGATTTTAAATTATTCATATCATTTAGCTATTTATCTTGTCTGAATTATCCGTTTTAATATATGCATTAATGTATAGAAATAGCTTTTGCATACAAAGTTGTTTTTTTTGTTATAGAGAAACTACTTTAAAGTTATATATAATGTCTATAATTGTTATACAATAATTTCCATTAATGTCTCATTTACTTTTGAAATATATTCTGAAATAAATTTTTAATTTTGCGATACATGTCATATAACTAATATGAACGTATTAAAAAATACAGTTAAAAAGTACAGACTTGTTTGCGTTGCATCGTATAATTTGAATGATATTATCGTTCGCAATATCGACATTGAAATTTCTCGTATAATTGAGAAAATTTTCTTTCGCGATACAACAACATCGTTGTATCAACAGTCGTTGAAGATAATAAATTTCTCGAAACATAACAACCTTCATCGATTGATATTCTATAAAGAATATGGTAGATTAAACAGAATAAAATTATCAATGTTGACACTGCGACGATATTAAGGACTCTTATTCTTCACTTCTTCGTTTGTGCACGCCTCGCCATCTTATTCTCGTTTATTATACTTATCTCTATAACCACGTATGATTTATATCACGAACAATTAAGTGTGATCCACTAATCTCTTGCTACAATACAATCCGGAAGAAAAGCTCAACCGGTAGACCGGTATAGATGAGCTTTTCTCCAACGTTCTGTATATATTTTACCCCCTAAATCATTAAGAAACATCTTCGTCGTACGGCGCTTTTTATTCATCAGCGCGGTTCTTTCTTAACACAACTATTCTAGCGTGTCTCTTATTCTTAGAGAGACCTACGAGACAGGTTAGATATATATGATATGTGTTATAGGTGTTTTCAGTCGCGCTATGTACTCGAAGAGGAAACAACCTCGAAGTAACATCTTTCCGAATAACATTTAGTTTCATTTTTTACCGTATGATTTTCTTATATTTCTATCGTCTATACTTCCCGATGTATCGTTGACGTGGAGGAGATAGTCGGGACTATAGGAAGGAAATCGAGACAATGTCGAATCGACAAACTTAGACCTTCACAACGACTAAAGGATTTGATTTCTTTTTTCTTTTTTTGGTAGCTTATCTTATTTTTATATACCTCACCTCCGTCGCGTGTTGCCCAGGTACGACGAACGGGTTTAGGCGAACGGCATCCGCTTGAACAGACGTTGGCCCTGTCCGGTGATCCGTTTCTCGCCGGAGGTGTACTGGATCACGGATTTTATCTGATCCGTCGCCACCGGACCGATGCAGACCAGAGGGTCTTTGAAGTATGAGCAAACCTGCGGAAATATTTTTAAGAGAGAATTTTATTAAACGGAGATTATATATTATTGGAAATGATAATGTCGATTTTTATTTTATTTAAATTTTATTTTCATAAGTTTTAATATTATGAATCGATGTAATAAAATATTCATTTTATTTTACATATATACACAAAGAAAATCAGGGATGAATAGAAATTAAATTTTTAAAAGATAACGATTTGGAAAGCTCCTCTATTAAAAAGATTGAACTTTTTAGATAATTTAAAAAAATTCTAGATATGTTTTACAATTCAAACAATAGATTAGTGTATTACCTTTCTAGGAGTTTGCCGATGTCGCCTTTGTAGTTGACAGCATAGTCCACGACTGATGTCACACTCACTTGACATAGTGCACTCTTCATCTGTAAAAAAATATGTATCATTTATGGATGAAATTGATTTATTTGCGCAGAATTTTGCGCAGAAATTTATATATACATATATATTTTTATATTTTTCAAAGATAAAATGTGCTTGTTAACGCACTGTATAACTTGTTCGAAGTAGTTGGCGGTTGACACGATTTTGTTTCTCGTCCAGACATCTCGGAGCACATTAAGCCGGTTTCGCAATCACTATCTTGCCTGCAAAGCTCGCCTTGTTTCAAGCCGAAATCGGAAACGCATGTTCCAATAACTAAAACATCATACTTGCGATTATCTTTTTATCGATAATACGGAATATGAAATGAGAAATATGTGTCTCTATTATTTTTAATTATTCTAGAAAATCTAATTAATTTTTTACAAATTATTAGAAAGTTTTATTAAGCGTGCTTTTTATTTACCTCCATTAAAATTCATGCAAATGGAACCTGGGCAACAATGATCATTGTACACGCATTTCCTTTCATAGCAAGGTTCTTCCGTAGGTTCGCCTCCTTCTCCGTATATACCATTATATCCCTCCTGAGATAAAAGAAAGAGCTTTATTTAAAATAGATTTTTTTATCATTTTCTAAATATATTATTTAGAATCATACGAGAAATATACAAGACCAAATATTATCGCATTTTTTACAAAATAATTTATTATTCTTTATTATTAATTTTTAATATACATTTTTATTATAATATATATTTACTATTTATTATAAGCAAAGTGATAAAAAATTTATTCCATCTTGTTTTAATGCCTAAATGTTTTAGAAATTTAGATGAAAGAAAACTTTATTACTTTAATTTTATATTTATCGAAAATTTCATAAATTACAATCAATTAAAATTAAATTCGGATTTGTAGTAAAAGATTTTATATGCTAGCTCCAACTGTTACATCGTAATCTGTGATGAATAGTAGCTTTTCTTCGTTAATGCCTCATCGATTTTCAACTTATCGCACTTACTCAATATTCGTAGTTTTAATCTTAATCAATCTTTATCGCGTGATGTGTATTTTTTTCTCACAGAGAAGTCAAAGTGATAAATGCACTCATTTACGGATCATTAACATAAACTAGTCCGATTACACTTTGCACATTGTTTAAATAATTACACATTGATAGAAAATAATTATACATAAATTTCTTTCATGTTTATTAATAAAAGGAATCTCGTTAGCACGGGCTCGCTAATTATTCATGCGATGAAGGAGATTATCTTATGTAAATAAGTAAAGATATAAATCAAGAAAAAAGTGCGGATATTATCGGTCTTTTGAATAAAACCAAGGTACTATAATTTTATTTATTTATTTTAGTGTTGAAACGCAGTAAAAAGTTTTTACAGTAGCAGCAATTTCGCGCTGCGGGGGTAATTCTGCTCAATCTCCGAATCGCAATCTCGAGATTAATTTACAGGCAAAGAAATATATGGGAAATAAACGGTGCAACCAGGAGAGTTCTTCTCGCAACTTTATATAAGTGCAAGTGCACGCGGATAGAAAATGTAGTATCGATCGTGCGTGACCTGTACTGCGGTACGATGTTGCTAATTAAATCAAATAATAGAAAGTACAAATTACGTCTAAAAAAAATTAAAAAGGGTCTGGAAAGTTTTCTAGATTTTATCTCTGACATTTAAAATATGTCTGAAGTTAATATGTTCTTTAGAAACATATAGTTTAAAAGTCAGAGATAAAAATCCCTAAATTTTTTTATTTTTCCTTTTATTGTCTGCTTTTTAGCAAATCTGAGATCCGGATCTTTATCTTTGACATTTAAACTTTACAGATAAAAATTCAAAAGATTCTTTCTAACTCTCCGAATATTTTTCAAATGCAATTTAAACGTTGAAAGTAAAAATAAAAATTTATATGACTTTTTAGATTCTATTTTGAGGAAAAATGCGGTTTCAAAAAGAACGCTTGAAAAATGTTACGGAACATATTTTACGCGCGTGTAAAAACAAAGTACGGAAATCACGCGGGGCAAATTTTTACAAGAAAGATACGCTTTTCTAGATACCTGTAATAGCCCAGGACGATTTATGTAGCCTCCGTGACTACCATAGCCGAGGTTAGATAGCATCTCAGGACTAAAGCGGTTGAAGAGGCCACCCCATGCCTCGACACCGATGTAAGCGGTGTTTGCTACAAGCACTAGCGTTATCGCCGCACATACCTTCATATTGTTGAAGATGTACTAATCTCCGGGCACTCTGTAATCATTCGAGGGAGAAAGGGTTGCTCATTACAATTTCTATTTAAATATATTATAAGGATTTTTTGCGCGAGATATAACTACATGTTATTAACAAATGAATCTTAGTTTATTACACATTTTTGTGCAAATACTTTATTATGTCTATAATTATTCCAAAATGATCGAACGAGGACTTAATCTCTCTCTGTCTGCAATTTATTAAATTATATTTTTAACGATGCAAGTATATATTGTTTTTAGTACAAGCGTGATTTTATTTTTAATTCATAAAATTTTATATAAGAAATAATTTTATCATTTTTACATGTCTTTTGCCTGTTTGAAAATATTTAATAGTATATATATATATATATATATATATATATATATATAATATTAAAATTTTTTACATGATTGCATTTGCGGCGCAGCTCGCGAGGATTCATTAATTAAGATTGAAAACAGAATATCTGAATTGCAAAACAGATTTAGAAAAAAAGAAATTGTTATTATTTAAATTGCAACAAAGTTTGCGCGATTATCTCTTCTTCGTGCTTCCCATGAACATACAGTTTATCCCTGAATATTTTTGCTGTAAGCAGTGATCCATAAGATGCGACTAGCCGTTAGCATCGCACCCCTTTTTACACGTTGCTTCATCAATATCAGATGTCGATGATGCAACGCTTTTACTATCTTCTCGACATTGCTTATAAACGGTTTCATAACACAAAAGCGATAAGAGCATTCTTTATGCAATTTATCAACGTCATTATTACTTGAATTAATTTCCTAAGATTACTATTTAGCAAGAAATATCGCGGCTCGGATTGTACGTAATTATTCTGCGCTCTGCAATGTTTGAGTAATTAGCATTTGAATACGAGAGCAATCGATTGCACTTGTTTAATATACATAAGTATTCAAAGTGATATAATCGTGATATAATATTATATAGTATGTTAATTAAATTAAATATTATTTTTATAGTAGATTATTATGGTATTATACTAAATATTATATCGCGTAAAGCGGAAAATTAAATGCTGTGATATTAAATTGCTTGTATAAGATTGAAAAGTATAAAAATTCCTTTTATAGTTTGATCAAGGACTAATTATAATTAATGGCAGTGTACAATATAAGTCATGTTGTCGATACCAGCAATATAATTTCGAGTATACGATCGATAATTCTCTTTCTCCGAACTTACCTCTTTTTCATTTACAAATGAAATTTCTTTATAACATTTAATGCGTGTCATTAAATTTAGATGGGACATAATGGATAGACATTATAGATAGAACAGTTAATCAGTGAAATGAATATGTGAATCAATGAATATAAATTCTATTTAATTTAATCTGCAAATTCCAAATTTTTCAATAGATTAAATTATCTTTTTTGTCAAACTAATTGGGCCGCATATATACCATATATATGTATATATATATCCAACAATTTTCAAACTCTATTTCAGCTTTAACTCTATAAGACAATTAATTCAACCCCATTTTTATTACATCTTGCCATTATGATAAGCGAGTATGCTTTATTCAGGAAAGATGTCGAGGACGTATCAACGTCAAGGACAAGTTTGAAGGATCGCGATGTCGGGAGAACACTATGGCGAAACACTTAACGTCTACCAGCATCGTGACACTCTAAAACGTCCAAAGCACTCTTTCTACTATTGAATTTAAGTTGAATGGCTCACTTACAACACGTTCTCGCGCCCTGATTCACCTCTGGATGAACGCCTTTGCACCTCGGCCGGGGGCAGGATCGGCTACCACTCGATAGGATAGGTTTCGCACAGGATCAACAAGTCCTCGGTGGAGTTTGCTGGAGGACTGAGTCCGTGCCGCGCTCGCTTCGGCAATCTATACTTCTACGTCGTTCCGGTTGCCGTCACACGGGCGCATATACACGGTGGCGCATGCGCAACCCTCCGCCGGCCCGCGTCTTCTTCCTCTCTTTTTTTTCGCGCCACCCGATCACGACCTACGTGACATTTTGTTCATTCAGATCTTCGGCTTCCTATCTATCGAGCGGCTTGAGATAGCAGGCTGAAGAAGAGTACTCGAACGGTCCAATCCCGATCACTCGAAGCTGCTCGTACTGACAAATGCTGCACGACACGCTGACAATGCTACGTTTGAGATAATTGAGTCGTTGGTCCATTGGAAATAAAATTTCTCTCGGTATTTGAATTAAAATCTAATTATCTTTTTTCACTGTATAATATCTTTGTTGTTGTTGTTTCTACAAGGAATAACTCCAAGCTTTATATAAAAAAAATCACTTGCAAATGCAATTTTCCTCAACCTACACTATGTATACAATGGAATCGTCTTTTTCTCTTAGATCCATAACATCCACTATTTTGCCGGTAAACACATTTAGGAAGCGCAATATTCTGTAACATCCGCGAAGAAATGAACATTCTGATCTGCGAAAGGTCAGGGATATAATGGAGATAAGCTCCTCGTGTCTCGCACTTTATTTTGAGGAGATACTTTTTGTGACAGTTTGTTTTTAACTCTTCATTATATAAAAGAGAGAGATTAAATCGTCATGACATTATCTTAGGATGCGTTTCTCGATGATCGTGAGAAAAGTATTGTACTTTCGCACCTCGAGACCTCAACATTTTCACCTTCATCGGGCTTACCTTCGCCCGCTTCAGGTCGCTCCTTTCGCCACCGGCGTAGTTTCGTTCTCACTTGGCCGTATTGATCCAAGGTATCCTGATGTGACCGCCGGGCGGCTCGCTTCTGCTCCATATACCTGCTCGCGAACCCCCGCGTACTTTCTCACATACACTGAATAGTGACGAAGCAAAAACGACCGCGATATGCTGCCTGCCGTTGTTCAGCCTTTTCCAGTCTGAACCGCTGGTTTATTGATAGAAAGATTTGAATTTTTCATGAGAAATGTTATACGAGAGACTGCAGACGGTTCGAGATTTTTTTTTCGAAAGATTTAGGAGTGATTTAAATCTGAAAAATTATTTTCAAATTTATTCAAGCCCGATAAAAATAGTGATATAATTTTTTTTTTCGTATTAAGATAATTATTTGATTGTGTTATTGAGTTTTTTATAGACTTGCAATGATACTCTTGATTTATCTCTAAACAGAGACTTAATTAAAAATTATAATTATAATAATTTAAAATTATATAATATTTTTCTGTACACGGAGAGAATTTTCTCTTAGAATTTATCCTGAAAATCATGGTACTTGTGGGACAATATTGGAAGAATTTTATAAGAATTTCTCGGATTACTATTTACCACAATTTTTTACTATGTACATAAAATTAATCGAATATTTTATATTTTATTGGTAGACACATTAATATTATTTATTGTGATGTAAATATTAATCAGAGAAACTCTTATAAAACTCTTCCAATACCAATAATTGTGCATGCAATATATACCTTTTAAGTTACATATTGTCTTTAATAATTGTAAAATAATTATAAAAAAATATAAATTATTATTAAAAAATATATTTTGATATATGCTCTAATGTTCATGTAACTTTTCTTCCATTTATAGATTATTAGATCAATTTGATTTGATCATCATTTGCCGGGAGATTTATTTTATATAATCTTGCATAGCGAAGTTTTCAAACCTTCAGCTTTAATATTGTTTTGCAATTCTGTTGTTCTGATAATTAACCTTGAAATCTAATTACAGCATATTATTCTTCTCTTTTTCAGAAAAGGGCATTCAGCGGATATTTTCGCGGAGGAGGAAATCGAGACAGCAGACGCTTTCGCAGCGGCACGTCGCAGCAAACTGCGTTTAACGTCCGTCTACGATGCAACCACCTGTGCGACGAAATGCCAGGAGTGCACAGGTGAGTACAAGTATATACAATATATATATATATACATGCATCTTCGAGTCGCGCCATACACACACATGTATACACGCGCCATTAAATTGCCACGCTTGTTTCCGCACCAACGTTTCGCGGCATATTGCTTCGGAAACGTTACTTTGGCCTTGCGTGTCGCACGCGCAACTAATAGGTCCCAAACTTCCGCGAAACTTCGTCCATTACGACAGAGTAAGCATCGTATTATAAGACGCAATAGTGCGCGTGTAAACTAATCAGGGTGATGTATAGGTTTGAGGTGATCCTCCTATTACTTTACGTAAATTTGTCAGGTCTATCACGCCATTTAATGGTGTGTCTGACCTAAGCCGGTGTTTTTCTACTGGACGAAACTATAGCGTAGTCGTTTACGCATACGTGGACATTTACAAAGAGTTAAAGTTTCACCTAAAATAGCAATGACAAACTAATTCGGTTATTTCAAATTTTACTTTTTATTTAAATTTTTTATTTTCATTTATTAAATAATTTTTTGATAAGAAATTTTTAGTAATTTCTGGATAAATTGTTATTTTATTTATATGTGCTAAAAATAAATTTATTTCTTCTTGATCCAGTTTTATCAACTTGTGATCTCATTCAATTATTTAAATGATGTATACTCTATCTCTATATGATCTTTTTTTAATGCAACGATGCGTAATAAACAAATGCATTTTATTTTTTATAAATGTAAATATGCGTCATTCGTTGTAATATTTGTTGCGTCATTCATTGGAATATTGATAACTTTTTATTTTGGGATACTCGAATGTAGGTTTTGAATTAACTTTATGAATATTTTTAACAGAATTAACATTCAAAGAGATTTCATTACAAGATACATATGACATTTCGTTCCATCACGCTATCACAACGTTATACTAGAATGTTATATAATCTTTTCATTTATCATATAAATATATGATTAAAGTAATGTGTAAATTTATTTTAAATTAAAAAAAATTTCTAGTTTTTCTCATACAAAACAAACATTACAAAATGCCCTAAAAATAAATCTTTCGTGATTTACGTGTAGTTGAAGATTTTAATCAGCGCTGCAACCTTTTCAAATCAAGCGATAAGAAAAGTTCTGGGAAATACCGGAAACAGTATTGTCACCAGAAGTGACATTATTATCGCGATGACGTTGTTCGTATATAATGATGAGGAGGATATTAAAAGTTCGATCGATTTGAAAAGTATTTGCCGCTATTTTTAATAGTATTGTAGAATCACCTTTCTTGAAAAGGATTGTGACGTACGATATACGCATGGCATGTGATATCAAAATATCTCCTTTCATCAACGATGCCTTTTATTTCCGTATACGGAGTGTTATTGATGGTGAATAAAACAACCATATATGTTGTTATCGTATAAAAATGTATTTAATAAATAACATCTAACAACGAAATAAATAAGGCTTGGAGCTCATCTTTATGTACTTATGTACGTATCGCAGAGCCGGCCTACGCGAATATTTATGGAACAAATGTGCTTCTCCAACAGAGACAAAGATATAAAATCTGCTGGGAAATATATATAGGGCTTGACATTTATTTGTGTGTCGTGCAAAGTAATTTAATGAAATTTGCATGCGTGATAATGAGATTTTTTGAAATCAATTTACTAAGATCGATTTTTTCTTACACACTGAAAAAAAAATTATTAACCTAATAAATATTTATTTCAATACTGCCTAATAAATCATTTATTTGAAACAAATAAATATTTATCTGTTTAGAAAAGGATTTTCTTATATTAAATATTTTTCACATCAGATCAATCATATTATTAGTTTCAAATAAATGATTTATTAGGCAGTAGTGACATAAATATGCGTATTTGAATTCAATAAATGTTGTTTTCAGTGTAATCAAACTGCTGCGCGTTCAAGATTAAATAATATCTATAAGTTTGGAATTATTTAACGAAAATATAAATTTTCCTTTTCATGAGGACTATTTCTGTTGAGAAAAAAATAACTGTTCCGAATCAGCTAAAGAAGCTACTTAGAGAATGACGCGAATCGTCAATTATTTGCATTCGTTTCTTCGATTGAAAGAAGGAATGCTAAATAAATGTATAATGTTATCGTGCCGAGAGTAATAACGGTTCAGGGCTGCCGGTTGGACATCTGAATTCTGCCGCAAAGCCGACTCTGCGAATACTCCGTGTGACACATAAGGACGAGTTTAAACATTGATGCGCATAAATGCAACGTCGGGCACGCTGATCGTGCGCCGAGAAGCAGCGTCTCGCCGCGGACAATTTTACACAGAATGCCATCTTGAAATTCAAATAATTCGAGAGTTGTGATTTATTTTCCCTTCTCTCTCCCGCTCTCGCGCCGCTTGCATAAAATGATGAATATCTTGCCCGATGTAAAACAAAACTTATACAAGTGTATTACTTCCGTCGCGCTAATGGAAAAAATATATAATAAATGCGTCGAGAGAAGAGACTTTTCTCGTTATTATGCAAATCTCGAGATAGAATTCCGATATTTCAAGTCCGCGGTTACTGTTCCGCGGATTATGTTACTTAATTGAGCTTCGTACGCTCTATCCCGAGGTGAAATAAATTAGGCTTCCTTTGTACATTTATACAGAATGGCATCGGGTGCCGCTCATACACGTAATCACACGAGGACGTGATGATAATGGTCGGGTTTCCTCAGACTCCGGTAATGCTGTGCAGCCAGGGCTTGAAGTAGGTCGTCCTCATGTACACACCCGGTAGATACGGAGACGCGCATTTTATACCGTGAGAAACGGTCCCAACCAGAAACCATCTGCCGTCCGGTCGTTCCATCACCAGCGGACCGCCGCTGTCACCCTGAGCAAAATCATTAACCGCTATCTATATTGTTGTTTGCCCGACAACCTATTGTCGACATTAATTCCGCAGGATAATTATTGTAGTTGATAGCAAGCTGAAGGAATAATAATTAATCGTCGAAATATTAAAGGGTGCACTTCACGGAAAAATAACAAATCCAGACATAAATAAAAAAAAAAATAAAATAAAAATAAATCAAGATTAACATAATTAAAGCAACCTATTGTCGACCTTAATTTTGTAGGACGAAAGATAATTATTGTAGTTGACAGCGAGTTGAAGGAATAATAATTAATCGTTAAGATATAAAAGGGTGCACTTGACGGAAAAATAACAAATGCAGACATAAATAATCATAAAAATAAATGAAGGTTAAAATAATTAAAGCAACCTATTGTCGGCATTAATTTTGCAGGACGAAAGATAATTATTCTGGTTGACAGCAAGCTGAAGGAATAATAATTAATCGTCGAGATATTAAAGGGTGCACTTGACGGAAAATAAAAAATCCAGACATAAATAATAATAAAAATAAATGAAGGTTAAAATAATTAAAGCGATTAAGTAAGAATATTGTGACACGGAATTTTCATAATCGAGCGAATAAACGTGTTATTTAGAATGGGATAAAAAGGAGTAGCGGTGATAGAAGCTTTAATGTTTGACGTTTCCCTCTATAAATAAAAAGTAAAATCTTCAATTCTACGTAATCTAGTAAAAGACTAGAGCATAAATGAAATTACTGTTACGCGGACTACATGCAATCGTGTTATTTGCCGCAAGATCAAAGGGGCACCTGCCGATATCTAGAGAATGGTATTAATTAATTTAATAGAGAGTACGTAGATAAATCCCGCAATAAGATTACCTCGCAGGAATCCTTCTGGCCGTTCGCGTATCCTGCACAGAGGAAGCTCTCCAAGATCAATTTCGAGTGTCCACCCGTTTGGAACATCTCCTGGCAAACCGCGTTCTCCATTATAGGCACCTGGACCTCTTGCAGCACCGACGGAACGCCACCATCTGTCGAAACGTAACCGATACCGTTATAGTGTAAGATCTCGACAGCGACTTGAGACGCGAGAGAGAGAGGAAAGTCGTGAGGCAGAATCGCGAGCAGAATTCGGACGCGTAGGAGGCCACGCGAGAGTCATCGTGAAAGTTGTTTTACTCCGCTCTCGTCACGGTAACCTGTTCCATTTTGTACTTTCTAGTCTTGCGGGAAATTTGCCACATGACTAGCGTACACGATATACACACCCACGTGCGAGTTGGTGTAGCCGCGATTTATATAAATCGGGCGAGGAAGAATCGATATACTCACTGTATTTAAGACGGCCCCAGCCCGTGACAGTCGCCATCCGTCCGGTAAAGTCGATCCCGTCGTTGGGCATGCAAATTGGCACGATGTGCTCATCGAATTGCACCGGCGACTCCAGCTCGAGAAGCGCCAGGTCATTCTCGAACGTCGCAGGATCGTAACCGCGATTCACGATGACGCGGCGAACATTCTTCGTTACGCTGCGCTTCGACTCCAACTCGCCCGAAATGTCAAACTCGCCGAATACCGCGACTAGGGAAGCCAGGAAGCTGCGATGTAACAAAAGAGATATAATATATGTGACGTTTTAATCTTCTTTTTTCTTAGCTCATTATATGCAAATTTTCTCCTGTGAGAATTATTTTAATCTAATACTATTTTTTTAAATAAATCTAAACACTCATTTAATCATTCTATAAAAGGAAAATAATTTACATATATATATATATATATATATATATATATCTGTTTATATATTATAATTAATTATTATAAATATATTAATTAAATTGGATATACAATAAGGGCCAAAAATTATTATAATCACTGAAAAAATTGTTAGTTTGACTAAATCGTTCAATTAAATGATTTTATTAATTGAACATATAGAAATATTTAAATTAAATACAACATATTAAATCTAATAAATACTAATATATGTTCAATTAACAAAATAGTAATTTAGTTGAACGATTTAATCAAGTTTACAATTTTTGGAATTGTATAAGTATAAAGGATTAATGCGGCATATTTCTAAATAAATAAAAATATATTTGTCTTGCTTTCTCGAATTTCCGGTGCAGCTTTGCACGACTTACCCTGGTTGACAATGAGCTGCTGTAATCACATATTTGTCAGTGATAAGAACACCCCCGCACTTGTTTTTCGTGAACAAACCGAGCCAGGTCGCTTCGCGAACCAACACCTGCCAGGGCCATTCTCCAAATTGCGCGCCCTTTCCGCCGACTATCTTTCCCGCTCTGGAAACCAGAGGCCTCAAGCCACATCCTGTCAATGTGTCAAATCATTACTATAATAAATAACAAAATTTCGCGCATGAAATTTTTGAAAGAAATTCAAACGACAGAATCATAAGATTTAATAGACAGGGTGTCTAGCGATCAGGGAAATCTGGAAAATTGGGTATTGTCAGGGAATTTTATAAATCTTGAATTGTCAGGGAAAGAGAAATTTTATTATTTACCTGGATTTTTTCATATTATTCTACATTTGTCTCAATTATTCGAAATTTTTTATTAAATAAATATAAACTTTTCCTTGACTCCCAGCACGCTAATTTTCTGTGTTGTTAAAAGTCGATTCATTTACAGCGTGTTCGTTAATTTATATTTTCATCGTCGTGTTATTTTATTTCAATGCGTTTAATAGAGACGAAACTAAAAAATTTGATATAATATAAATAAAAAGGGTGATTATTTAAATAGTTTTTAGTAACATGTTTGTTTCGATTATCGTACATAATGCAGATTGTATAATTGATTAAACTTTTTTGTTTTTTTTACTTCCGAACCTTTTTTTTGTTGAAAAAAATATCTCAAAGGTTTCATGATTTAACATTTAATTAATTTATCATATAGATATATGCAAACGATATATTTGGAAAAAATAATACTACAAAATCAGGGAATTTTTTTCATTGAGTCTGTTGGACACCCTGTAGATTAGCAAATATTTTTTTATCGCAGAAATTTGTACAGATACTTTAGAACTTGCTCACTTACGAGTCCGAAATTCCGGTTGGTTCGTGTCGCTGCTCTCGGTCGTGTTCGATAAGGTGAGACTTTGTTCTTCCGGTGGAATCGTCTCCGTGCTGCTGGACGGGATAGTCGTGGGTTTTCTGGTCGGTCTCGGGCGCTTCGTCGTTACCTGAGGTTTCTTGGTCGTAACATTCTGCGAAGTAGTTGGTTTGGATGGTCTCGAGGTGGTCGTTTTGGGACGCGTCGGCTTCTCGGATGACGTCGGTTTCTGAGTGGTACGAGTCGGCCTCTTCGTGGTCGCGGCTGGCTTCTTCGTCGGCCCCGTTGTCGCTGACAAGGACGTCGGTTTGGTCGTGGGTTTTCGCGTGGGTTTCCTTGTCGTGACGCTTCCGTTAACCGGTCTTTTTGTCACGCTAGAAGTAGAAGGCGCTACTGAGGCTGCCGTGGTACCATTTCCACTGTAGACCACCTCTTTTAAGTTCTAAAAAATAATTGGAAAAAAATTACACACAAGAACTCTGATATCTCCCTATATTGTCGGAAATAAAATATTCATTTATATATTTTTTTTTGCATCGTTACTTCATATGTTATTCGTTTTAAATATTATATAATATTTTGTATCGTATTTTTTTTACATTAATACATTTTTTACATTAAATTACAATTATTTATTTACTTATAAATGGAAAACACGAATATCAAGAATTCAAAATTCAAGGATTATTGCGCATTATACGAAAATATTCCAAAAATGTTCCAAAAATTCAAAGAGCGTAAAAATGTACAAGTAGTAACAACAAATAATTATAATTAAATATTATATAAAATATTAAATTATATATATAATTAAATTAAATAAATAGAAACTTTGAACGTTACAAATAAATGGTAAAACTTTTATATGAATTGTAAATTCCATTACATTGATCAAACGCGAGAAAGATAGAGAAAATCCTCAAAGCTTGGATCGAAAGTTAAATTGTCGTATAAAACCCGGAGCGATCCGGAACTTGGTCAAACAGCGAGTAAAACTCTCGCTGGTTAAACGAGTTATCTCTCGTCGTTACCTGGAAGTTTCCCTGCAGCGACTCAACGAGCTTGTTGACGAAAGCATCCACTTTATCCGTCAGAACGGCGTCCTCGAGGAACGTGGGCGTCGGGATATCGTTCTCGCTGATCAGCTCGATCTCCGGATACCTCGTCTTGTTATAAATCTCGACGATCGTCGGCTTCTCCTGCTGCGAGATTGGCGCGGAGATGTTCAGATTCGGGTTCCGCACCGGCGGGAAATTGATGAGGTCGTCCGGAGCCGCGGTTTCGTCCTCGCACGGCACAGTCGTCGTGGTACCCTTGATGTACTCCTCGTTATTCGTCGTGTCCTTGAATATCAGGGTACTAACCGGAGTGAGATTCTCGACCGACCAGCTGAAACTCGGAGTGGACGGTTTCAGGTTGAACACCGGTTTGTTCGACCACGAGGACACGGTGGTCCAGATCACCGGCTTCTTCGTGCTCGGCCGCTGCTTTGTCACCCCAGGTTTTGTCACGAAATTCCCCGCCTCGGTGTTGACGTCGACCGTCGGCCTCGCGCTGGTCCCGTCCTTCAGGTTCACGCTGATGTAGCTGGTGGACACGACGTTGTTCGCGGCGGCGTTCGAGATCACGGTGTTGATGTTATGGGTGATGGTCGTGGACACGGTGGGCTTCTTCGTGTTGATCAACGTAGGTCTGAGAGGCGTGGTCTTGATCGGAGTCGAAATTGGTTGGACGGTCGCGCCGGTGGGTTTCCTCGTAATGGGTTTCTGGGTGGTTTTCGTGCTGAATTCCGTGCCGAGTGGGCCGAGAACTATCACCGTCGGCGCCGGAGGGTTCGTCGTAGGCCTACTTCCGGCGAAGCTGCTGGAAGCGCCAGGATAGGTTGTCTGCGCAGCCGGACGCGAGACGTACGAGCTACCGGAAGTCGAATATTGCGACGGGTAGGTCGTTTCCGTGGGAACGAGTTCGTAGTTGTAGTACGTCGAGGACAGCTTGGAGGGCTGAAGAGAGCTGGGTTTGTAGTAGACATACGGGAAGGTCGAGGGCGCGAGAGTGGTAGGTCGATAGTTCGAAGAGCTGACCTTCACGTGATGGAAGGGTTTCGATGTCTCGTCGATGCTCACCCAGGCCTGAACCGGCGAGGAACTCGCGGGAACCGTCACGGATACGTCGGATTTCGGCGTGGTGTCGTTCAGAATGGAGATTATATGATTGATGGCGATCTCCTCCTTGTCGAGAACATCGTCCTTCTTTTTATTACCCGACGGCAGGTCGTATATAATCGTTGGTACCTTCACCAGCTCCTCCTTTATCCCGGATACGCTCATCGGAGTAGTGGCTTCGAGCGTCGTCGCCTCTTTCGTCGACATCTTCTTTTCAACCGTGCTCGCCTTCTCGAAGGTGTTCTCCAAGGTCAGTTGCGTGGTAAGTGTGTCGCTCGTGGGTTTCTGCGGCGCCTTCGTTATCAGGGACGCCGTCGACTTCGGCAGCTGCGACGTGGACGTGAACTCCAGCGTGGAAGAGGCAGGCCGCTGCTCCGGAAACTTGATCCAGATATCCGACGTACTTTCACTCTGCGTGATCCTTTCGTCAATCGACGTTTCGGTGGACGGTCGGAAGATCTCGTCCGGGTTATGGGTCTCCACCAGCATCGTGCCGTTCTCATTCAACAGTATCGTCTCCGGGTCGGAGATACTATGATTGTGATCACCCAATCCCTGAGAGAACAACGACGGGAGCTGATCGACCGGGTCCGCTATCTGTAGGATCTGATCCGGGCTCAACAACGTGGTGACCGGATTCACCGCCGAGGGATCCTGGTGATCCTGGATATCGTTGTTGGAATCCGAATGTGTCAGCAGTCCCGGCAGCCTCAAGTCATCAATGATGCCTTGCTGACCCAGAAGAGCCGGGAACTTGTCCGCCAAGTGACTGACGTCCGCTTGCTGGACCACCTGCGTCTTTTCGGCGTTGTTCTCCGTCCCGGGCAACGACGAGGTCGACGAGGAGCCCTGGTTCGAGCTGGAAATTTTCGTGTACGTGGTCTCGCCGCCGATCGGTCGGTCCTCGGTCCTCGTAGGCTCGTTGCTGGGGACAGACATGCCGAGCGGCGTGCCGTCTGGGTTCAGCAAGATCGGTATGTCGGGCACGTGATCGAGCTGGTGAAGCTGAAGAAGCCCCTCGGCGCCGGACGGCTGGTCCCCGTTCTCGATTATCGCGCTCTTCGGTGGCAGTTGACAGCACGCGCCGAAGAGGAAGCCGTCCATGCAGGCGCCGACGACCTCGCCCTTGCGCCGGGTGCATTCGTAATTGAACATGCATATCGGCGGCTCGCTCGATTTCATGCGCGACGGCAAGGACGGCCGGCACGTCTTCGGGACTATCGTATAGCCGCCAAACAGCTTCCTGCCTAGAAAATCATTCGAGCGAAAGGTCAATTTCGTAGAACAATTCTTTTTACCATTCTTATTTCAATATTTATATTTTAATTAGAAGGGCGGGAAATTATATATATTAGGTGCATCGAGCTTGTTAGAAAATAATGTTCTATTTAAATTAGTCTCAATTTAAATACTTTATACATATAAAATATAATCTATGCTGAAAAAAAGTTTATTGAATTTGAATAAATATTTATTTCAATATTGCTTAATAAATCATTTACGTATATTAGAAATATGAATAAAATAATGATTTTATGTGAAAAATATTTATTTATTTATGATGTGTAAGGAAATCCTTTTTAAAACAGGTAAATATTTATTTGTTAATCTAATAATTTTTTTCAGTATACAAATAAAATACTTTTCTATAGATTTATATATTCTCAGTTTAAAAAGAGAAGTAGTTTATAACAAAATCGTTGCGTCTTAGCTTTTATTAGCCTTTATTTATCTTGAATTTATAATTTAATTGTGGGACAATTCTTTTTTATTTCCATAATTAGCAAAAACGAGAGAAAATTATGTAAAAAAAACGCTTGAAAATTTTGAATTCTAAATCTGAGGAAAGGTTAAAATTCACCGAGTATTAGAAGTTTACGCGATTCTATAAAAATGCGTCCATTTTTTTATTACGCATAATATTAGAAAATGTTTACAATTCTTTACAAGCAGCGATAAAAAGAGCCATAGAAAAATGAATAATTATTATTCTACGGACACATAAGCATATCGTATGATTCCTGAAGATCGCTCCGTTTGGTATTTGGGTTGATCGAAAAGCATCGCGTTCACGTTCGAACGCTGCCCTAATTTCAGCCTACCCTCGAAGAGAAATCGAATAATATCGTATCGAGGATTTATCGATCGCGATATACGTATCCGTGTAGCGAATGAGAAGTGAAACACCAGTTTTCGCGTCGGCCAAAAATATATACGCGGAAGCGTGCCGTTTATCTTGACGAGCGAAGCGAGAACCGTACAAACAGAGTTTCCTAGTAGACACTCGCCGATTTGTTTGCAGAGAGAATAGAAAGAGAGGAAGCTCGTTCCTCTTCGACAAATTATGTCTTTACAGCGTCTTCCGTTCGTAAACGTCGCTGACACATCGACTATATGTATATAGGTGTGTATAAGGTAATACATCCTTCCTGCTGGCTCTCTCGCACGCGAGAGAAAATATGAATCATCGACGATACATCGAGTTAATACGGCGAAAAAACAGCGAGATGCACCGCCCGTTTCTCGCACGTCCGCGTGTGCTTGTATACGCGGTTATCTCTTCCGGTTACGCTTAGCTGACCAAAGCATAGACGAGCAAGCATGTAGGCTTTGCTACACGTGCATTCTACACACACCGCGCCGATGTATAATGACCTACTCCGCGATCCGTCCGCGATGCTTGTCTGGATCCTCCACGACCGGCGTTCCACATTTTTCCTATATATGCGCGGATTCTCGCGTCTCTTCCACATGTCGCGTTTATCATCATTAGTATACCGCATTTCCTCGCCATTTCTAAATACCACATATCCGCGGAGAATGTAAAACCCCGTGCCACGTAAAGTCGTCTGAGAGAGATGCGTCCTAACTTTTCGTCCACGAGAAATTCTCCACCCATTTTTCCCATATTTCAATTCGATGGTTCGGAAATATGCAACGTACACTGAACAAAAATTTGTTAACTTGACTTTATTAAACCTTTCATCTAAATTATTATTTTGTTAATTGAACATATATTAGTATTTAAGTCAAATATACGTTTTGTTAGATTTAATATGTTACGTTTAATTCAAATATTTTTATACGTTCAATTAACAAAATAATATTTAATTGAAAGGTTTAGTCAAGTTAACAAATTTTTTTCGAAATTATAATTTTATGACACATATATAATAGTGATAATTATGATAATTTTATAATATTAATTAATAAAATATATTATAATAATTTTATAATATTAATTAATAATATAATATAATAATAATAATATAATAATAACAATATTACAAATAATATAATATTAAAGCAAGGTACGCACGTGCACATGGTGACAATATATGACAATGAATGCAAATTATAGACAGACTGCAAAGTTTTAATTCTAATTGGAGCCTTGAAGGGTTAAACGCTCGCCGTCTCCGCACACATTGCGGCTTTGAAAATGCAAAAATATGCTGTTGCGCAAAAGAGCTTCCCTCATTTTTCGCGGCGTTCTCCGCGCGACCGCAGGCTATTCAACTTTCTTTTCTATGCGCGCCGGGAAAAAAAGTGGGCAATTTGCAATTTAGATTAACCGCGGGATTGTGCACAATATCGCGAAATATGGGTTGGCTACGTGATTCGCTTGTGGAAGCGCGCGATTATATTCACATTGTGGAGCACGTAAGGCGCGCCACTTATAGTTTAGTGGACGCGGTCTCTCTATACGCAATCTTTATGAAAGCGGACGCGAAGTGCGTAGCGCACTCGATTGATCACTGCGGGGTCGCGTGACGTAATCGCGTAGCGTTAAACGCTCGTTGTCGATTTCATGTATAACGCAGTTCCGTTTAAAACGGGAAACATCTCATTAATTATGCACACTCCCCAAAAGCTCCGCCGCGAGCTTCGTGAATTAATAAATTCTATCGTATCGCGTTCTTTCTCCAAGATCCAGGCTACTTCGTGTAGATTTATTTCGATTATTATATCTCGAATACCTTCCTCTCTCTCTCTATCTAAAGAGAAGAAAGATAGTATTAATACGATACCTCGATTGAAAATCAAATTGCGCGTGAAAATGGATGGACACTTTTAGAAAGAGCATATTTATGACAGATTAAAATCGCGAGAGAAATAACGCGCAATTTGCAGTTATATATCAACTGGCTTTTCTCATTTATTTTATTAAAGCATCGGACAAAATATACCCAGGAGACACAACTGGTAATAATAATTAGCCCCTGCGGTGTCGTACTTTCTGCTTCCGTAAGCATTTCCCACGGTACGCATATTTCTGTTCTCTGGCAGAGATACGCTTTGTATCAGAGATAAGGTGAAAGCAACGGGAGAACAATACGAATATCTTACAAAAGTTTCTATGATTAAGAAGATCCGTTATTCCGCATCTCCGTATTAGATGTTTCATTTTACATGTGCATATAAAGTTTTGATCGCACACAGAGGGAGAGTGTTCGACTTTCCGCGTGCGGTTTCTATGCAAGTTCGGTATAACAAATGCGTACAATGAGAAACGTGATATATGGATAAATTATTATTATTATTATGGAACTGTAAATGTCGCAGATCATATAAATATGTTATACGCGTCGCAAATTTTCTCCTGACACAAATCAACGCGCGAAAGTGGAGAAAGGTGAGTTTTTTGCTGATATATAGGGCAAAGGTGTCATGCATATACGCTAATGTGCATTTAAATGCATATTCGGTATGCACCGACTGTCGCGGGAATAATTTCGAGAATATCGAGTCGAGAGAGAACGATCGATCCTTCCCTTAAATTCTTCCCTTATGAAAAATATTGAAAAATCGATATTTCACCAGAAATGACATTTCTGCCGCCAATTTATTATACAAAAGTGTTCTAAAATTACCATTTCTCAGAAATACAAGTTTTATTTGAAATAAATGCTTTCTTTGCAAAGGTTGTGAAATCATAGTTTATCGCAAGTTTTTTTTCAGAATTTTTTGACATTAAATATTTTTAGTTAAATAAATTTAAATGTGATCTGTTCAATAAAAGTAAATGCATTCTAATATTTTTTGAGTATGTCTTGCAGCTTTAATTAATTTATGTAAAATTAAATTAAATTAATTTCTGTTAAAATTTCGCTTAAATTAACAGAGAAGAACAAAGTTTTGTTATATCTCGGTGTGTATTCAAATTTAATTGCCAAGTTTTAATCTGCTATTTGTTTACTACATCAAATATGCAATCGGTCATTCAAATAATCATCGCGTGAAATGTATTATCTTTATAAATTAATGATATTATTTACGATGGAAAAAGTATTAATCCAATTTTGAAATACCTATGTAAATTTTGATATAACGATAAAATTTTGGTTTGTCTTATTAATACACGAAAAGAATTTTCTCTTAGAATTTACTCTGAAAATCATGATAATCGTGGGACAAAAAATTTTATAACTGTTTGTCTGATTAATATTTACCACAAAAAATATTAATAGTTACATAATAAATTGTACATATAGCAAAATTAATTAAACACATCTTATAATTTATAGTGAGATACATCTTATAACTTATAGTTAGATATTAATATTTTTTATTGTGATAAATATTAAATTAATCAGAGAAACTCTTCTAAAATTTTTTTAAATACGTCTCACGCGATTATCATGATTTTCAGAATAAATTCAAAGAGAAAATTCTCTCTGTGTACCAAGCAGATCCTCGCAGGTGTGTCTCTCGCATGACTTTCGCAACGGGACGTATAAAAACTAAAAAGCCTTAAGTAGAATTTGATGTCAATATTTGCCGTGTCAGAAATTCGCAAAAAAAAAAAAAAAAAAAAAAAAAATATAAAACCGCAAAGACTCGTTAAAACGTAAAACGGCGCTACGTTGCTTTTCTCCGGCGACCCTTGACCTTCCTCTCACGCTCGCCGGAAGGTACCGAAAGCAGCTTGCGAGAAACATTGATATTCGCGCGGCTCGGCAGAAAATCGAATTTCACCTCGTACGAGACGCGCGACAGGAATAAAATGGCGAAAAGCGTCCTCCTCTACGACATCTCTTTGTTGGTTGATTTTCCTCAAAGAAGGACGGAAAGTAGAATTTGGTGTCAGTAATGACTGCTGACTTTAACGTATCATTTTGCGGCACGAACCGCGCGCACTGGCATGCATATTAACGAGAATATATATTAGCGGGAATACAATTTGTAAAAGTAGAAATTCAAGTTTGCTTTATTTCTACGTTTATGTATCTACTATTCTCTATAATGCATTCTACGGGGCACGTAGATCTATTGTGAGAAAAGAATATCTTTTCCTATTTTTCAAGTAGGAAAAGATATAAGGTATATGCATATATGAACATGGTTATTTTGTTTTCACATTAAGCTTACCATATATATTCCGTGTGTAATATATTTTCTCTTCAAATATATATACGATTTTTTTAGAATAATTAAATATTGAAAAATATTTACTTGGCAAAAAGTTGGAGAATATTATTAAATACTTTGCGTAAAAATAAATGCATAATAGATAATATCAATTGTTGTAATTACCTTCATTTTGCGGCGTCCAGGGGTGAGAAAAGACGCATGTCAAAGTGAGGAAGATGAACAACAGACAGACACTTTTCCTAGCAGTCATCTGTAATGATAAAGATCGACATATTAATTAATAATAAGACATTTCTGTCTTAAATAATCAATTTATCACACAAAATATTAGAGAGAAATTAAATTAGACAAAATTTTAAAAAAATTCTTTTCATACTTAAAGATAGCTCTGCTTTAAGTCAACGTTAATTTATTTATAAAAGCGGCCCTGGCACCAGTTCAGCGATAATCTTAAAGTACTCTTCAGTTTCAAGCCAGACTTTGAGAGATAAAAGGTGACGTAAAAGATATGTGTGTATGTATATGTGTGTGTACGCTTATATATACCTATATTTGCGAGAAAAAATGAAGATAAATTGCAATTTTCTTTGTGGACATGAATTTTCTCTTATAATATTATGCATTAAATGTTATTTCAACCGAAATTATTCTTCATTCTCGCGTAATAAATAAATTATATTTACGATTTATATATTCATATATGCATAGCACACGTGCATACATACATGTGGTATAAGATATTTATTCTATTACTTTTTTGCCATTATTTTTCTTCTGCATTCAGCAGCTTATAAAGACAACTTTTTCAGCGAACTGAATAGAGCTCGCATCTTTTTAGGTTTAATTCCAACATACGGTAAGTCGTTCAGCAAATGTAACTTCCTAGATCTCATTATCAGATCGATGTACATATTTGTCCTTTGTAACGGTACAGAAATATCAGCCTCTTGCACGTATATGCCAGAAAAACTGGAAATTGTAATATAATGAGTTTCTACTCTACATGTTCTTTCAGTAAATCTTTTCTTACAAGGTGATAATCATCTAAATTCCGTGGCAACATTTTTCTCCGCACATTGAATAATATTTCATTCAAGACGTAGCAACTTAATCTTAAAAATGAATTAAAAAACAAGAATAATATAATAAAAAAATAATTTACCGACGGTCTTTAAAAAATAATTGTCATTCATGAAATATTATGTCACAGTATTTTAATATTATAAATATTATTTATACAATATATATGGAAACAGAAGCAAATAGAATTGTAAATCAAAGTTATATTAAATTTAACATGATTATAACATAATACCATATTCAAGAGAAAATTTATGAAAAATACGTACATCCAATTTGTGAAAAATAATTTTATCGCAGCACATGTTTTATTACGCTTGGTTTATGTACGTACTTTCTCATCCTAATTTACAATTATTGATTCACAAACAACGAGCGAGTACAACGGCTGAAATAATTTAACGGTTACAATGGACGGATATATATGCGCAATGGATTAACCAATATTTCACAAATATGGATCAATGCTTCTTTTATAAATGTGCGCGTAGGTGTGCAGCGCTTATCGTTAGATACGAAGAGAAAAGAATCGCCATTAATGAATGTAAGCGCGAGAAAACGCTATTAATAATTTTTGCAAAAAAAGGAAAACGAAAGGTCAAAAAAGGTTTTCCCTATATATGTCGTTACAATTTATAAAAATATATATCCGCGTAATTTAATCAACATAGAAATAACGAGAGAAAATTAAAAGAGAAAGAGAGAAACATAGACAAAGGAAGAGGAGAAACAGAGAAATAAATAAGACGAAGATAAAGGTAAATAACAATACACTGTAAAAAAATATGTAATATATTACATATTTATTACATAAATAATGAAAAATATGTAATATATTACATACAAATATATAAAATTGCATTATTATTAAATGATGAAAATGTATGTAGCTTTTCATTATTCATCGTGTACTTTTACATTTATTATTTATGTAATTTTACATATTTTTATGTAATATTACATATTTTTTAGTGTATATCGTCGAATACTCGCGGAAGAAGGAATATATATATATATATATATTATAATTTTACATAATTTTATGTAATATATTACATATTTGTTACAGTGTATTGTTATCTTGCCTTCGTCTTACTTATTTCTCTTCCGCTTCCGCCGAGGTCTACCTTCGAAAGTCCCTTGAAAATTCCACGAAAATCCCAGCGTTGCACGCACCTTTGACACGCGAGTCGTGCGAAATAAGGAGGCACATCGCCCTGGACCTATGCACATATCTCTCTTCCAGCTTCGGAGGAAGGTTCACGCTCACACGCGCGTCGCTCGCACTGGACAACGAGCTGGTTGTGCATGCGTGTATCCCGCGGAATCCCGTTACAGTCATGCAGTCACACGGGCCCCCTTACGTATATAAGTACGTATATATATACATATGATAGTCGCGAAGGCGAGTCGGAAGGAGGACGAGATATCGGTGGAACCTGAAGGTAAACGTCGCGCCGGGATATCTTCGATGAGGGAGAAAGAGAGAACGATGAAGAGACGAGGAATGAACGAGCCGGTCGCTCTTTAACGCAGGTTCACCAAGGCACTGCTAACCCAGTTTATACCAATTCGCCGACGTTCTGTCCCATTCTCGCTTACGGCCTTGTTAACCCGTTAAAACTTACTGTACAACTGTAGCATATATACTGTCGCCATTTGTCCAAGTGTCTTGCTATAGAGTTGGAAATTCGGAAAATACGTTTCCTTCGGTTTTTTTTTATTTTACTCCAAGACTCTAAAAAGTGTAGGGTGTTTCAAAACTGGCGGAAATGTTTTTATTGACAGATTCGGAGACGATTTTTCCTCACCGAAAATGTCGAGATACCAATAATTTGCGAATTATAAGCGGTTGAAAATAAAAGCTTTTTTGGAAACTAAGCCTTGTGGAAATCAAATATTAACAGAACTACATTCTTTAGTTAATTTTAGATAGAGTTTGCTTTAATATAAGGTTTAGTTATAAAGATACATAATAAGCAAAAATTGAGAACATGCTAAAAATGACCTCTCTCAACATTTTCATTAAGGAAAAATCGTCTCCAAATGATACCAGGAATATAATAATCTTGGATTTTTATAGAAACGTGAAGATTCGTAAATTTAGATGACATAAGCATTTATTTTTGTTGAGATCGATGGAGGGGATTTAAATACACGAAGGCTTGATTATCGAATGATCGCTTGAACGTAAGCTATATGATAATGATTTCGTATATAAATGGTTCGTTCGTGCCGCTCTGATTTTTAATGCGATCCGTTAAAATGAACTGTTGTTTCATTCTCTCTCTCGCCTGTTAACCTAAAACTACGGAGCGTTCGGTAAATTTATATTATGTCGATTAAATGTAGCGTAATTATGCTAATCTTATTAAACACGCTGGAATATTATGTTAATTAAATTAAATGTACCGGAATTATATATATTATATTATACACGCAATCGCATTTTAAATATTATACTGCTTGACATTTAAAATATATAATTTCGAGACTGATTGATCAAATTAATAATTGAAGAATACTTTTAACGATAAATTAATTAATATGTTAAATTAGAAGAATAACAGTAGAAATTCTAGAGAGAAGAAGAATGAATAAATATATATATACCTATATTTTCATTTATTTTCGCAGGTGAAAAAAAAACGGGAAACGATCATATATTTAATATATTACATATAAACAATGTCTCTCTTCCTACAACTAATATTAACATAATTTATAATCATGAATCACTCGATTTAAGTATAGCATGAACGTACACCACTTCATTATGCACAGTTACCTTGATTCAGGGTCGACGGAATCACGATAACGCCGTTGTGTCGCGTAATAGTTACATACCTATACACACACACACACATTACACAAATTACGTCTTGAGAATGTGTGTTACATCGCGCTGTTAACAGAGATGCAATCCTTTCGTTTGCCCTAAGCACGGCCACGAAGTCACTTTCGTTGCGAGTGTTCCGTTTTCGCGTTTTCACGTTTCCGTTCGTCGTCGAGAATTTTCTGCTTTCTTTTTTTTATAAGAAATATTATTAACATTGTATGACATTTCTTGTTCGTCTAAGGTCGCTTATACACCAAGAGAATTTTCTCTTAAAATTTCCCCTGAAAATCATGGTAATCGTGGGAGAATAATTTTATAAGTTTCTCTGATTAATATTTACCGCACAAAAAATATAAATATGTATGCGCATAGTAAATTTCTTACTACTCAATATTAATATTTTTTATTGTGGTAAATATTTTAATTGTCCCACGATTTTCAGATATTATATGTACATAGTAAATTGTACCATGTATATAATAAAATTAATCGAACACATTTTGTCTTATTGTGGTAGATAATATTTGTCATATTAATCAGAAAAACTCTTCACGTTGTCCCACGATTATCATGATTTTCAGGCTAAATTCTAAGAGGAAATTTCCTTTATATACATTAGTCACTCTGCGGTTTTTTTTCATTAGTTTCAAAGATTTTTCACGTTTCCCTGAACTTCCCGGATGACTATCTGCCGCGGTGATCAAAGACTCGGCAAAAGAGTCCCTTTCGACTTGCTTTATTGCCCGACGGGATTCTCTGTATATCCAACCGGAAAAATGTCCGGTTGGAAAACGCGAAGGATCCCACGCTCGCCGCGAGAGGATCTTCGCCAGAGGGAAGATCCTGCGCCAATCTCGAGGTCAACCCCCGACGAGGTCAGAAGAACCGAAGCCTCTTCCGCGTTCATTGGCCGTCCGTCAATGCCGAGAAAATGCCGGTAGCGTGTGTGCGTGGACGCATTACGTGTATAAAGCCATGTATACTGGACCTCGGAGAAAGCTCAGTTTGACGTGTCTTGATTATTGGATCTGGGTGACCCGATTGCTTCGCGCTCGACAGTAGCTTCCTCGACAATCTGTCGCGGATTCTCGCGAAGAATCTCCCCGATGATTGACTGCTGCTAACGGCGATCGATCATACAAAACATGTAGGTGATTGATGACACCGAAATGTACATTGAAGTGTTCATTTAAAAGTCTCGCGTCAGAGAAGCTAACAATCACACACACGTATATATATATAGATTATATATGTCAAATTCAGCTCTTCTAGGAATTGAAAATTTTTATGTATACATTTGAACGAGAGAAGGATCCGAGAAGAAATGTTTTCGCACGATTTTTTTCTCTCAACCTCGTTTCCGCGATTCACTTCTCGCGGACAGGCGCGGATTCGAATTAATCCAGCAGGTCGGAACATCTTTGGCCTCCATTTTCTCTTCGCATGAGCGTCGATTATCGAGTCGACGGTGATTAGCGAAATAATCCGAGAAAGTAGGAGATCCGTGCTGTTCGAATGGAACGCAGAAGTCCGCGCGCGGAAACTTCCTACTGCGAAATTAGACTTTAGGGTAAAGATGTAATTGCGAAAAACGGTCTTCTGCTTTCACTCGGGCGCTTAAAATATTTCGTGCGATCGTTCGTGCGAGACCGAACAATTCCTTCTGCGCTCGATTCAGTCGGAAGACTTGGGAGCCTCATATACAGCCTCGTTATACGAAATATCGAAAGTGACATTTATATGTTAATGTGCCAATATTGATCGCACGAAAGAACATTTATTGTAATAACAGTTTACGGTTTAGTCGCGTGATTCTGTTGCAAAGAGGCTTCGTCGACGCGAAAATTCTGTTTTTATAATGAAACTTCGCATGAGGCTTGGTATTAAATATAGATATTTCCAGCTGTCAAAAGGATTTAAACTTCTTTGACAATTTGTTAAATATTTTTTCACAATTTTTTTCTCTTCATATATGTACGCGATATAAATTTGATATGCTAAAATCTAGAGAGATAAAAAAGTTTGATATATTTGAGAAATATATGAAAATGTAGTAGTATTTTATCTTTTCTGCCGTAAAATTTGCCAAAGAACTTCCACTTGCGTCGAAAGTAATCTTAAAAGACGCGTGCAAATTTTCTCCTACTGGTTCGAAAAAACCTGGGTAAAAAGAGCGTCACGTAAAAGCGTTAAATGTACAAATGAACCTACATGATTGGAAAGAGCGACAACGAAGCCGTCGACAACCGTTACGAGACCCGCCGTCGCATACCTGACTTAGGTACACTGATCGGACATGGTGTGCACGTGCGTAAAGGATGTGTGCATTAGAAGCTGTTAGGGGTCAACGGCGAGAGATCTTTCGCCTGTTGAGTCTCTCGCTAGACAGTAGCGGAATTACACGGAAGCATCTAAAAGTGAAAATATCCCATATCGATCTTACAACTCTCGTAAATCAATCGTTTCTTCTCTCCGCAATTTTTAAGCCTTTTAATATTTTTTTAAATTTAATATTCTTCAAAATATCTATATATATAATACATACATATATAAAATATATAAAATATATCATATAATAATGTATAAAATATATTATATAATAATTAATATATTTTTATATATGTATATAAATATATAAATTATATATAATATATATATATTTTTAAAGAATAGTTAAGCTTTAAAAATATTGCAAAATAAAGAAATATATATGTATACGATATATTTTTAATTTATTATACTAGTAGGAACTAATGCAAAAGAACGCAGATATACAGGTATTATTTACTACTTTCTTTTCTATCAGCCTGATACATTTTTTTTCTATTAACATAACTGTGTTATGTACGGCATACACTGTATTTAAGATTCGCCAGTTATGTGCGTGACGGTGGCTGCGTGCACGCTAATTCGCGCGATGCCGATTTCTCAAGGTGTTTGGCTTCACGGTCGCCGCGTCTCGCTACGCATCTCGTCTGCTGGCGAACGAGGGCAGGTCCGACACAACGAGTCAGGTCGACGATACCTGTTACTTGCGTAATCGATTTCATACGCGGAGACCTGCCCGCGACTTTGTCGTTTAACGAGAACGGAATGGAAGATACGCGCGAACTTGGGAGATGCATTGAAAAAATCCATGCACTTTTACGTGGAAATTATTTGTTCAAAACTGGAAAAAAATTACTTAATTATCACTAATTTTTTTCCATATTTTTTAAAGTGAAAATTCATATTAATGTAAAATGTAGGTAAAATTACTACTTTTATACAAACTCACTTGTAATTTATTTTATTAGAACAAGAATGTTTTATTACTAGCATTTTGTATGTGCAATTCCATGGTTAGTGGAATATTTTTAATTATGAAAATAAATAAGGATATATTTCAACATTGCGTGATAATGCTGGGTCGAAAAAACCGAGCATAATATAATTTCACACAAATAGAGAGGAAAGAAGAGGTCGAAATGTCACGATGCAACGGAGCACATGCTGTCAATGCAATTGTTTTCTACGTGTATCGGAAACGCTTTGTTTTAAATCGTCGGCTATTTCTCGAATCCAATCTCCGCGAGATTATGCCGATTTCTGATCACGTCTTTGCTTTGATAAAAAAAGTCCGACTCTTGCGCGCGCGTTCTTTTTTATCAGATATTGAATCTCGCAGATGACCTTATGTTGCACTTTCTCCCACGAGATTAGAACGAATCTGCGACGGCGAACTGATGTCATAAATAGAGAATCACGTTTTTTTGCACGAGCTGTATTTTCAATGCTTTCATAAATAATATAAGTATCATAAATAACTTCACTGAAGTGTATGAGCAATTGTGCTATGATATACGTTTATAGCATTTGAATTTGGAATGGATATAAATTAATTAATTTTTGTTTAAAAATTCAAGGTATACGGATTGCGTAAAATATTGATTACGGTTGTCAATATATTGAATAAAATGAATTATTTAATAATACATCTGTTTAAAACTCTCAAATCATAATTTTATTTATTAAATTGAACATAATTAAACATGTTTGTACAATTTGTCACATTCAACAGAAATTTATTTTCTAAATTCTGCACTAACGACGCGCACATATATTAATGGTGCAATTAAAAATTCCGTTGTAATTAGAAGAAGTTCGAAGAAATATTTTGAGATACACGATACATATTTGTATGATTAAAATTTATTCCAAAACATTGAGAATTAAAACACGCGAAAACATAAATATTGCAAATTATTCCATTGAGAAATTTTATATTTATTAAATACTTATATATCACCTATAAATAATAAGCGCAATTTAATTTCTCAATTTAAAAGAAAAATCTGAAATATCTTTGTATCTTTAAACACAGATATCGAATAGAAAATTCTCTCTTATAACATTTTTTCTACTTACATTCGAGTATTTCCTGATTCCTGAGATTGAATATTCTCATAGAAAAATTTTTCCTACTCCGCGCGTTTATTCCTGCCTGATTATATTTACGTACAAGGTACTCGGAATAAATTACTCAATTTTGCAATTCACATCGCGCTAAATGCAAAAGTTGAGGAATGCGATGCATCATGAAGACGGAGCAACTCGACGGAGTGACACGAGGGAAATTACCTCACGCCCGTTCCGCCCAGAGTCGTATCATCGATCAAACAACCCCCTTAAGGTCCGAAGGTCACTTACCGTGCAGCGCATTAACCTTCGGGGTGCAACACGGGTCGAGAGTGGGCCCCGTTAAGCGCGTCTCATAACGTCGTTTTAATTCCAGGCAGGTCCGCTCTTTTTCCGCTTCCTTCCACGAGACAGAGAGAGAAAGGAAGCGCGACCTTGCCCTTGCCGGTCAGATTTAGATCGTCCCTTCCGCTTCTTCGGGCTTTCCTCCTCGGGGTCACTGATCCTCGTCCGACACTTCTTCACTGAACTCGCCCTCGTCGCCGAGATCGAATTGATATGAACCGATCCGATACCGATCCGATACCGATCCGATACCGATATACTCGCGATCTTATCGAGTTTTGCGCGCGCGTCTCTCGCACTAATATCGCCGACCACTATCAGTCATATCGACGATACCTGCGATATACTGTCGAAACCGATCTAACCTGGAGATCTGTTCTCTATGACTCTTTTACGCGCTCGCACCGATCTGTACCGCACGATCGTCCATCCGGCCAGCCAACGGGATGGTATCTATCTGATCGTCTTGCCACGGCATGTGCTGCTGGAGTCGCATGGCTAAGTCATAAGCGGCGCCTTCGAGGATCGGTAGTGGTGGAGGTCGTTTATGGTGGAGGCAACATCGCGTTCGACGGAAGCCCGATCGAAAAAGAGGAAGGGGCAACACCGTTCTGTGGTGGACAGGGGCCGTCGAGGGGACAGGTGGAAAAACGTGAAGGGGGCCCGAACTTGGTCGAAGGGGAGGGAGGAGAAAGAGAGGGAAGCAGGAGAAACCAAAGTGGGTCAGTGGCCAGGTCACGTGGAGAAGAACGGGCCCAACGTGCAGGACGGCGACACACTGTCCTACTCATCCAGCGGCCGCTCTTGGCCGCTCCAGGTTCTGTCTGCCCATTCAGGAAACGCCTCGCGATACCATCGTGAAAATGAGATGCGATCCATCTTTCTTCGTCGCCGATCCGTCCCGAAAGAAAGAGCCTCTGATGAAATCGGCTGATGAGAATCGCACGAATATACATGTGTATATAAACGAGTGACGAGTGCGTATAGTCAGCTGATAAAATCGGGATAAGATTGCATTTTATATAAATGGCGTTTACATTTGTCGCTGGTTATTAAAAGTTTTATGACGATGAAGCAAGCTGGAATAACTGCGAGCGACCCAAATTGATGCCAAGTAGTTTCGCGGTGTTAAAAAAAAAATATTATCAAATCCTGAATTTTAATTGAGTACGCTTTATAGAAACATTGAAATTTTAAATGATCTTTATATCTGGAGTTTTTTCAGAAAATTCATTTCCGGTGGCACAGAGTCAAAATTCCAGCCATTTGTCTCGATCTAAATTAATATCTGTGAAACGATAATCGTCGAGATATCAGTTGTATTAGATTTCTCATTTTATTTTATTTGTTTTTTTTTTCTCAATCAAATTTATAGAACGACAATTCTATGCAATAACATCTGATATTACTGTATCATGATGGCACTTTACGTATTCTAATTAGAAAAGAGGTATAATAGTACACATTGCCTTGTAGATTGCAGTTTGAAAGAGATAAACGAGTTTCCTTTATTACATTGAGAAAAAAATCCATGGCGCTTCGTCTCCGTCTCACGGGAATTAATAAGTTTTCCTTATTAAGAAGATATAGAGCGGAGAAGCAAGCCGTAATGTAAGCGTAATTTTTCTGGCGATTACAACGCACACATTTTCGCGAGCAAGCGGTTAAGTAACATTGATATTATCTAAATAGTTGATTATAAACCAGAGAAAAATTACATGATTTTTATGAAATGTAGATGTACACCAAATTCACATTTGAAATAAATATTTTATTTTTAATCAGTTTCAACAGACTTACAAATATCGGATGTTGTTCAAGTTTTTCCTGTTGCAATCGTTCTAAACTTTTCGCAGAGAGAGAAACCTGCAGTCGACAGATTCTTAAATAAATAGCTTTCCTGCAAGTTTTTTGAAAAATAATTTTTCTTTATCGTGACTTTTAAAATTTATCTTGCATATTTATCTCGCAAAAGTTGAGCTTTGAACTTTTTACAGGCAAATCCTCGAGCCTTAATATATATTAACTTTTTTTTGTTGCGCGTAGAAATCTCATCAGAGCAGTTAATAACAAACGTTCAATTTCCGGCGTCTGTGGTTTTCCTCACTGAACATTAAATGTTCCTACTTTCAGATACAAGATAATTACAATAGAGCTCGTGTGTAACGAGTTGTATTACGAGATAAATACAACTTCTATAACGCGCGTTTGTCGTCTATTTTATATATATAAAGGTCCGGCCACCTAATGTTCATTACCTCATTACCGATAATCATGCGCATTTATTAATGGAATAATCGGATGAAAATCATATATATAGATAAACATATATTGCAGTGAAATCAATTAGCGGATTAATTATCCTGCGCGCGTAATTGGCAATTTTTTTTTGTAATCTTTTTGAGCAAATTCGCAATAAAAATGTAACCAACCGGATAGTATATAGCCTCGACTTTTATGATGCGTCGCAATACCAGAAAAAGCTCGTACAAATACTCATTATTGTGATAATAACGCCGTCAGTTGCACGTGGAAATTGCAGTATCGCCTGATTCCGATTAATTTCGAGCGAGCTTTAGCTCGCGCGTGCAGCGCACAGGACTGCATAATGTAGCGAAATTATCAATATATTTGCATGCATTTGCACATACATCACATTTTGTTTTATTGGACATGTATGTTAGCAAATTTAGGGGAAAAAGTACTTTTATCATCCCCTGCCTCTCTTTTTCTCGCTTATGTTTCTAATAATATTTTCTGCGCAGTGTAAACTTGTAAAGTCGTTACGGGAAGATTAACTTTACTACCACTTACAGTTGAACGTTGATTTTCAAGTTTTACAGCCATTAAGTTTTAAATCGTATAACATTCACGTTTGTCCCACTGCTTATTTATAATATATTCCGCCCACATTGGAAACAGGTTACTTGTAATCCTATTTGTGTAATCGGAGCGAGACGGAACATCGACAAGATACATTATTGCTTTAGCGAATGGCAATTCGCTACTAAGAATTTTAATTGAATCGCTCGTAGCCGAATTTCACTTCCTTCGAAATCAGATCGTTGTGCCTGCTTCGATAATTAATCATCTTAAGTTTGACAGAGATCTACAAAATTATATCTATTCATACACGATATATAACATATTATTACAATATTTATACATAATCGGTGTTAGACAGAGTGATAAGATATATATAATAAAATTATGGACAAATTATTAATATTTACAATTATTTGAATATTTTTTGCTGAAAATTTCGGAAGATGAAAAATATTTTAAGAGATATTTTCTATCAATACAGATAATTCATTAATAATATAAATTTTTTATAAAATAAATATTTGTTTGTTATAGCAATCTAAATTGATATATTAATATCTAGTTAATTTTTCAATAATGTTTAGATAATACATATCATTATGTAATGTTAACTACGTTTACGAATATTCATTCACGCTTTCGATAAGTACTTCATCTTCAATGTAATGATTATCGTTATCAATATTACCGTTTTACCAGACGATAGCGATGATTGATTATTAATAGAATTTGATTAGGCCTCGGTATAAGAAGTATAATTCTGCGACGAGCGCCGTCATCGAGGACATCCGTCAATAATTGACGATTGTATCTAGTAATTCGTACGAAATGGTGAAATCACGGAACCATTTATTGCTCTTTCCGTGTAATCATGGTGAAATTATGACAAGTCTCGATAAATCCATGTGTGGCTCTTTTAAACGCAGCTATACGCAGCCTTGCAACGTAGGTATGCGTAATTGATAACGGTCTCGGTACTTATAACTCTTTCTCTTCAGGTACTGTTTTATATTAATGCTCGACCATGCATTCGAATAATATCGCGAAACCTAATTTCTCCATATTGTTACCGAATCTATACGCGAAATTTATTTCTTTGCTTTTTCGTCAATGTTAAATGATACGCAGTAGGAAAGTTTGTGTTTTCTTGTTAAAAACAGTCCTCGTTAAAATTTTTGTGTTAAATATTCGACACATTCATGTGTTAATTTAACATATTTCTAGTGTGTTAATTGAACTTAAATGTTATATTATTAAAACAACTGAAAAAGGATGTAAAAATAACACAGTGTGCATCTATTTTTAATTTTACGCAATAAATATGTTCTGTTTTTAGCGACAAGATTTATCAGTTAAAATTCACAGAAAGAATTTTTTAATTTTACAATACAAGTGGGGATGACAAAGTATAAAATTTATATAATTTTCGTTAATTTTTACATTAAAACTATGTTAGTTTTTACACAAAATTTATTTTAAATTATTTATGACATTTTACATTTATTCTGTGTTAAAATATTAACACAGTATTTGTGTCTTTATTTAATGTATATCCATGTTATGTTAAATTAACACAAAAATTTCTGTGGACCGTTTGGGACATGTGATATCTGTTAAATTTAACACAAATTTTTCACCTGTGTATCAAACTTTACAATTTTATAACTTTATGGAAAATTTAAAATTTGGAAAATATTGCAAAAAAATTAAAAGCTTTGCTGTTATACAATAATCAATCTCTCATATATTTTTATGACATTGTATCATATGCAATTGTTTAAGATTAATTAATTAATTATTAATGCTTCATAGAATATAATATAATTTTTTTTAATTATACTTTGAATATATATTATAAACCGCACTGATTGAATATGCCACTTTTCCACATCCATACTTATAAATATTTAATATTTGAGAAACCTCAATTACATATTGATTTTATTCAGCAGCCTTGTATAAAACAATTAAAATTAATCAAGCATAATAACTCTCGGTCAACACAATATTTATATGAAATATCAGACCACAATTCTTTGCTAAAGCAACACAACGTTCGAACGCTCGTTATTTTTCGGTGTCAAGATGATTCTGAGAATAGAAATTTACGATCTCATAGTATGTGTGTGTGTGTGTGTTTTGAGTTGTATTAGACTCGTACGGTACTTCAGGCTCACCCAATGACTTTTGGCAGAAAGAATTCCAGAGAGATGACATCTCATCTAACGTCTCTCTCTCTCTCTTCGCACTTACTTGGGAATAATATCTCCAAACCACCAGTCATTATCATCGAAATCAGCCTCCTCTTGAAAAAAAAACACGTATATGTATATATATATGTCTCTTTTTAGAGAGTACGCAAAGTTCAATCCTTGAACGTGACCGGTTCGAAGTAGGTCAGGACCTGTATCTTTCGGCGCGCGTTATCGTCAACCACTGAATGAAATCTCATTTACTTGCAAGTAACACGCACACGCCGTACATAGCTCCTCGTTATGCCGCATGTTTTATGCGCGCGAAAAAAAAAATGCGAGAAAAATATCGCGCACGACGCGACATTTTTTTGCGTCTCTTTATTTCCGCAGATTCGAATATTAACAAAGCTACGCGCATTAATTGGCATAATTATATATATATCATCCCGGCTTAGCCGAATGTATCCGATATTTTATTTTAATACTATGCGTCATATATATATGTATAAAATATTTATATAAAAAAAAAACGAGTTATTAACGTAATCTGTTACAGCTGATCCGTCGATGAGTGAAACTCCATAAATTATCGGGCGATTCTCTCCAACTCTCCGCGGACGATTCTTTTCTCTCAGGAACATGACGCATGCTGTAAGATCGAGCACACAAGCATTGGCCGTGATCGTGACTTTCGGTAAGTGGGTTAAAGTTGCTCCGTGTATAAATGTAATTTATAGAACCGAAAAGAAATGTAGAAAGCAACACATGACACATTATGTTTATTATCTCGAAAACTCGATACTTCCCTCGATCGCTCCGTATATAAAGGCAATACATACGATACAATAATAACGAAATGGCAGAACATAAACTGCCGCATTATTATTATTATTATTATTATTAACTTTCGCCTCATGATAATTATGCACGATGATAAGACCGTAGGCAACGTTGTGTGTGCTTTGAAAATGCCAGTAATAGATTCATACCTACTATTATCCTAAATAAATTATTACACGTCAGCTAGCACGTTATGCGCTGATTAATATGATATTAAGTTATAAACGTTTAATGAAGTATATACATATGTATATATTCGAATTTATCTCTCCACTTATCTGCTTCTTGAAGCTGTATATTCTCATAATGAGTGTTTTTTGAATAAATATGATATCGTATGTCTGATAGGAAAAGAGCCACCCACTTTGCGACACAATCATTTTTTAATTAAAAATAAGTAAAATTTACAAATTATTAAAGAATACATTTTCTGTAACACAGTATAATGTTATAATTTTTCCACTCTTTTAATGGAAGATTTTTTAAAACATTTTATTATAACTTTTTTTATAAATTACTTATTTTTATAAAAACATTGTAATAAATGTTTTCAAAAATCTTGCATTAAAGAATAGGAAACCTTATAACATTACTATGTTACAGAAAAATGCATCTTTTAATATATTTAAAATTGTACTTTGTTACTGAAAATGAAGTTTGAGATGTAGCAATTGAATCTTTAAATTGCAAAAATTCTCAGAATTTAATCTTTGCGCCGATGGCGACTTCTCTAAATAGAAAGTGCAATATATAATGTCTAGCATAATTTTGAAAAACGTCGATAGAAACTCCTTTCCCTCGTTTTTCCACTGAAAAACAAAAACTCTTCTTAAAACTAAATCTTTCAATAAAATTATTATTTCGTTAATTGAACATATATTAGTATTTAAGTTAAATATACGTACGTTTTCTCAGATTTAATTAATATGTTACATTTAATTTAAATATTTTTATACGTTCAATCAACAAAATAATATTCAGTTGAAAGTCAAAAGTTAGCAATTTTTGTTCAGTGTTCTTGCCCGATCATCCGAATTACAATTCGCGTGTAAAAATTGGAATAACAAGTTTCAATGAAAAAATTGTTCTTAGAAGCAAGCTTTCGAAGAGTATCAGCGAAATATCCGGAAAGACCGCAGTGCCGACATAAATCCTAATTAAACCGCTTCATACGCGTCGGTCGGAGACACTTGTAACCGAGCTAGCCGACCAGATCCTAGCTGCGATATAAATTGCCATTACTCGGAAAGAGAGAGATAGATAGTGAGAGAGAGGCGGCTCTTTTCTCTTAAAGCGATAGAGCCGCTACATCGCGACACCTCGCATCACAACGCCATAAATCCCCGACGATCGTTACAGCAGCGCCTAAATCCCAGGGAAGATCCGAAGCATTTGGGTCGCGACGCCATGACGCCATGAGAGGGGAAACAATCGATGGTCATGACCCAGGACACGGGTCCGGAAAACTGGGTCAGGATTGCACATGCCCTTTCACGCGCGTTTGTTTTTCCTCGCAAGGTGCTGGCGGCGAATTTCTATATAAACGAGCGAAAAATTTCTTTCAACCCCCTATCCTTCTTCTTTATTCACATCACTGCCTCTGAAAAAAAATTTGTCAACTTGACTTTCCTTTCGACTAATCGTAAATTACTACTTTGTTCATTGAACATGCAGTATTAGTATTTATTAGATTTAATATGTTATATTTAATTTAAATATTTTTTTAATATAAATAATTTTTAATATAAATATTTATATAATGAAATATTTATATTTACAATTAAATATTTTATATAATCAAATATTTATATTTACAATTAAATATTTATATAATATTTATATATTTAATATAAATATTTTTGAAAATATAATTAACAAAATAATATTTATAGTTGAACGGTTGAGTCAAGTAAAATTTCTTGTTCAGCGCATTAAAAAAATAAAAAAAAAATGCCTAGATCCGTTCGTCATTAAATGTCACACGAAATATGATTTTCCTATTGACTTTATCTAGCGTCAACAATCTTTAAAACGTATAACGTAACGCTTCTTGAAGGCCGCCTTCGCGAAGGAACCGGAAACGGCACGTGACCGTCGCGTCAGAAACGTCATCGGGGCGACGAGCGTCATAGTGCGCGTGTACTAGGTCGTTAAGTTCCCGCGACGTCATCGGGGAATTACCAAGGTCAGACCGTGACCCTGCGGCACGGCCACGCCGGGTCACGCTGATCCTGAAGAAAATCCGTTGATCGATCAGCCAGCGGCGCGCAACAACGTCGTATAGCGCCGACGCACTTCGCGGCTCCCAGGCTATCTTGCTGCTTCAATCGGCGCAGCACCAGAAACGCGAGCTGACCGGTTCTCGTGTAACCTTCACGTGTATACTATTTTTACATGACGGATTGGTCACCCGCGGTCATGCCAGTAAGTAGTAATCCGCCACATTCACGCGACACTCATGAGAAAAATCGCCCGATCGGAAATATATTTATTTCTCCTCTGGCGAGCGGGCAAAAATTAACGAGATATGTCAAGTTATACCCCAAAAAAATCTTTAGAGAACATATTTTTTGCCTAATCTCGTTTGTTTATTTTTGAGCATTTAGAACGCATTTAGAATGATTTAGTAATAATTTATAGCCTCTTATTCCCGAGATCGCGAACCCGTTTCTCCTGATATGCTAATTCCCTTTAATCATTCATCTATAAAAATATATATACAACTCTAGTACTTTCCTGTTGAATGTAGAAACAAAAATATATATATATCGCTATCGGTGATTCTTTATTGAATTTTACGATGATACAATAAATGTATGTAAATATTGGGAAAGGTGTTACGTGGAATGGTTACGTTTCCTGGCGAAATTTTTCTCGAAATATGCAGGTCATCGAATCGGGATTAAAGGCGCGACGCCTCTTTCAGTTGTGCGTTGATGAGGAATTGAGAGCGATGAGGCGAGCAATGATAAGATGCAATCTATGATTATCCGGCATCGAGAAAACACACACGCGCATACTTTCCAAGAATAAATAACATGATTGCGCGATTAGCGGAGCTTCTTTTAATTTGCAACTTCTTACGAGTCCTTGGGGAAACTTCTCGTGACAGCGCACTTCACTGTCGCACTTTAACGTTTCTGCTATTTTATTCCGCGCGGCTCATTTACATTTTTGTTACAACAATCAATTTACATTTTTTCTTCTGAGTTTCTCTTCGCATTGCGATGCCGGTGCTACCTAGAAGATTGCAATTAACGTCGTCTTGCTAAAAAATTGCTAAATGCAATTTATATGTTAAAAATACGGAAAAATCCATGTCAACTAATTATATACGTATATGTGTATATGCATATGCATATATATTTTTTTAAAGAAAAATCGATATATGCATAAAATATTCATATACAAGGTGTCCTGTACAGGTAAGATATACATCAATATTGTATTGTCAAGAAATAAGCACTTTTTTTACACCATTTTCGAAATGCATTGTTTTTAAAAATTATCTTATTTTTTACTCTCAACACATTTGACGTTTTTCCTAAAACCATTAGCATGTTAAATTACTTTTTGCATCAATATTCCATGGCTGAGCGCGGAATATAATGAGAAAAGGAAATTAATTCTCAGGTGTTTTATTATAACAGTGCAGTAAATTAAAATTTAAATTTAATTAAAGAATTTCCAACATGTTTTCAAAATACAAGGAATCAAAAAATATACTAAATGCATTATTAGTATATTAGAAAAATTATGTATCTGTGAAAACAATACATTTATCGAAATTTTGTCAAAGGAGAAAGTTGTTAATATTTTTACAGGAAAAAAAAGAGAAATGGTATCTGTCTACACACAGAGAGAATTTTCTCTTAAAATTTATCCTGGAAATCATGAAACAATATAGTATTGGAAGAATTTTATAAGAGATTTTTTGATTGATATTTTTACCATAATAAAAAATATTAATATGCACCAAATAAGATATAAAATATCGATTAATTTTACTATGTACATATTAATATTTTTTATTGCGGTAAATATTAATCAGAGAAACTCTTAAATTCTTCCAATATTGTCCCACGATTACCATGATTTTCAGGGTAAATCTTGCAAAGGGACACTTTTAAATTTCCTTAAATTTGAAAGCTTCTACATCACCAATTAAAATAGATCACAATCTGAAAATTACAAGATTATTTGATAAAAAAAAATGAATAATTTTCTCTATACATATATTATTATTTCGAAATAATGAAGATTAATACAGGGATTAATGAGTCTCCGAAACGTTCCACTTTGATATTCGAGTGAAGCGTCCAAACGCATATCTTTATAATACCGTAATCGAAATACCTACGCCGTATATATATTCCGGTCATCGAGAGGAGCCATCGCTATCAAGCAGACTCTCGGCAGCCTCAAATACAACTTTCACATATACGTCTCACGATAAGAACGCTCTCGCGAGAGAGGCGAAACCCGCGAATGCGAAATCCACGGATCTCGAAGAAATCCCTATAAATCCGCGATGTCCCGATTAGGGGAGGAAAACGGCTCTCGACTTACGAGCGGTGCACGTTATATGATTCCTCGTCGATTTGCATCGACGACGCGACGCGACGCGATGCAACGCGACCGGCGGGTGAAGGCCGACGTGATGATTTGCCGATGGGTACATAGAGGCATTTCGCCGACGGTTTCGTGACTTCATAAGGAAAAGGCGGAGGTATAAGCCGGCTTTCTCCAAAGCCACTTAACCCGATCCAGTAACATCCATCCACCGAAGCCCGTCACGCCTGTGACATTTTCAGTAGTTTGCATCGGCCGGCGCATAATCGGGAGAGACACGCG